TCTCTCTCTCTCTCTCTCTCTCTCTCTCTCTCTCTCTCTCTCTCTCTCTCTCTCTCTCTCTCTTTCTACTATCAAGGTACAAAGATCAATTCAAGATTCAATTTTTTCAGACCTATTACGAACAACATTACAGGCAGTCATAAGTTTTCATGATAAAATTGATATCTGCGCATTTTTATTGGGACTAAGGGACAAATGATCGATTGTCACAAGTCCAGAATGCGGGCATTTATTTCGCATTTATGCGATTGGCCAAAAGCAAAACAAGTTGTCTCACAAAAAGCCGAAGTTTTGGTTGAACGCAGCTAAATCGGCTCTCAACTACTGTGCCCAGCAAAAATCTACATTCCTTAAGAGATATGTGCGTGTGTGTGCGTCGAGCAATTAGGTATTACAATTGAAAAGAAAAATATCATCGTGTCTCTTAGAGGGCATGAAAAGTAATTACACGAAAATGTTACTCGTCGTAAGACGACACGTACAGGTACAGCTTTCCCTTGTATAACACAGTACAAAATTTGCATGGTTTTAATATGAAACGATCTCAAAAAATCGAATATGTATTCGGCCGATTTTCTTTTTCAATTGCTTTTTGCTTTCTGGTTGGGAGAAAGTGAAATGAGAGAAAAAAAAGACTAACTGTAACTTTTGATGAAAATTAGTCATGTAATCGTCGTCATCATTCATCATATGTTATGAATATATTTTTAATCTTTGCATCATAACAATATTGAATTTCATATTTATTTATTTATTTACTTTTCTTTTGTTTTTTTTCCTTTTCATAAAAACATAAAATTAATTTAGTTGTTCCTTTATATTGTGGGTATTGTTTGCAACGAAATTTTAGCTATCATAAAATTTCACACCTTAAGGCTTGGTTTCGATATGACACGATACACATTGCCTTGATTTATATTTTATTGAAGTTTAAATGACATTCATTTATATTATGACTTCGTTTAAATAAATAAATAAAAATACTTCGGTTACCGCGTTATACGAGAGATGTCCGTATATGAAAATTGCGTTAATAGGTATGAAAGGATGTGATTTAAAATTTGGGTCACGAATTAAAATGCAATCACGTCATAATAAAGATGCTTTTGGCCAAATTGGACTCATTTTTATATTGTAGACCAGTTGTGGCATTAGAAAAAACGGAGCACTTCGAGTAAGTAGTCTTAGTTTTTATTATACCCTACCATACACCATTTGCGACAGGGTTAGATGGAATTTGTGAGATAAATCGATACCGAATTATTTTCTGAATGATTGTCCGTCTGCCGTATCAGACAATGGTTTTTTTATGAAGTATTTTAATAAAAGTTCCTCCACATTTTCTGCCTTAGAAAGGAAATTGGATCGGAACTTTTTTTAACATTATATTATCCATTCGCAATTTTATTATATCGTAGTCCTTGCAAATATTTTGAAATTTACAACTTATTAGACTTAATGAAGAAGAAAATCCCAGACATCAGTTTTTTTTAAATACTCCACGAGGGATTCTTCCCTTAATTGTGTGGGGAAATTTAATATTCCCAAAGGGATTATGGGGAGAGACATCACGACTTAAGAATCGGTCCAGAAAAATACATTCATTCATTCGAAGCTCATGTATTTTATAAAGTTGCACAGCTTTCCGTAGAATGTCGTGACAGTTGTTAAGAAAATGTTTGTTTATTTGTTTATTTTAATATTTTAAATATACATTTTCTGTCAATAATCTGAGAAAACTAATTGATTCGATTTGCTTGGATCGCTGGTCACTGGCTTTTTGCTTCTTCACAACGCACTTGAAAAATTTCATGCGACCCCTCGACCTGACCCCATTACCTGGGCTCTAATGGGCAAAACATGAGAATCTATTATTTATGAAGACGTATCTTCAATTCCTGATACGACATATGATGTGATTCATAAGTTGCCGGTTGCTTTTGTTATCAAATCAATAGCATTTACAAAGATCCAATTGACGTCACGTTAACCACCATTATATATAATAACATTAAATATGGTCGGCAGATACCATGACGAGATTGGAGAGCCTAAACAAATTTGAAAATAGTGTAATTTTCGGAATAGGAGGAGGTAACTATTACAACCTATACCACTTCGATACCAGGTAGATGGCGGACGTATATACAACATCTACAAGGATTTGAGATAAATGTATCGGTTATTATACCGATCGATTCAGAAACACTTTCCAAATCGGTCTAACGTTTATCTGTCTAATGTGGCCATCATTAAGTGTTCAACCTGCAGGGCGCCATTTTTGACTTGGTATACTATTGCTTGTTGGTCGAAGAAAGGTTCCGATCGGACCATAAAAGGAAATAAAATGTAAAAATATTAAAAATGAACATATTTTCTTAAACAAAGTCATTTTGGCCCAGAACTTTGACTAGAATTTATTATAGAAATTATTTTAATCAGACTGAACCTTTATTACAACAACAAGTAACAAACGATTGTTTCTTATTGCTTTTCGTTTAAAGAAATGTAAAAGCATTTAAACGGCTTTAGTTTAACACAACGACATGTATTGTTGCAACAGAGGTAACCGCCCGTATTGAATTGATAGTGACATTCATTTCACCAGGAATTGTTTATCAGTGAAATCGCGCCTTTTGTCACTGTTTTGAACACTTTTCAATTTGTATAAATTTTTATCGAAAAAACGATGAACGAAGTAAATTAAATAACGTTCATAGTAAATGATGAATGATTTGGAGGATTGTGTTCGTCAATGCTTTCAATCTAAGTAAAGAATTTGAAGACTTAATTAAATTTGCAAAACCATTATATTTATGTTTATGGCAAATATGTATAAAATATATTCTAATTAAATTCAAGGAGAGCTTAAGACGCACACAAATTATAATTATTTAAAATGTGAAACGTAAGGTAAACAAAAAAAAAAAAAAAAATAATAATAATAATAATAATAATAACAATACTAATAATAATAATAATATTAATATTAGTAATAGTAGTGACAGTAATAACAAATAGTTATTAGAAATGTACGCGAAAAGCACTTGAAAAGTATTTAAGTGAGCTTAAGAATTTCTAACTCTTTCTTTCTGCAATAACTTCTTAAATACTTTGTTTTTTTGCTTTTTATAACGAAACTTCTTTTTTATAGAAACACCAGCAGCGGATATTGCGCAAAACACTACCGCTTCGACGAAAGTCACGAAACGAACTAAACGAAAAACTCAAACAGCTCGAAATGTTGATGATGACGACACAGTCAGCGTCAATAATCTAGAGCATAAAGCTATTGCTAGCGAGGGCGATGCGTGCTTAGAGAAACAGAAACATAATCGTAATAAGAAACAAATAAATGATGACGCTAAGTCACATTTACGTAACGTATCCAAACAGATGGATTGCTCAGCACCCACCCTCGACGAGACGAAGGAAGCGATACTTACTTCACGCACTTCGTTATCCAAGAAATCCTCCTGCTATATAAATCCACCGGATACATCATTAAGTGTTGACGTGCACAAAAGACGTTACCATAATTCTCAGCAGATCGTCGAAACAGTTAAGTCCGCATCAAAGCTTGCAAATCGAAATTCATCATTGGCGTTACAAAAGTCAAAAAGTTCAATGGCGAAAGAATTAAAAGATGATAAATTAAAGTCAAAAACGCGTTTGAAAAAGAAACGCAAAGCTTTCCAAATACCTCCGCCGCCTGTAGCCTCACCGAATTTGACAACCGAATCAAATGATAGTAAACGTAATCCCTTACCTGAAATCGTACTATCTAATGAAGAAGTCGCTCTCAGCGACACTCCGTTAATTCCCTTAAGCGATAACGGCATACAAACCATGATGGAGAAAATTCTAAATAAACAGAAAGCCGATAATAACTGTAACAGTGGAGAGACGAAAACTAAAGAAATTACTCCCATTAAGAATTATGGGAACGAAGAAAGTGCCGATGGAGAGCAAAATATTGTACGAACAATGTCGGGAAGTTGTTATCTTGAATTATATCATAAGTAAGTATAAGGAATGTTTGCATGAATATCTCATAGCATTCTCAGATCATCGAGACGTGATTGCACGTCCTTTAAAGAAACACAGTGTGAAATTTAAAGTTATATTTCTTTGTTTCTAATTCTCCCTCTCTCTCTCTCTCATCCTCTATCTCAATCTCCCGATCTCTCTCTCTCATCCTCTATCTCAATCTCCCGATCTCTCTCGTTCACTATATAGATGTAAAAAACTTCCGTTCCCATTATTTCGTTCTTGCTCTCTCTCGGTCTCTGAATTACTCTTTCTATCTCTATATATCTCCTCATCACTCTCTCTCTCTCTCTCTCTCTCTCTCTCTTTCTCTTTCTCTCTATCTGGCTATGTATTTCTCTTGAAGTCGTTATCTTAGCCAGCACGTTCAGTAGAGAGTAAGATTTGAATTCAATCAAAAAAAAAAAAAAGAAAAGAGTCAATTCTTGTGTAACATTAATTAAATTTTTTTAATGATAATTAGTCAATTAATTAGTTAATTAAACTATTAGTAATTCAACTTATTTGTGTCGTAAATTTGTCATCAAAACCGATTTTAAACTTATCTGTTTGCAAGCAACAACTTGCTCGTCTCTATATCAATTCGTCGTAAATACATATATTTGTATATATATGTAAATATTCTGTATTCGCGCACTTTAAGGTGAATCGCGAATACTCCTCACTACTCGCAGACCTAATTTAATTACATGTTTTTTTAGTGAACAGTAAAATAGCCAAGTGAGTGCAAGCATGTTTTTTGATTTTTTTCGCCGGTTGTTTGATATGCTATGTTGTCAACCCGCTTGTTAGAAGCATTGAATCCTTTCAGTTTTGGCCACAAAATGTTAGCAGAGATATTTGATTAACCTGAATGCATAAATGATAAATACGGCTCATTATCAAGAATCGCATTTAGAGCCCGCCCTTACACTTTACACTTTTATATGCGGTCCTCGGAATGAACACTGTAAACAGCGTTAGCATGCAAAGCGTTTAGATAATAACCCTCATAATTTCATATTCACAAACGTTCTTGAAATATATATATTTTTTTCTTTTTAAATGATACTCTTTGACATGTTAAAGCCTCGAAAGAAAGGAAAAAAAAAAGAAACAAATGCTTTATAATGCAATTAAATTTTCAGACTACAAGAGCATGAATTAAATGAATGAATAAATCAATTTAGACCTACTAAAGGCTCAACGATTTTTTTTTTTTTTTTTTTTTAACATTCCAATTCGAATTTTAGTAATGTCAATCCGTTCTAAGACTTAATTAATTCATCAACAAGTTTTCCAAGTTTTTTTTTTTTTTTTCAACAATTTATGATGACCCTTATAATAAGATTTGAATTATACATCTATCTCATCATATCAATCAAATATTTTCTTTCATTAGGATCCAATGGGAATGTTTACGGCAGTAATTCGCAATTTTGTCCTTATAGCAATTTTGACTTGTAACACATTCCATTCTTAGTCTTAGTGAAAAAGCACCTCACCGCTCGCCATTTGAAACGGGTTTTTCGCAATTTTCCCCCTTAATCGAACCAAAGGTATGCCAAATAATATTCACTATTCATTCTTTAATCTTGTTCTTCATTTTAAAATAGTCGATGCAGACGACTGTTGCGTACTTCTTCGCTTTGCGCGAATTTCATCGAGTCCTTCTTGCTCAGGAGTACCGCGGCGTGTCAAATTCAATTAATCCATTTTCACTTATCGCAGAAAAAGATTTCTTTTATTGCGCTTGAACCGTTTCAAAATAGTTTTCTTATGCCTAAAATTTCATCCGAAATCGTGAATAATTTTTCAAGGTCATGTTGATATTTTCTAACGTCATGTTATGGCTTTTGGGAGCCCACTGCGTTGCAATACCATCGGGATCCGTAGAACGATTTACCAATTTGAACGAAATATTTTCCTATACGAAATTATTCAATGGTTTGAAAAAGAGCGAAAGTTGTGCTATTGCAAAGACTGCAAATTATCGTTTGGGTACTTTCTAAAAATGAATATGGATTTTTTATTGCAAACAAAATCTGCATATGTGTTCAATCAATTCGGTACCGCACAATAAAATTAAACGAGAGACGTTACAATTCATCCAAAAATCCATCTTACGAATGTTAAGGAACTAAACTAAAAGAAAAAATATGAAATTTACTTTAGAAATCTATTTCAAATTTGCTTTCAATATTTTATAAGCGTATACAAATAGTTACGATCAGTCCATTAATTTGCTGGGAATTGCAAAAATATTGTTTATGATAATTGAAAATCCTAAATTCGGCCAAGGCTATGCATGATTTGCGGGTTTAGGCTGCGACGATTTCGATCAAGTTGTATTCGGAATTAATAAGAAACTTTCCGAATGTTGGATATTTTCTTAAGATGACTGACTAGCTTGCAAAGTTTCCCATAAATTGTACATAGTTTCCTTACTTGCGTAAGCTACTGCGGGCGGCGTGATCAGGCTTTAATGTATAAGTTACGCCTATTTTTGAACAATAAATATATTAGTTTGGGGAAAAAGAAATCCATTATTTTTTCGGTAGATGGCTGCACTGATAGATTTCTCGTAAAGTATCGATCAAACAATTTCAGATTTATGCTCGTTGGAAAGGTGACATTTCGCAGTAAAAAAAATTCTTTTGCTGTTACATACAGTCCGGACTTGGCACCAAGCGATTATTATCTTTTTCTTGCATTGCAAAATTTCTTTAATGATAAAAAATTGGAATCTAGGGAGGATTGTGATAATCGACTACTAGAGTTTTTTGCAAATAGGGACCAGGACTTCTATGAGAGAGGCATTTTGAAGTTACCTTTAAAATGGCAACAAATCATACAACAAAACGGTGCATATTTGACCCAAATCGAACAATCCGAAGCATGTTAAATAAAGTCTTGAAGTTCATATAAAAATAATGGTTTTCTTTTTCCCCAAACTAATATATAAAATTTCAATATTACACTACAGTTAATACCCCACGCCGCAGTGGATGAGTAACAGTTTCCAGATGTTCCAGGATATGTACGCCTTAGCGATCCCCTGCTGGGTATCGGGATTTTATGAATGTAATAGCGAAAATGTTCGGTTTTATAGTGGACAAAAGTACAGTGATTTTCTAATTTTTTTGCGAGAACTAGATGCATTTATTAGTTCCGCTTAAATATTGGACACAAAAATGCTTTCCATTCGACTATTTGAAGAAATTTTAACATAAAATGTACTCAGTCTAATGCAAGAGTAAGTTATCGTTAGTTACCCTATGATATCAAGCTATGTAAGCGGGAGTTGAGGGCATAAATTTAATGAACCATAATAGGTTTTCTCTCTAGTTTCTGGACTTTGTAAATTTTTTAAAGGGGTTTATGCCAAAGAACGCGATGAGCGATGAGATTCTTGAAGACAGATCTAGTTCACTTTCGATGTTTGCCTGTCTCACCCCCATCCCCTTCTCCCTTTTGTCCCACTCTCTCTCCCTCTCGCTCTCGCTCTCTTTCTCTCTCTCTTTCTCCCTCTCTGTCGCTGTCCTGATAACTCCATCAAATGTCAAATATTTTCTATCTTGTTTATAGCGATCGAAAGGGCGTAAGCAAATAGTTGAAGAAACAAACAAGAAAAGAAAAAATTTAAACAATTCTGAAAAGTTTTTATAAATTTTAAGAAGTTCTTTCACGTTGCATGTTAATTGATATATTCAATATACCTTAAGAAAATGCGTAGAAAGATAATCAAAATAATCTAAATTTAATGAATTCCAATATCAAATTAAATATTTATTTATTGTTATTTAAAACGACAACTCATGGTACATATGTGGAAAGGAACCGATACAGTTATCTCTAATAAAGTTTCCTATAAACGTTAACGCAAGCGAAATTTTATCTAAATAATATATTATATAAAAAAAGAACATTTGAGAGCGCCATTAACTTTTCTTTTTTTTTTTCTTTTCCACATTTCATAATAATAAGAAATAAGCACAACCCCACCATCATCGACGCAACGCAATACCAAGTCATTCAACATTCGAATGATGTCATCAACTTTTTCATGTTATTTATTTACACATTTTACGAGTATGATTACAAACGTATGTAAATATTGTATTATAGTTCGCTTTTCGCATGTGAATATGAAGATTCTCGCTATCGTGAAAGCATAAAACAGCGAAACATATACAAATGATTGGAAAATTTTGATTAAAAAAGTAAGGATAGTTAATACGTAAGTAAGTAAGTAAGTAAGTAAGTTAGTGAGGAGGAGAAAATTCGACAATAAATACAACAACAAATCGTACCAGCCCCCAGAACAATGCCTTAATGCTTGTACTTGCCGTGTATATATGTATGCAAAACAGTTTCGTGTAAAACGGCTCGTTAATAATTGTCACTGAGTATCCAAAATACTTACCAGTTAAAATTTAACTATGGATATGGATTTATTGAAGACGTAAAGACGTCAAATATTATTTATTAGCTTACATTTTATGCGCGATAGAAGTGGAAAAATAATGTAAAATTCTTATATTCATTGGATATTTCAATCAATCTATTTAGCTGCTGCGAATAAAGAAGAAGCTTAAAGAATGAATTATTCTCATTATTCAATGATTGAAGAATTTTATAGCCTAATAGTCAAATAATTCATCAATATGATTGATGAAACAAAATAAATTCATTCATTTATTCAATTGATTTTTACTATAATTTTGCCAACAAATTTTGCAATTTTGAAAATGATTTTCCCTAAGATATTGAAAATGATATGCAAATGATCTGCAGAAGCTTCAAAGTCCGTTTTGTTTTATGCCTAAGCACAAGTGAAGGTCGCTAATAAATATAAATCAATCGATGCTCTAATAATACATATGCAATAATAGCAATTCCAAGGCCACTACTCTGGGTGTTGATAACGCTTTGTCTATGTATATAGGAAGATTTTTGAATTCACTTAATGGGGTTTTTGAAGAATATTCTCCTCTCACTTCCTTTCTATCTGATAGAAGGTAGTGATGACTTCTACTACCTTTGGCGCAGATACCTACACGATGCAGTCCACTCTGCATTCTATTTAGAATAATACCATATTTACTCGATCATCAAAAATTTTCTTACTCCGTGCGATGTGTTCACAGAAAGAACGAAGGCGGCTAACAATACTATAATTTTATTGCTAATAAAATCACTACGAAATTTCTGAATAGTATTTACAACTGACTTGACAACATAGCCATATAGCCGCAACATGCAGAAGAACTCGCCTTATGTTATAATGTCTGTACTAATATTGTTTTATTCAATGTACATGTCCAAAATTATATATATATATATGTCAGATGTAAACATCGTCCCGATCCAACTTATTTAAACGAAAAAGAAAAAAGCGAGAATGATCAAAGCAATTTTAATTAAATTATTGTCCATCTGGGTGATTACTGTACAGTTACCATCTGCCTGACAACATATGAATCCAAAGGTACAACTAATGCTGTTGGAGGATATTTACGGACAAAAAGAAAACATTTTTCGATTGGAAGGTAGCACATGCACTTCTGTGCTGCTAACGTTTTTTGTTCGGGTCTTATAGTATGGCACCGATCGTATGTGTGCTAACAGATTATAATATCATAAGTTTTGATATATGTCGCCCGTTTTATGGTTCAATTTGATCAGTTCTCGTTGATAATCGTTTAAAAGATTAAGGCTTCGTTTGCCGTGCGATTTATCCAAAGCTCAAAATACTACCCAAAGCGCGATACTGCCCTCACTTGAAGCAGGTATAATTTAATACATAGTTGGAAGGAAAATCGCGTCGTCGCTAAGGAATTCATTTTATCCGCAATCTATAAAAATAGCGTAATAAAAAAGTAAGAAAATTATATTCGGCTGTGATCGAATCTTTTGTACCCATCACCATTATCCTAAAAAGGCATGAAAAAAAATAAATAAATAAAACCACTAAATTTTCATGCTCTATGACATAGAGTGGATGAGACAGATTCTTCTTATGTTCAAAATAAAAGTTTTTGTCGTATAGGCGCATAGGCGTTGTAAGCGCCTCCTTCGAAAAATTTATGACACTTCCCAGTCCTTTTGCAAATTTGTACACGATGTCTTCATTTTGACGGACGGCGTGGTCCCAATTTTCGTACAGATACTATAGGGTCGCTCATAAAATATACGTTCAAATTTTCACAGACGAAGAGACAGACAAGCTTAAAAGGGCACACCAGAGAAATGGAGTGACACATGATCTCTTTCTCGTTCTCTCTCTCTCTCTCTTTTTTTTTTCTCTTTTGCTTTTGAAAACGAAAGTGTTCTCAATGGGTGTCTGTCTTTGCTAGTTCACCTTCAATGCCGATCCGCGGGCAATAATTTCGAATGCTTTTGTCGAATCTTTGCCAGCAGAAGTATGTTTACTATAGGTAAAACAATAGACGAACAAATAGACGACAGATGGAAAGATATATACAGATCGATTGAGAATTTAGAGAATACATTTTATAGGGTCGCTGTAGCGACCTTCTACACGTTACAAATGTTTCAACTAAATAAATACATTTCCTGCCTCAATGTTTGATAATGTATATAAAAAGGTTGGATTTAGAAAGTTTTCTCGTCCTTTTTGTCTTACATCTTTTCATTCTGTGATTGTGATCGGTATAGATTTGCATGAGCTTATATTATATTAAATTTGTTTTTATAATTAAATGATCGAATGACAAAAAGTCACAAAAAGATCAGAGAATCAATCCGATACTTGCTCATAATAGGACGGACAATTAATATAGCAAAAATACGAGAAGAAATCAAAATAAAAATCAATCTATTAATGCGATTAATATATGAGAGTGGATGCAGTGTTCATAGGGAAAATACGCCTTTCGATATTTCAATTAAAGTAAATTTGAAACTTGGCTCGTTTCTTACAAATGTCGGTCATCTGTTTCGTTAACTGATATTCAAATTGTATTTTACTTATTATTAGCACAATATTTTTTCTATAATTATTATCAACTTTTCAATTTATATTTGCCCTGGCATGAGTCACGTATTATACATATGATATATGTGTATGCTTGGCTGTTCACTTTAAAAATGTTTGATCAATAAATTTACTTAAAGTTTATTTATCCAACATCCAACTCAAACTATATTTTCTATACATGCCTTATGTCTCCAGAAGTGCTTCGCTTCGCTTCTCTTTCTCACACGAAACTTGAACATTGTTTATCTTATTATAATGTTGACTTAATCGGGTTAAATCGATGCGAGACTCTTTCTATTGCATGACTGATTTCTTATCTATTTGTTTTGTTTTCGTTGTTGTGTTTTGCGAAATTAATGACCTTGACTTTGTATAATTGACTTAAAGGCCGAAAGGTAATTTAGAAATTTATAAAAAAAGCCAGTTGAGATAGAGAAATTTCGTAATCTATCTATATATATATATCTATATAGATAATATCAAAACATTAAACACTTATTGGACCCTTTCTGTACTTGAACTGTGATACGATCACCCTAAAGCGGCAATCATGTCAAGTCGAAGCGGGAATGCTTCAGTTCAAAACAGTGCATAAAACTTACTAATTAACTAACAAATTATGGTATGAGAAAGTTAATGAAAAGCTTTGATGAATGCTCTAAGATAAAGTGATCTAAGCTAACTTCTAAGCCAAGACAAAGTGGTCTAGGTAAACTCGATGCTACGCAGACTGTGTTTTTAATTTAAGCTTAGAATATATTCGCCTTAAGCGAATTCCCTCACACTGAAGTGCAAAGAAAACCGTTATTGTGGATCTTTGTAGCAGTTATTTAAAGCAAAGAAAATAAAATATAGAATAAAAGAAAGGTTTCTCTATATTTTTATATTTATGTTTGTATTTGTATTTAATTTTTATGTCTACTTGTTGTTATAACCTCCGTTGTTATACTACTTCGATTCATAAACAGATCCAAACTTGTCTATCGATCTGTCCGTCTTGTTTTTTTTTTTTTTTTTTTTTTTTTTTTTGTATTCAACCGACAAGCCGCAATTTTTCCGATATTCAGATGGGATTTGATGCATTAACTTGTTTTGGTCCAGGGATAAACACTATTGAAAATGGTTCGGATCGGAACACTTATTCGTTCACTTCCCATATAACAACTTATTGAGGATATTCATTATGACAATAGCTGTATTAAACGAAGTTGTCTAGGGCATTCGATTGTGAGCCGTATCACACCAGAGTGTGTTCACTTGTTCCATGTCTATATCCCCCAGCTAATAGCTATATAATAATAATAATAAGTAGCACTTAATAATTGCCTCCTGTTGGTCTAAGGATTTTTTTTTTTTTCATTAAATTTAAAGCGTTATGATAACAATAATATCATTCTTTTTGTAAAATAGCGATATAGAGCTTCGCACACAGAATTCTCCTTATCGTACTTCGGAGAGTTCATTTGTGAGTGCTTCATCCATTAAAGCTAAGTCATCTCATGAGGGTATGCCTAAAATAAAACCCATACCGCCACCTAAACCGAAGAAAAGCACGGAATCTTTTTCCAGCCAATCGATAACAAGTGAAAATTTGAAAATCGAAAACTTCTTGAAGGACACAGAGAGAAGTAGTAACCCAGAAATAGCGACACTACCCACATCGGCAGAGCATCGAGAAAGAGCAGAGATAGAATCGGCGCAATCATCAGCAAATATAAATCAAGAAGGAATGGCAGAATCGGCAGCACATACAGAAACGGTAGCATATTCACCACCGGCAGCGATTGTGGTATCGCTAACACCGCTCACATCAGCAATATCGGTAACATCTGCAAGTTTGATGCCATCTTCAACGCCGACAGGATCTGCTACATCGGTAACATCCGTCACAATTACAACATCGGCAACGTCGGCAACATCGGCGGCATCACCAACACCAGTAATACTTACAGCACCGGCAATATCAACAATTCCGGCCATACTTACGGCGCCGGCCATACTTACGGCACCGGCTATACCAATAAAACCGACAAAACCACCAGCACCAACTGCATTGGCAAAACCAGCAACACCGAGAACGCCACCATCGACGTCACCGCGAGCACCAATAACAGCCGTCGCATCACCAGTCACATCCCCCAAATCGATACCGTCCGCAACGTCAGTAACATCTGCCACTGAACCTGTGGAAGATTTGCGTATCGACGATTTAATCAAAGAGAGAGACATGTATTTGGAGTTATGTGTTGGAAATCCCTTTTATAATAATCCCAATTATAGCGAACCCTGGAAAATATTTTCCAAGTAAGTTGTAAAATTTTGACACTCGTCCTTAACCCAATCAAGCAGCGAATAATCCCTTCTCTTTTGTTTAGAATATCCGAGAAACTGGTGAACGATGTACTGGGCTCTGTAGAAAGCGATTTCTCCTTAGGCGTTTCAAAATTCGTCGAAGATTTTCTAGAAATAGAAACCAAGTCATGAAAAAATGGCCATCTCACGATAAACTTTGCCTATTTGCGTGCGCTTTATGTGATTCAAATTGTTTTTCCATTGCTTATATAGTTAAGTTAGTTTTAGAGCATTGTTTTTTTTTTTTTTTTTTTTATTTTTTTTTTTATTTTTTTTTTTTGGGGTTTTTAATAGTTTATATTTTTTTTTTTTTTTTTTTTTTTTATTATTTTTTTTTTATAATTTTTTTTTTTTTTTTTTTTTTTTTTTTTTGATGAAATACTATCTAACAGAGCAATACGGAAGGATAACATTAAAAAATTCCCTCAAGCATATTAAGAATACAAATTTGTTAAGTTTAGATTTAAATCTTTTGCGGAGATATGTAATGTGAAATTTTAAAGTAAAATCTTAACACCGATCCAGATTAAGGTCAGATTAAGATTTTAATTTAAAATGTTGTAACTACACTGATCTACGGATATAAGGTCTAAGGCTAAACTTTGGTGTTTCCACATTAAGTTTGAGAAATTCATTAGTTTTTTTTTTTTTTTTTATTTTTGAAAAACAAAAAATTTAATGCACAGCAGTTAGCTTAACCGTCAGACTAAATGATATAGAAGTTGTTGTAAAAATAAAAATAAATTGTTTGTGTGAAGAAAAGAAAAAAAGAAGAAATATTTTACAAATTCTCTGATGCAAAGTTCGGATGAATCACGTTTTTCATCGATAGGCCAAGTTGAATTTTCACATCACATCGGGGTCCAAGAACAATGTGCAAATATTATCAAAAAAGCGGCATTCTCCAGTAATTTTCCGCCCCCCCCCCCCCCCCCCCCTCCTCTTTTTAAATCAATCATTTTATCTCCTAATGAATCAGAAAACACTTCAACGCATTGCACATTTGAACAATCTGCTTGCAGCGTTGCTATATACGAACAAATTAAATTATTTGACGTGACGAGTCGGACTCGGGGATATCATGGGCTAAATGTGACTCGCGGACCGCCGATTGTATATACCCATCGTAAACGGTGTCGAACAAAGTGTCGCATTTAAGCATAAGTATGCGCGCATGCCCCGCAACTAAACAGACAACAGTGCAGAATTCCTATTCGAATAGTTTTAGCCGATTTATTTTCACATAAAATGGGCGCAAATATCAATTAAGAGGTTTTTTTTTATTCAATTTTCAAAAATTTTTACAACCTTGTTCAACTGAACTCAAAAACTCTGATCGTTGCCTAATTTGTTGATCAAATAGCAGATATCGGTTATAAATGAAGCTTTATTGTCACAATAGGTTTATCTCGTTTTGCATTAAAACGAGGTAAGTCAACACTTTCAATTAGTCAAATGTTGTTGATTACCATTGTCCCTAAAATTAGACGCCGTACTGACTGCTAAGATGGATTTTTATTTGATGCAATAAACTAAAGCCTAGACGCCGTAGCGCTAAGAGCAAGAGAACAATGTCAATTTTATACCCAACACCGTAAAATTTTTCTCCATAATGCATATGACAGGCAAAAGAAGGCTTCAGAGATCCTGGAAAGTATATATGTTGTTGATTAGCGTAAAATTCTAAGTTGATTTAGCCATATCTGTCCGTCCGTGTTGTTTGTGTTGTTGGCACTCTCCTGGTCCCAAAACTAAAGATATCGATTTCAAGTTTAGTAGAAACATTGAAAGTTTCTGCACACAGATTGATATTGAAGAATGAGTCCAATTGGTTAGAGCGGAAGCACGCAGTGGAGCGCAACCTAAACGCACTTCGTTTTTTTTTTTAACAAAAATGTTTGGATTTTCGATATTATAAAAGTTAGAAGGTTGAACTTGTCCACATTTACTTTACGAAGCGCTGTATTCTTTGCACGCAAAAATGGAACGGATCGGCCATGCCCACACAAAGTTACGAGTAATTCAATGTAATTTTTTTGCACTTTTTTGTGGTTTTGTGCTTATTTATCATATCGGGCAAGCAAGGCAGAATTTTTAAAACTATTTTGCACGCTCCTTAAATGAATATATATTATCTGCCTAAAAATGGGTTAATTTTAAAATGAATATGGTAGACAGCGCGATTAATTTTTCCTTACCAGCGATGTGGGTATCAAATAAAAGAACTTGGAGAGTAGAATGTGAAAAATATATTGGTGGGTATGAGAAATTCGGCCTCGTCCGAACTTAACTTTGTTACTTGTTTTGCTTCTTCTAAACATTGAATAGATATTTTTGCGTTCGGAGGAAAAAACATATACACCCTTTATTCAAACTTGATCAATTTTGGAAAAAGCATTTACAGTCAAAAGGGCAAGAACTAAATATGAAAGCTAAAAAATATGTACCGGCCTGGTTGGGACCAAATTCCAAACTTAGTCCGAAAAATAAAGTTTTAATCTACAAAATCGCTCTACAGCCAACATCGACATATGCAAGGCAGCTGCAAGGGAGATCCAGCAATTCTAAGATGGAAACTTTACAGAAATATCTATCACCACATTTAAGATGTACCCTTTTTTTCGTTTAGATACATTACCAATACTCACAATATGTACTCAACACCTGAAGTCAAAAATTAAACAAGCATTTGATATTTAACTATTATGTTATATAATTGATTTTCTTTTTAAGTTGTTAATTTTTTTTTTTTTTTTTTTGCTAAATGTTTAATTGTAAATAGATTGCAAATAAAGACATTTCGAAAAAAAATAAATATATATATGTAGAAGCCAATGCATACGCTAATGTAAATCGTAGCAAAAATATAGTGAAACGCTTTCTAACAAAGCAATTAAAAGTTAAATGTATATGAAAACCGTGTTCTCTCGCTGCTGAGCACATGGTGTAGAAAAATGTAAACAAAAATCTGATCACTCTCCGATTTGACAAGTGAGGCAATCAATTAACGATGCGAGTCTTATGAATATTAAATACTAATAACAAAAAATATTTCTTCCGTGTAATCAATTTTTCGGAATGATTTCGATCCCATCCAATTTCAATAACATTCCCACCAATCCAAGCTAAAGTCAAGAAAATATCACTTATGCCGCTTATAAGAACTGCCATAATTATTATCAAAATAAGTAATATAATAATAATAATAAAATCAATAAATAAATATGAAGCACAAAATCATAAACATCCATAGCATTTAAATATTACTTTGTTGTTACACATTAACCATTATATATTTCATTTTTGAACTTAATTACTCGGAAATGATTTTTCATCGATACAAAGAGATCAGCTTTCAAGTAATTATAGGATTGAGCAAGAAGATGATGAATATTGCGGTAACAATCGTTTGCAATATTTAGTTAGCGGACTTTTCTTCTCCCTTTTTTTTGCAAAATTTAAAGTTTGGGGTAAACCTTGAAAACGTGTAATGAGAAATTATTCAGTTTTCCTTTGCTCTCTTTATAAATTACGCCAAGAGACTGTTGTCTTTCTCATTCACTATGGCGTATGATAAATTTGTGAAACCAGGTCGAAATATTTGCATCAAATTACAGATATCAAGCATAATCTTAAGACCTATCGTCCGAAACAAATTCAAACGTTGTTGTCTTTGGAAATTCTGCAAACAATTGCAGTCTATATCCCAGCTCAAACTTGCTTGATTAGCCAGTATTAGAGGTATGCAGTTCGGTGATAATACAGGTTCCCTCTCTCTGTTTCTCTGTTTCTATCTTTCCCTCGAATATTATCTATATTTGTTCCGTTCCGTCATTCTGTTTGTTGTTCGATTTGTGTCCAAAATTCTTCTCTAAACATTTACTCGATCCCTCTCTCGCTCACAAACATATGCACATATGCAGCCTTCGTTTCGAATTCAAAAATCCAATTTCATATATGTTCGTTTTTTCCAACGGCAGACGAGACGTAAAGGCCAGAATAAAACAAAAAAAAGAAGAACAATTCACTTAAAACCAAAAAAATTACGAACAAGTATAAAATATAAGCATGGACAAGAAGTCTCAATGTTTAGTCAATAGATTAAGTATGAGCAGTGTTTACAAAGTAGAAGAAGAGGGAGCTGCGAAAGTTTTCTATTGGAAAACTACGATTCAACTCTGTCACAAATTATTGGAGAACCATACGAGCTGTACCCGTCTAATAAACACGAAAGCCAAGCAAACGATCGAAAGAAAATTACATACGTAGTAGGTACATATGTACATATGTTGTATACCTATGTCCCATAAAACGAATACCAAGTAAAAGTAAAAAATGGAAAATCGATTGCTATTCCTTCTCCTTCGTTCACCTCTTAAGGTATCCGCGACGCATCATATATTTTTGATTCGACTTTTTTAGAAAATTACTTTCGTACACATCGAAATTCGGAGCGACCGGAAATTGGATAGATAAGGATAGAGTGTACAGAAAAAATTTATTAAAATACGATTTGTAACTTTGTTGTTCCGAGACTCAAGCTTTATTCAATCAGTTTTTAATAAGAATCTCTCTTGACAGCCGTTTTGTTTTCCATGCTGTTTCTCTGCTTTGAAACGCTTGGAAAAAGAATTTTTTTACTCTCTGGTTTGTTGAAAACTTCACTTCTTTTTTATATATGAAACATTAGCGAGATTTCATATAATTTATTTTTTTCGTAAAAAGCCTGAAATATGCTAATATTTAAAAAAAATTTAATTAACTCAAGTAAAGGCATATACTAATTTGTTTATATTACAGTGTATAATTATTTTTGCATTGTAGATTTCATTGCACACTTGTATAATATAAGAACGGCTGGACTGAAGTATTTTGCTCCGCCAATAAAATATGAAGGTATGTATTTATGAAATAAATCGTTTATAATTTGTATGAAAAGCGTCAGGTTATATGATCGAAAAGTTATTTAGTCAAGTGGAACAAGTTCTATTTTCGCCGAGAATTTTAATTTTTAGTTTACTTTGATTTCAACTAAGGCTGATAAAAAGAACTTCTAATCGAAATATGGAAAGAAGCGTAAAGAGCTTTATATATTATTTCATTTCAGGCCTCGTAAACTCCGCGAAAATTTATAAATCCTTAGTTAAACTAGAATTCCAATTCAGTAAAGCCATATGAGACGGCCCGTCTGTTTAGGGAGCGCTGACAATTAGTGATAAAATTTGCAAATGAAAAACGTCTCTCACAGCAGAGAGAAAGCATTTAACAGCATTTATAACAGAGGTTGATATAAAAATATTTCCCAAGAGCACCTCAAGGTTTGAGCCTTTAAGTAAAAAACTCAGTGCAATTTTTCGATATTGTGTAGCGATCCAAAGATGAATATAGGGTTGTCGTGACATACAATAACCAATTTTCTTAATTACTACCTTCAAGTTTTGGGCTTTTAGATGCATAATACTCACTAAGAAAATTTTCGAAAACAGGTTCCTTGTTGCCTTCGTGGCGCCATTATCCGGTACTATGATTCAAGTACATTCCATAACACATAGTACTGCAGAAAATGTTCTTGTTATTTATCATAAAATAATGTGGAATCCTCCGCAGATAAAACGAAAGGAAACAAGTCTACAATAGATTACAATCGATTCGTACGTCCTACTCCGATCCTAATCGTTTTCTTTATTGATTGATAGTTTTCACTTTACAATTTTGAATTTCCTATATATCATTGAGTTAGGTCCTTCTTTTCGTTTATGGAACTTGATGAATGTATTGATAACATAGTGCTTAAGTGTAATGAAATGTTAACAAGTAATACATTATTTTATTTGTTGCCTTTAATATCACGAATCAAAATTGTGAAAAATTTTTTTTACTTTTCGTTTTTAGATTTTCAACCAGCGGAGCGACCTAAACTGCGTGTGATGGAGAAAGTTCCACAATATCCACCGAACATGCGACCCCCTAAAATGCAGAAAAGACTTAAATTAATGCGTGGGCCAGAACTTGTTCATAACACTTTGCAGCACAAACAATATGGCATTATCGCGACGGGCGGTGGACGATTGCGTTGGGGTCACTTTGAAATGATTCGTAATACTATTGGGCGGAAAATTGATGTTAGCAGAATGATTGCGACGTGGAGAATTCCCCCTCCCTGGCAACCACTTACAAAGAAGGGTCAAGGGCAAAGAATGGGTGGCGGTAAAGGAGCAATTGATCATTATGTAACACCTGTTAAAAGCGGGCGGGTGATTGTAGAAATTTCAGGAAAATGTGAATTTGCTGAAGTGGAACCAATGTTAAAACAAGTTGCTCATCTTTTGCCCTTTAAAGCAGAGGCGATATCTGAAGATATTCTAAAGGAAAAGATAAAAATGGAGGAAGAACTTGAGAGATCAAATACAAATCCATTCACCATGAAATATGTCATACAAAACAACTTAAATGGTTGTCACCGATGGTTATCACCGTTTGATCATAAATGGTTCGGAAAATATTTGTAAAAAATATAAATGTATAGAATAACTTAAAAAGATAATAAAAGGAAACATTGGGACAACATCTTTCCTTTAAAACGAACACTATGTCATATTAACTTGAATTTTAAAGAGCTCCTTGCATTAATAATTCTTTCACTGCTTTACTGCTTATTTTTATACCCATCACAGAAGTATGAGGGACCTATTAGTATTTTGTCAAAGCGTTTGCAACTCCCCAGAAGGAAACTGCAGAGACTCCACAAAGTATACGTGTTCTCCATCAGCATCAAATATTGGATCGATTTAAGTATGCCAGTCTCTTCGGAGAAAATTGACCAAGCCTACCCAATATCAGAATTTATTTATTTTTTTCAATGGCTTTATAATGCGCAGAAATAAGCTTCAAAACTGCCAAAAGAGCTCGAATGGCGAAGCCTTTCAAATCCAATTATGTCTTAATTTGAATTATTTAACACAGCTCGGTTAAGGCGTTAACAGATATGCTAGGGGTCTTTCCTAGTTAAATTCAAATTTATCCTCACACACTTAATTCTTGGCCAGTTTCAAATTCAGAATTCGTCTAGGCATGTGTGTCTTCTCGTCTATCCATCCGTGTGCCCAACGGTGTCGTACCTGTGGTAAATGACCGCAAAAATGAAGATATCGCTTACAAATTTGCAAAGGAATTTGAAAATGATCCAAACTGATCAAAGGACACGCTCACAACGCCCACCTCTTGTACGCAACAAAAACGTACAAGTGTGTGTACAAAATACAAATACATAAAAGCAACATAAACTAGAGATTTGTTTTAACAGAAGCCTTTATTTAGGATAGCTTTTACAATTTATAGATAATACAATTAAATACGTAATTAGCTAACGATCAAAATTATGTAATAACCAAGTAACCTGAAAAGAGAAACAATGTAATTTATTTTCTTTTATTTAATTTTGTAATAAAACTAACAGAACACATTATTTTGCATAACAAAGAAATGGAAAACACCCCATTTTTAATAAAAGTGACTTTTCATCTTTTCTTGCGTACGTCGGTTATTCTATGAAGGATGTACGAACTTTTTTTAAAAATACGCTTTCGAAATTTTCAGTTAACAAATTTTGTTTTTGTATGTAAGCAAACACATATCAGTTTTCATTTAATATACAACATAGAACATAGATGATCAAGATTATGTAAACGCGAAAATTTACGAGAATTCATACAAACCACCAATATAAAAAAAAAAAAAAAATCCATTTATTCATAAACTAGAGAAGTCTATTACTTTTCTATATATAGTTAACTTCCGCTAAATAAGTTTTACTTTGTTCCGACCCAGCAGCGCCTTATCATAATTTCATTCTTTTCATTTTTTTTTTTCTTTTTTTTTTTTTACTTAGAAAAAGAATTCTTTTTGGACTTTGATAAGTCAAAAAAATTCCCGACTGGTGACGAACTACAGGCGCAGGGGGATTTTAGTAGATATTCAACGTACCTCTTACTAATACGTTGAAGAAACAATTGCGTCTTTTTCAAAAAGCTGGCGAACTTTCAAGCAACCATCTGATCCACAAGAAAATAAGCGACCGAATGAATCTATATGTATTTGACTAACTCCTTGTCCAATGTGCTTAAAGAAGCTATTTTTTGCATGTTCTCCAGCATACGTAGTAATTAAAGAATAATGATTTAAACTCCAAATCTGAAATTTAAAAATGAATAACAAACAACAACGAATTAGCTACAACAACAACAACAACAACAGACCACACCTAACAAATATTACTAAGTAATGTCACCGAATTTAAAGCATCCGTATTATGTAACAAAATTCAAAAGTTATGTAAATTTTGAAATATTTCCTTTTCTGGATCTGGATCATCTGTTAAGCGTAATCTCATCTTTGCCTCATAAGAAACTTTTTAAATATTCCAAACGTTACTAAAATTAAATATTTGTACAAAGATGATGGATTAAACCGTAGATTCTCTTCGTTAACTCCGATCAGGGTAAAGCAGGTAGCGTAGCAGGTAGCCCATTGAACTTTTAAATTAACGACATTTGCAGCGTAAACTACAGAATTACTCTTCCAATATTTAATTCTCTCTCATTCAGCCTCATCTAATAACATTCCATGCCGGTAAATTTTCCCCACTTACCCAAATTAACCCAAATAACATTAGGAAACGGAAAGCAATAGTCAGTGGATTAAGTCGCGAGTATTTCGCATAATGTCAATCGCTTACCTTTATGTCACCTTCCAAGGATCCTGTTGCAAAAAATTCTTCATGCGGATCAAGTCCAATACATTTAATTGCATTATCGTGGGCCTTTTAACAAGTATTCAATAATCAAAATTATAATTTAAAAGTAAAAAAGCACAAAGCGAAGGGAACTTGTGAATATACCTGGAAGCGATGTTTTATTATTCTTTGTCTTATATCTAGTATACACACATCGCCCTTTTTTCCGCAAGATATTAGCAACTGATGTTGTGGAGCGAAAGCGAAACAAGCAGCACCTTGTTCATGACACGAGAAGCCTTTGTGAAATTAAAAAAAAAAAAAGGGAGAAAAAAGGAGAAAGATGTCGTTAGTTTTGTAATAAAGTTTCTCTGTTTATTTGTTCGATTTTTTATTTTACCAACAACTTTCGTATACTCGCTAATCTAAGTTTCAAAACTCTTTGATAGAACAAGAAGAAGAAGAAGAAGACAAACGGAAAAGTTCTATAAACGTGAATGCATCATCATATTCACCGGAGGACGTTAGCATATTAGATTTGTCCATATATTTGTAAGACCCAGAAATATAATATGGAGTCATAAAGCACAGATGCCCTTGATCATCGTAAAATTTGAATTCAATTTAATCCTAATCGCGTCAGGGTGAGCCGTTGAGGTTCATTTGAACTTGGAACATAAATATTTTCATTAAAAAAAGTAATTTCAAACATACCTGTGACACAGGATTTCTTCTGTGGTAATAGTGTATCCCATATAACAATATTTTTATTTTCTGAGCTTTGGCCAGCTGAAAAAAATGTAATAAAAATAAAATAAAATTATAATTGTTGTTTTATAGTTAAACTTTAATTCCAATTTATTGGTTCTCGATGGATCAAGAACATGCTAATGTCCAGTAAAATAAATTCCGATTAAAACATTATCGTTAATTGTGAACGTATTAGTAAGCCGATCGGGACTATCTTTGGACCGGACATACGGGTGGTTCTGACAGTCGTCTGGGTAGGTTATCGGGAATATTTTCAATATAGAATAATTGTCGGCGATTTTTTAATTTTCATTCATTTTTGCACCTATGGTAATTCCACAAATATTATGGATCAAGTCATATATAGGGTTCAAGTTCACACAACTTGATAGATAGTAGATATTTGGAAAATGTCGTTCTAGTTCTAGTGTCAGAAAGCGAGAATTGCATTCGACACAAGAGTGATAAGCTGCCAGAAAGACGACAAGTTCAGTTTTACTAAAGTGTACCCCGCAAAACTCAAGAGATGTTTCGATTCGGCAACAAAATGAATAATTATTGTGTATTGTTTGTCTTTTCATGTAAAACAAATTAGGTTTAAGGTAATAAGTCTATGTTCTTACCTGTAGCTAACAAACTGCACGAGCCCAGAAAAGCAAAGTCTGATAGAGTTTTATTATGACATTGGTAGGTCTATAAATTGAATTTACATCATATTATTATTAGAAATTTTGATATATTACAATTTACACTTACAAAAAATGATCTGTTGCTTTGCGAAGCAATGGCTGCTTGCCATAAGCTTAAATTTCCATCGCCATCGCCAATTCCGAATTTGTTACCTTGTTGTGAAAATCTACATCTGGTTACTTTCGCGAAAGTACCGGATGGCCGTGGAGAACATACTACTTGTTGGTGACCCCATTCCCAAATTTGAACTGATCCGTCCTGCCCCCCAGTTAAATACAAAGGCATTAAAGGATGTGAGCTCATTCGTTTCACGCTGTCAATTTTATGCTTTAAAATCTATTAAATATAATGAAGAGGAAGAAAATGAAGAAGAAGAAGAAGAAGAAAATAAATGAATAAAGTCTACAAAATTCCATATTCACTAAATGAGAGAAAACCGAATGAATTGAATACAAATATCTTTCGCGTCCCATTTACTATCTCTTTCATTCAATATTGTGAGAAAATAATAGCGATCCCATATCATAAAATCGAATAAGTTAAAAGAGGGTGGTTTCTTTAAGTACAATCTGCTAGCCCCCGAATAGGGACCGTCAATGTTAATGACTCGCCTAGAATGCATTATAATTAGTTGCGCGTGAGATATCATAACGCATCCACTGCGCATCCATCACCTGTCACAATTAACCAGCGCTATCCTTCGATTTAAGTCGAAAAACTAACGCCATGGTTTCCATGGTTTGCGTTCCTTTTTACACCACTCACTACTTATTCAAAAGTCTCGAGAGCTATTCTGTACAACACGTCTCAGCGGAATAATTTCTGACACTGTCACCTAAAACCCAAAGATTGTACTTTCACCTGAAAAACTCATAGTTGGAAAATTTCTCGCAGACAAAGTAGTGCTGTCCGTTCCGAAGAATGATAAAGGCTTATTTGGAAGCAAAGCTTGATACATAACGTTCTTCCAGCAGCACTTAATACTAGAAATTAACGCAACATTTACATACTGTCTCTTACTTATACATTATATATGAATTGGTGATTGTGAGCAGACTTTTCAATACATTTAGTCGAATTTTGAAACTCGACGCACAAAGATTTTATCGGTTAGAAATTTCTTAACGGTCAATTTGAAGCCCTACAAAAACTGATTGTTGTACAATTTTACGAATAACATTTTTTTGAAAAATTTATCAAATTATTTGGCAATAGTGGACAAACTTGTAGCCAAATTTTTGAATTTAATCGAAAGGTACGATTTATTAAATCAAATTTATATCCAAGGCAACCATATCGTAATCGTGATTTTAACAAACGCTCAGCCACACAGGTGCGCAAAGGGCCAGACAGAGAAGCTGAACTGAAGTGCAATAAATGAAGTCTTTTTACTTTAGACCAAGATTCATGCTATGAAATCAACGTTTTTCTATTCAAACTTACAAAGTCAGTTCCACGCCCAGACTGCATAGAATTCATGTAGTAATTAAAATTCGATTCTGTTGGTGAGGATGATCCATGTTGCGACCTGAAATGTGGGGAAATTGTATAAATTTCGATATTTTTACATTTCATTCTTTAAATTAACTCATACTTTCGCTTCGTTATTCTGGTTATATATATATTTTTTTAGACTTGATAAAGAATTTACGGTCATCGAACCCTAATTAAGTTATATTGTAAGGAAGCGTTTTCTTCCTTTATGCAAATTCTTCCTAAAACAAATTTATCTATCCGAAATCGCAGTCTGTCCATCTGTCCGACTCATTTGTTAAATGTTGAACTTAAACTTTATCTTTACTTAGATATCCATCGGCAACTTCTGCATGTTCAAGCTTATACACATACACATAGATACCTTTTTTTTAAATGCATAATTTTGATGCATCTTTTGCTTATACATTTTACTTTTGTTAATTCCTTTTGATTATCTATACATATGCTTTCTCCCGTCATACATTACGTTGTGTTATTCTTCTTATGCATCGTAATATTCACATACGAATCCCCATAAACTACATACGTAGGAGTAATCTGTAAACTTACTTATAAGTAATAAACTTTTTGTAACGTTACAGTGATGGTGGCAGCCGCTATAAAACCGCGATGCACAACACAGGCATTCTTTCAGTTGCTTTGCGTCGGTCGAACTGGTAAGTTCGTTATTAACAAGACAAAGTGGACAGATTACGTCAATTGTTGACGCCTGGTTCTGGCGTGAAATCCTAATCAGACGTGTTCACTACAACCATTGACAATGGATAAGTGTATTAGGACACCCCTCAATCAATGCAAGACAATCCTGCAGGGGAGAGGGCCTATTTCAAGAACTAAAATACCGGAATGAAAGTTTGCGTATAGTTCTAACCTTGCCCTCTGGGCAGAGCGAAGCCTACCTAGCACCTCTATTTAGTACTATTTAGTACCCCCGCATTTGAGGATACCACAACCAGCACGGGTACTGTCCGAAGCGCTGCACCTACGTGGTCAGACCTCACAAACCGGTTAAGCCCATTTGCGTTTTTTATTTAAGACAAGCATATATTTAGTGTTTGCACAAATGTTGATCAATGATTTCTACAGCTAAAAATTAATGATAGGGAAATGGGAAATGCCAGTGTACATAACGGTTCAATTCGATGGGTATGATCTTCCTCTCCATAAAAGAACAGTTTCTAATTCAATATTATGGATTAATGTGGCATGCGCTGACACTAATCATGCAGCGCTCAACATTCTTCTTCTTCCAAATTCGTTATTTTTGCTGTTTATTTCAAAAATCTGCTTCCGAAGCCCATCAAACACGTTCAACGGCTTATGGTGATGCTGCTTCATCATATCCCAATTGTCGGTTTTGATTCCAACGGTTTGTAGGTGGTGACACGAATTCAATGAAAATGTCATTGTTTTGATCACTTGTTGCAGGAGTCATCCAGGACACACCTTCGTACCTCGAAAGGGAAGTTCTACCCCATCCAGCGTGCTCACCACACACGGGGCCTCCTGATTACCAATATCGCTAGTGACCTTCTTGACCATGTAGTTATATCTTGGGCCTCCTTTGACCCCCGACTCTCGATGATTCTCCAAGAAAAAATCGCTGTCGTCGAGGAGATGACGATGCGGACAGGAGATGACAGGATTATCTTAGTCGCTGTTGTTGAACAACTGATAAGACTGTTAGCATAAGGGTTTTGTCTGGATTGGCTTAGCCGCTCATCTCCACTACTCGATCATAGAGACAGCTGACAGCCAGCTTAACCCCTATTTCTGAGTAACACTCTCGGCATATAGGCATATTAGAATTGACTTAAGACAGAACACTAAAGAACACTCTGTAACTGGTTCCGCCCATGTATAGGGGTGTTTGTTGTAACGAAAAGTGTTTATTTTTCACACCATGAAACGCGAAGTATAACGAGAAAGCCGTGACACGCCCAATAATAATCAGCACCAACCTTCCAACGGTTCGTATACAAATTTCATGACACGCTGACGATTAACAGACATTGCTTTTGTAGTTCTCGAAACAATAAGAGTTACTCAGTCAATGAATGGAAAATGTAGTTTAACGCATTAAGAGGGTGTACCCTTAATGAAAACTTAACATATGAACAAACAACAAAGCACTGCTCTAAAGTGCATCAGGCAAGCATTGAAACAAGCTATTACGCTTTTCACTCTTTACTCCACTAGCGTCGTAATAACGAAAGAAGAAATCACGAACTAAGTCTTTTTTTTTTTTTTGGTGTAAAGTCCAACTGTGTAGGCTAGATCTCTATGAACAGATCAGATCACTAGTCAGCGAAAAACCAATAAGTCATTTAGGTATGCTATTGATAAAATTACCAAGCATTGTAAGCCAGCGGGACTTGAAATTAAAAAAAAAAAAAAAAAAAAAAAAACGCTTCAACGTGTTTAGAATAACTACAACTTGTATATAAACTGTTTATAAGTGCGCACTCACGCAGGAAACGACAATAAAACAAGCAAGAAAATTATATTCGGTCGCGACCGAACCTTTTGTACTCATCGCCGACATTATGACGTTTTCATTTTTGCGATCAGGAGAGTGCCAACAACAAACACCACACGATCGCGTAGACGGACAGACATGGCTAAACCAGCTAATCAAGAATGCAAATACTTTATAGCGCCTTCTTTCGAGTGTCACATGCATTATGGAAAAAATCTTCGGTCGATCTTACAGTGGTGGGTACAAAAATTATCAAAAATTACTTTAAAGTTTTGAATGCTTTATTTATAATAATAATAATAATGAAAACTTGTCAATTGATGCAGCATTGTGTACACATGAAATATTTAGATCTGTGCCGTCAAGCGGATAGGCGGAAAAATTACTTCAAACATATCTTTTTGATCTTTATCTTTATTGTCTGCTTGATTGAGGGCTGAAGGATATTACGATGCAAAATATGTAAGAGTATTTATATGAATAGAAATTGTACTTACTGTTCCGCATTTTGTATTAATAAAAATCCTGAATTTGACGTTGACTCGTTCTCTTTTGTTATATTAAGCATATCGTAGTCGCATTCATCTTCATACCAATTTGGCGATTCTAATAGAAGTGATATATCGAGTTCTTGAATTTCTCTTGGATTCGCAAAAGCGATCTTCGTAGAAGCACTATTATTCAAGCAAAACGCTAAAATTGACTCGTGATCCTTATGAATTATACGAATATGTTCATTACATTGCTCGTTAGTTGTATGATTTTCATCTAAACATAAAAAAAAAAATAAAAAAATAAGTAAATTGAATGAAAAATCGATATTCGATAGATGAGATCACAAAGAAAAGATAACAAATAAATGAATACTATCTCCTAAGTCGAAGTCCTTTTCCATATGCGACTAAAATTTTTCGAAATTTCTTTTTAATGAAATTCATCCATCCAATCGAAGCTTAAGCTTTAAAATTTCAATTTTGTTCAATATATCAATACCGTTTAACACTCTCATCTATCTATCACAATTCTAGTTCAGACGTTTGATTAGGCCTGAGTAAGGTATAAATTGAACAAGCAAGCTTAATTACGTAGTTACCTGTGTTTGCTCCATCGTAGGCATCTTCGTTTTTAGAATTGGTGTCCGTTTTCTTTCCAAATATTACCTTAACGAAGACATCTTGTGCAGATTCTTGGCGAACAAGATAATTCCATAAGCGACGTACTGGACCAGCTGACGAGCCCGTTATAAACGGAGTATTGTCTTTATTTAAAAGAGATCTGTACTTGTGAATGCCTAGAGCAGGAATACCGCTATTAATAAAGCAACCTAAACGCATTCCATTTAGAGAAGAAAACAAGAAATATGAAATTTAACAAGTTAGAGAAATAAGAGACTTATAGTAATTTGTGACCGAGACTTTCTCATACCAACCACTTTTACTTCAAAAAAAAAAAAAAAAACGATAAAAATGAAATTTGAATACTCGATGATACTGGTCAGGGGAGGGCCTATGTTTTTTTTTTTTTTTTCTATTCTCTATAGATGCCATACGTTCGATCAATCATAAAAATTTCCTGTAAGCCTTTACCGTTATATCTATTCTAGTTTAGCGCATTTGTTCGCTTTTGAAATTGAAGCCGTTATTTTTTTCTTTTGCGATCAGGGCGAATCGATAGACAAGAATTATTCTTCCTTGCTCTGATGAAGATCTTTGATTTACAATCAAACATAAATATACCATATCTCTGGCTCTTCCTTGAAGATGTTGCAAGCGATTTTGACCAAACTAATACATATGACATTAGGAATTATTGAGCTTATTCTAGCATTCTGACCGCTCACTAGTTCTAAGAGAATAGTATATTCCTATCAAGGTTTTGCCGAAGCAATAGTCACAACAAAACTTCCCAATATCACGTTTCTTATAATATATAAAATCGTTAAATAACGAAAAGGAAAAAAAAAAAAAGTAATAATTGATATTTCTCAGTATATGTTTGTTGTTTACGTTTTTATTTGCTCCGACTTTTTATTATCAATTGCGATTTCAACGCATAGTCACCTAGGCAGACAGACATATCTCGCTGGTTTCCGTCCTTCAAGCCGATCAAAACGTTGCAAATGCGTTATACCAAATTTCACGTATATTTCGAGGTAATGCAAATGTGGTGGGTATGAAAATTGAAAAATTTTTATGAATATAATAATAAATTACCTGGAATATAATCTTCGGTTGGCGGACCTTTTGCGGTCAAAACCTTCAATGCAATGTCCTGCCATCTGTTTAAAGTTCGTAAAACTTCGTGGGCAAGAGGACTCAGGACAGGCAAATCTGTTTAATATTCATTTTATATGTAAAATGTTTTATATCAAATTTGACATAATGGTACCTTGTATTTCAATACCAGAAACACTTATAAAATCCTGAACATTTTTAGCAAACATTTTAATTGAAGCTAATCGAAGTATAGACCATGAAAATGACGTTGGATTAGAATGCTCAACGTTCTCTTTATGAACTGTTTTCTTTACATTTAAATCGAATCCAGTTTCGTCCTCTTCGTTATCCTCTGACTCAGACTCGAAAGCATCATCGGTATCATAATCATCATAATCTATAAAAAAATCGTCCATTTATAAACCGATTCATAAAAAAAAAAAAAAAAAAAAAAAAAAGAAAGAACTTATGTGAAACTAGTACAAAATCTGTGATATAAAAAAATCATAGCAACGATTTAAGATAAACTCGCCTATCAGTATGTCGAACGATTCGGAATTATTACTTGGTGTCTGTCCATGTATATTTTATTTTAAACTTCGGATCAAGATATTTTGATGAAATTTTTTACATTGATATGATTTGATTGGGCCAATCGGACCAGACCGGATTATTTAAACGAACGCTATAAAAAATGGGCTAAACCGCATCAGTTTTACAGCCGCGCTCCTACTATCGCGGCCTATTTTAACTCAGTAATTGTATTTTTAAAACTTTCCCGACAAAAATTTATAAAAAGTACTATATTGACATAGTAAATGAGTATGAAAACTTCGGATGAAATGGGACCGCAACTTGAACCACTATCCATTCAAAAATTTAGCTTGTTTGAATTGGTAATGAAATTAACACAAACTGAAATGTTGCAAAAATATTTTGTAAAAAGAAAATCAATAGCAAGTCCCATAGGTGAATGCGTAAAGTTTTATTAAACGGGCGTCGAAGAATTCTAGCTTTTAAACCGAGTCGTTATAGCGCTATTCGATTTCTTAATACTTATAGCAGATAATTTATTTGTTGCTTTATTGGAGAATCTAGGTAATTGGGTTTTGGGTTTTGGGTTTTGGATTTATGTCTACATTCCGAATTGCAACACATACCTATATTTTTTGGTTTCGTTAAAAAATTGGATAACATAGACATCTCTGGCGGTACAAATTGTTCACGGTATGTTGGTTTGTCTTCCTTCATATGGATTGAAGTGGTACTATTGCCAAAATTACCCAGAATTTTCATATTAAGCTTTACTCGTTGTTTCGTTATCGAAGTGACAGTATTCCAAACATTATTATCCTCTGAAGTGTCTTCAGTAGCTTCCTTTATAGGTACTCCTTTATTTTCAGATGTAGGATTTCTTAGCAATTTTTTCATCCCGCCACCAAAAATACAGGACCAAGCTTCGACCGAAAAGTTTTGAGCCACCAACCTATACAATATACGGCTATCACAAGTTATTAATGCGTACGCAGCTAACGATATATATGTTGCAATAAAACTTTCTAATAACAATACATTTAACTTTGGAATGTCTTCGTCCTTTTCTCGTGCTAAAAGTGCTCTTAAATTGGCCACACCAGGCCATTTTGAAGGGGATGTACAAATTGTCGTTGGTTCTTCGGTAAATAACATTCTCCTTCTATTGTAAATATTCGTGTTACCGATTAAATGGGAGCACTCGAACGACGAATTTAGCTTTGCAATATTCTCTATACCGGGACTTTGAAAGCCGCTTTGTGAGACATTGCTTACCACAAAGCTCTCTGAATCGCAAAGCGATTGATAAATGCACGATGAAAGCGCTACGGCCAAGTCTCGCAAGATAAATATTTCGCAAAATGAATTAAACTCTAGTTCGGCGAACGGTGAAAACTTAATTATGCTTTGTAGCATGTCAACAGTTTGCGACTGAAAAACAATTCAAATTATATATATTGCAAATTTGAATTCGAATCTCTACAGCAAACAGTCACCTACTTGCAAATACTTAATTGGATCAGCAATTACAGTCTTATTTCCCGCTACACATGCGCTTAACAAAGGCAATGTTGTTGGAAATGGTAAAGGACTTAACAATTGTTGCTGAGTTTTCTCCTGTTGCAGTTCCTGAAGCAAAAGTACTAGCTCCATCCTTACTGAAGCCAATCCTCCGCCGCTAGCTCCATGCAAAGAACAGTAACTTAACAATGTCCTCAACAATGTTTCATTTGCTAGAAATATGTTTGAAATATGGTAAGAATGTAAAATTTTAAATTTAAAAATTAAATTTTACCTTTAAGCCACCTCTTTCGTTTAGCTGCCCTCATCACTTTTGCTTCAAAATCCTGTTTTTCATGCATTAATATTTCATGCAAAGTCGGCTTTTCAGAAATGACATAACCAGAATTCGACATCTCGATTTCCTTTAACATACATACATACATAAAAGTTTACATTTTCATATAACCGTTGAGAATAAATAAAAAAAATTTATGCTCTAATAAATAAGTCGAACTTTCTTCACATATTTTAAGTAGTATGTCCGCCTAAGTGGCCGAAGGCGAAAAATCTCGACTAGCAACTTAATGGTCGTGAGTTCGAATCCCAAGTGCGGTAGAGTTTTTAATAATTTAAAGCCGGTAGCCTTAGATGTTAGTGCTTTAAGAGTTTAGTCTTAGAACTTATTTCTCTGACGAAATTAATAATAATAATAATAATAATAATAATAAATATTTTAAGTAATTTACTTTCGGCTATGTTTTCTTCTTTCAAGTGCTTCAAAAAGTATCCATAATTGAGAAGAGACATTTGTGAACGAACATGGATGATTGTCAAAACTTAACCAAAAGAAAAACTAATGCATTTTCCTCGCTCTCAACATACGACTGGCTCGTAGCAGCGAAAACTCTAATATCAATTAGACAATTATTCTATGAGAAAACTAAAATTATTTCACATATTTGCATTTATTATCATTTTTTTAAGATTATTTTTATATATACAGATGCCTTCAAATTTTTCTTTGGCCAATTGATATATGATCTTTCGCGTAGCAGTTTTTTGTTCCTTACGCTCTGGTATAGTACACCAAAAGTGAATTACCGAACTTAGTAGTACAAGTAGTACACTAATAAGAAGAAGAATAGGCATTGTTTTAATTATTAGTAAGCGAAAATGATTTCTTTCGTTTCATGAAACATAGCCCTATCCATAAAGGGAGTTTTTTTTAAAAAAATGGAAATACATTTTTGACCAGCCCGATGGCGCAAGTGTTCGGAATAATATTTTATTTACCTTATTAGCCTGAGTATCGCTGGTATACTCTGCATTGGAATCAGAGTAGCAATAGTTGCATAAATGTTTCAAAGCGTCGACCTCTTTTTCAAGCCAAATATAAAGTTGATAACGCAAATGGCCACCATCTACTTCAAAACCTGTAGCTAAAGTTGAAAGCTCTTCCATTAAAATTTTAAGACAAGCCACAAATTTAAGCTGCTGCGCCATAATATCGATATTAATGGTTTTACCATCTTGTTGATGCTTTAAACCATTATCGGTATTTTTAGCATTTTGTTTCTTTGACATTTTATCATTATTGTCTTTTACATTGTTGCTTTCTATATCTTCGTTATCAAATTCATCGTCAGCTCCGTCCGAATCCCATTCAATTTTAAATCCATCATCAACTTTTTTCTTTGATGTTACAGGTGCACCCCAATCAAAGTCTACAGAGTTGGCGGCAGCTACCGTATTACTCGATGATATATCCCATTCGATAATACCAGTTTTGATAAGTTCATTCTTAGTTTGATATTCTTCGCGCGCCTCTTCGTGATTGCTATCATTCGGATCTAATATTTTTGTAGGCAGTTTATTAAGCACCTCTAAAGCTAAAGCCGGGCATCCTGCCTTAAAGTGACCATGTGCAGTTGTAAAATACAGCTGCCTCTCTATAGAGGTAATTGAATCTTCTAATAGTAGTTGCTTATCATTCACATTTAAGGCTGCACCGTCGCCAGCATAAGTAAATCCTGACAGCACATGCGATATTTTCTTCTCTTGAGCTGATATAGCAAGGCTTTGCCTGACAAGTAGCGGATGTGTCCGAAGGTAAATGTAGAAGTTAAAAACATTTGGATTAGTTGCATGAGTTTCCTGTTTAAATATGTCGTCTTCCTTGTAAGCGACATGATTTTGGCCAACTCCGTTTAAAAGCAATGTGTTTAAGCTATCTTGATATTTTTTTAATATCCAATATGCCATTGAACGTAAAAAGGGATCTGGATGCGCTTTGCTTATTTCAAATTTAATTTGTTCGCTCTCACTGCCCAAGATATGTTGGCACAAAAGTTTTCTGTATACTGAATTTGCATTTACATCTAAATCGCCCTCATAGAGACGTGCTATGATAAGAGCTAACTGAAAGTCCTCTAATTTATTTATGCAGACCTCAATTGCATCGTTAAGAGAGTTCGCGAGCAAAAAAAATGAGACGGCATGTTCGAAACGTTGCTTGCCAAGTAAGACAAATGCATTCTTAAGAGCTGCTTTACGCCATCTATCTTCAGAAAAATTGTTTGCGAAAAATTGCGTCATTTTCTCGTCACGTTTCGATCGATAAAGACCCCAAACAATTGATTTCTTTTTCATTGCTAAATAGTAAAGAGCTGCATCAAGTGGATCTTGTTTCATTTGATAAGCGCTTTTTGCAAGTCTTTCCACGCATTTGCGCAGCATATTAATGTTACGTAGCCAATAGCCAACGCCAAGATCTTTTAGGGTTGACCATTTAACATCACCCTTCTGATAAGACGGTATTAAATTAATAAGCTCTTCTTCGCTCTCTGAATGAAATGCCCAAACCACATTCGCTGTACCGATACCATGCTTCTGGAACATCGATCTCTGGTTTAACGGTAAACATCGCAAAAGATAAGTATAATGCTTCATAGCCAAAAGAAAACGTAAACCGCAATAATCTAGGGAATCCGTTAAAGAATTACCGGTAGATTCCTTATTACCGGAAACTTTGCCCGCTTCAGATGTAAACTTTTCGGAAATGTCTGTATTACATGTTGAAACTGTGTCGGCTAACGCAAGCAGATGCATCTGATCAAGCGAGGATAAGCCCGGCAAATGGGTATGTGTTAGCAGTCTTGAAAGTGTTTGCCCCTGCCGGGGACCAAAATGTGAAATACTTTGCTTCTCTGGTAAAGACTGACGTCTGTCAGGACGTTTAACATCACCTTCATTATGAAGCAGTTCATCTAAATTATCCTCTTTTGCATTCATTTCAAATAACTCGTTATAATCTTTTATGTCATCCGAATTATTATTGCCCTGAGTTGAGGTTTCCTTATCAGCATTCAATAGGACCCAAAGAGGTAGCGGAGGAATTGACGTTATTTCAGCGTAATCCAGCATAAGTTCTTCCGGAATCTGAAACATTAATTTTGTTACTTAAAAATTTAAACGAATTTGAATTTTTCGACGCATATTACCTGTGTCGTGGACCCACGGTGTTCAGTTTGCACATTAGAGTCGTTAGGATAACTAATAGATAGCGTTCTTGATCTTGACCATGATCTCTAGAAATAGTATAAAAAAAAGCTCACTGCTGTTGTGTTGAAGAATTATTTCTAATTTAAAATTTATATATTGGGGCTATGTATTTCATAAATTTCATAAATATAACTAAAATATTAAAATTTAATTGTTCGTCGCGCAAATGTCGTCCTAACTGACCGACTAAACAATAGCACATTTTTTTTTCATTTTAAACTGCAATGTTTTGCGAGGATAAAACAAAGATAGCAGCAAAAAGCTGCTTCCACTAGTCCACGTGGGTTAGCTGCATTCCCAAGTCAGATTGGAAGATCAAGCTTGAAAAAGCCGTATAAGGTATTATAGTACGACTAAAAGGCGATCGTAAAGTTTTAAACAAGATAACTGAATTTAGTGAAGAAATTGCTTTTCCCATAATAGCTCACCATCCCGATATATCATATATTATTATAACATATTCGAATAGTTTAAATTATAACTCTTGATACTCTCCTTCTAAAGGCTTCCAGAAGTTTTTTCCATAGTTTTTTGATTGCCTATTGATATGTGATTCTACATATGTCGTCATATTCTTAGAACAACGTAAATACAATTATAATTACCTGCCTGATGGTCGAGTCGTCACTTTCTTGGAAACCACCCAAGCTTGGACTGCTTAAACAGCGCACCAAGTGTGCCAGAATAGCTTTAACCCATTGTATTTTGCCACTGTTTAACAATTCCATAAGTTGTTTCGGATGATATTGCGGTAAGACAGGACACGCTATACGCGATGCTTGAAATAGACCAAAATCGGTCATATAATCATCGTTTATTCCATCGGATCCACTATGAATATTTCCCGTATATGAGTTGCAATATTTCTTCTTCTTCTCGCTTGAAAGCAATTGCGAAGTAGCCGTATTAACTTTGGTCATAAGAGGCAGCGAAGCCACGCTCTTCATTCGAATTTTCGATGATTCATTGGCAATCGATCTTAAATCTTCATCACGTAAATTTCTACCATCGAAGAGATCCTCGACGCAATGCTGTTGCGGATATCGCGGCTTCCATTGCGAATATACGTGCATTTCTGAGTCCATTGCTACCACTAGAATACCATCGCGTACCCAAGAAATTTGCATTGGTAACGGCGGCAGTCCATCTGCCGTTTGAAGATCAATTTGGCGTAATTTCATCCAACGTATTTCATCATTAAAATGCGGCTGAGCTAAAGAGCTTGCTTTACGTAAAATCGGCCGATTATTTGATCGCGATTCTTTCATTGCCTTAATATTAGCTTGAGCTATATCGGATGATACTGCTGTATATAATAGTATTTTGCTTCCAACTGCTACCGTTAATATATGAGAGCCGTCTTCTTTAGAAACCCAGTCGAGTTGTACCAAGTGTTTCTGCGTTAAGGGACAAGTATTCCCGTTTTCTGCTATACTTTTCCTTAACGACTGTAGGGTACTGAAACTTGGAACTGCCAAAAGTCCTGTCGGATTTTTAGTATTATGCTCAGGTGAAGATTCACCACTTCGCGGCATTCTGGCTTCCTCGTGCGTAGTAAATGTTTGCAAAACTTGATTCAATCGCTGTTTCTTCTGAAGAATTCGATTATCATGCAAGTAACTCATATCAATGCCATGATCGATGTTTATACGTGGCAAATGAATATTTTTCAAATGTATTGTATCCTCCAGGACCCATTCACTTCCTCCTGTACTTTCACATTCGTATATTGCAACGCATAAATTAATATATCGTGATTCGGGATCCCCGCCTTTATTTGGTCTAGTAAAACTTTTTCCGTATTTATACGCACACGCTATACGACCTGAATAAGCGGCGCTTATATTTAATGGTTGGCCAGAGATTTCTATAGCTGAATTTTGCTTTCTGCTAAACATTTTCCATTCTGTCCATTTATATTCATTAAGATGATCCGAAACGGGATTTTGTTTACTGGGTTCACATTTCCAAAATCTTGATATCGAATCGGTACAAGCCGTAACTATAATATAAGGAGCATAACATGCTGGATATATAGATGATGAACTTAAATGGCCAGCTGCAGGCGAAGCATGAATTACGTCGACACCTTCAGGTAACGGCAGTTCCTGCGTGCAAACTTTTTCGGTTACTATTGATATATGGGGCGCCTCTGTGGAGCCACCAATGTATGCAGATTCAAATTCAGAATGAATCTCAGACATTCGACGAGGGCCAGCATCAGCATCTTCTAAATCTTGCGTTAAATGGCTATCTGGAACATACATTGCCGTCTCCGATAAAAAGGTTGCTTGCTGCTTTGACGATATCACAATTTGCCACATGTGAATCGTGCTCCCTTTGACAGTCTTTTCAATAATCACTATATAAAATGGTTCTTCGAATTCAACATTTTGCTGCAGATCAACAATAGCATCCAGATCGGGTTGCATATTAATCTTTTGAGCTTTGTCGGGATCATTTTTAGATACACTGCCAGTTATTAACTGAGCCTGAAATACATGCAAAAATTGCGTGTTTTGCCAATCGTGTTGAGCATTTGATATGGCATCAAGTTGTATAATGCATCCAGGACGCGCGGTCGATTGTTGCGAAACAACTTTCAGTTTATCATGCAGAGACGATTTCAGGGCCTTTGCAGTCGAAGATGTATTAGAATAAAGCGATGAGGCTGAATTTGATTTTTGTAATTTCGTCAATGTCTCGGACGAGGAGATTTCTGCTAAAAGTGTTCGAGCATCAATTACAGCTTGATACACCCGCAAATTTTCTCCATCACTAGCAACGAAACAGGCCGACGGAGAATTGCTATAGCTGCCTAAAGTAGTGCTTGGCAGTAGGGTTGGTATCCATGCGACATTACTAAATGCGGAAATTTCTGGAGAATTTATGCGCGCAAGTTCGCTCACACCTCCCGAATGGCATAATGGGCCAACTGAATCAACTCTCCATAAAATTAGTTCTGAACAGAAACCAGATGTCGCAAAAACATTATCACTCATGTTCGATGCCTCCGTGAATTTATTATCAGATTCTGACAAATTATGATGCGATGTTGATACAAGAAGTGGTAATACCGGATGACAGGTTATATCGTTTACTCGAAACCGATGGCCTGATACTCGACTTACGTGCCCAATACTAAGAACTTGGGTAAATTTTGTCTTATATGCAAACGATAGTTGCCATAGGTTAAGCGTACCGTTTGAGTGTTTTGTAACCATTGACACGGTAGGCGATATACACGTTGAAATACTGCAATCGGAAACATCTTGGCTGTTTTCATTGTTACCTTGTTCAGCAGCTGATTTGTTTTCATCATTTGCCTCTGCGTCTTCGTCTTCGTCGTTTGTTTCAGATTGATTTGATTCTTCTTTCAAAGACATTTCGTCATCCTCAGAATTTTCGAGATTTCGACTTTTAACATGATTTGCGATTTCACGGAATGCTAACGGATGAGTACCGGTATTATACAAGCTGACCATTGTCGACATAGACATGGAATCTCCCAAAGGAAATGCGGAAGGTATTCTGGTTGAAAATGAAACCTGTGCTTGTCGAAACGACCCTGGATAATAGTCATCCAGCCACTCGACTACCCAAATTAAAAAACTGCCATCTACCGGATGTATCGCAAACAATAAATCCGGACTTTGATGCCAATCTCGTAATAGACAGTCTATCTTAATATCCAGAGAATCATTCAATTGATTGGCGCCTGAATGGTGCTCATTATTTAATGAATTAAGAGACGTAGTATTTGACATAGAGTTAATATTTTGCAATCCACTAACCGGAACTTGGCAATTAGAAAATTTGCTTTCGTCAACTCCGAAACTACTGTCATCTATAGACACTGACTTAGACGCTGTCCGCATATACTTTTTCTTAGATGCATTATAATCCGCACCGGAATCGTTATGATCGGACGAATTATGTGCGGAATTGCTTCCATTTTCTTCATCAATTACTTTTTTTGTTAACTCTTGCAATATAGCTTCAGCTTGAAGTGTAAAATCCATTTCTTTATTATTTAACCAATGCAGAATAAAATTACTTTGGTTTGTTGGATCTGAAGTTGATTTCATAGAAGGTACTAACGGAATATCTGTTTCAGCATTTATGGACGCAGCCAAATGAAAATGCAGACCTTGAGAAATGCCGGTTCCATGAAAGCCATAAGAATGAAAATCATGTACGCTACACGATGACGGTAAGGATGGAATAGGCGCATGATAATCATTTATCAAAGCACTATGCAGTGGTGTATTAACTCCAGCGTTCGTTTTTACATGCCTTCGAATATGAAAACATGTTTTCATATGTTTCAATCTTTGCATAAACCTATGTTTGTGGCGATGAGTTCTAAACTTTGGATTTTGTGAAGCTAATGGATCAAATTGTGTCATATTCACTAATCCATCATCAGGTAAAATTGTCTCAATCCAGACGCGGCATATATTATCCAGGCACGAAGTCACTAACATGTTTGAAACGGATCCCTTTGGCATATACTTGCTCGTCTTTCGCCAAATTATATTAGAGACAGCTCGAGGGTGAGCAATATACACGTAAGTGAAATTTAGCTCATCTTCTTTCAAAGCATTTAGGTTTGGATTTTTCGATGGAAACAGAACTACATTATTTTAGATATGTAAATGTTAAATAATAATTTATTATTTTCCACGTATAAATACTTTTAAGATGTAGTGTAAAATTTATTTATATTCTATTCATATTAATAATTAATAATTAGTAAGAGAATCATATTCTTTTCAAGATCGTTGTATCGTTGTCGTAAGCTTGATATAAGATGAGACTAACATTTCTTTGGTCAAAACATTGGCAATACCGACAACGACACGTCAGAGACCCATGTCCATCCGTCCGTCTGTATAATGTCTATTGTAAGCATTTTCCTAGCCGCATAAATGAAGCTATCAGCTTCGAATTTGGCATAAACATTAGAAGCGCTTGCACGCAATGTGGGCCGAGTCAGTGAAAAGATGTGCCTACAGCACTATGTAGACCGAAAACACTTCCGTTTTCCAAGGGAAAAAAATCGGCTTTTTGACTCATTACTCGCAAACGGCAGTAGATAAGTCTATAAAAATTTGAAATTATATTCTATGGGCGGTACTATAGCATATGTACAAAAATAGTAAAAATCAGCCACGCTCATCCTAAATTATAGAGTATGAATATTTAGTTTTTTCTCTCTTTTTTTCAGATAATGATTGATGGACACAAGAGAGTCGGCCTGAATCGGATATAACTTTCTGATTCGAATCTTTTCGTCTCTTTACGAATAAAAATAAAATATTAGAAAAAATGCGCACTAAATCAGTATAATTTTTATTATTTTTGCTAACATGTTACATAAATTAATATTGATTCCTAAGGGATGTGAATTGTGATGAAGGATGATACGTTTATTAACTTACTTTGTTTATTTTCGTACCAAATTTTCACGAGCCTATCGTTTCTACCACATGTCGCAAATAATGTACCGTCTGGACTGAAAGCCATATGATAAATTGGTATGGCTGTTTGACACGACCAAATATTTTCCCAAGAAACTCCATCTTCAGCAGATTCGGTAGCAGAGTTTTTGTTCTCCTTATCTCCTCCAATAACAAATTTAACCCCTGAAATCCAAATATATTTTAATAAAATATTATTTATTTCTCTTATAATAACTTATTTTTTATTTTATTTATTTATTCTTTAGCAAACATATGGAATACGAGACTGGTAATCGGGTTGAAAACTCTTTACAGAAATAATATAAACAAATACAAGAACGGAATGTACTGCATTTAACTTTTTCGTTTATGGCACTGAGACATTCATACCAAAGTTTTCAGATAGATAGATAGATGGATATTGTAGTGTGATTGCATATCGTTGAAGTGTAACACAATTTTCGTTTCTCTTTTTGCAAAAGAATTAGGCTGAATTTGCATAATTTTGTCGCACTTCAAAGTGGATGCATAACAACGATATGCAATCACACTACACCTTTCGGTGTAAAATGCCAAATGGATTTCACCATGTCCGCAGGAATATCTTTCCGTCTTTCATGCGTCAATTTCCTAACTTTTTACTTTGAATGCATGTTTTTCCTAATTTTTTACTTTTTTCTTCCTTATGAACTTTTTGTAAAATATTTGTTTAATCAGCCTAAGCCTGCAGTACCATTAACTCTTTGGGTTAATTTTTAAGCCATCCTAGTTACTCCGACCGTATATAACTTCCGAGATGTTATGAATTGTCCTTAATCTGATCATATAAGTCATATTTCTATGGCCATGTATAATTTTTTTTGTAAACTTTACATCACGATCCCCAGGGACCGGCCTCGTTTTAACGGAAAGAATGCTACCGTGTCTGTGTCGCTTTTAACGTTTTAAAACAGTTCACCGGCTTACACTTAACTTTCTACCAGAGTACGAAGAAGTAAAACAAATATCTTCAATTTTTTCGCAATTTCTAATTCACATGCACACATACGCCAAGTGTTATTATATAAAATTGTGTGATATCTTGTATTTTGTAAAGGTTTACGAAAGTGCCCGTCGCACCATATGCTTGTTTATCATTACATTATCATGGGGCTTCTATCTATTTATAAGTGTTGCAAACAAAATAACAAATTAACTTTATTTTCGTTGCGCGGAATATATTAAAAATATAATTAACATACCATTTTCTGGATTGGGATATTGACTAGGTTTTTCTTTCCATAATTGGATTGTGGATCCCCCTGTAAGTAGACGTGTACCTTCTAAATTCCACGATAGCGTTATAACAATAGAATGACTCGTGAAAGATCCCGTTTGTACCCATCTATAAAATGATACAAATATGACAAGGCAATAGTTATATCAAAAGTTGCAATAAAGTCCTGCATAATGGGCAAAATCTAACATTTTGTAAGCGACATTATTATGGGTATAAGAACTCACCTATAATCTAGGAAATGAGTGCAATGCTTTTCAGCTTGTAATACTGGCGTTGGTTCAAATATACATATTTTATTTTCATAAGCCGCTGCAATTTTTCCAGTGTCCGTGCTGCAATCAAGGGCCGATATCTTTACATAACCGTGAATAGCACCTGGTATAATCTGTACGCGTTCAAAAGTGCTCGCCAATATAACGATATTGCAGCCAGCTGCATAAGCCTGAAACGAGGAGTGATTTGCTAAATCATTTTTCTATACCCAACACAGAAGCATGGGTGCATATTCATTTTGTCGAAAGGAAACTTCAGAGACGCTATTAAATATACATATTCTTGATTAGCATTAAATTCTGAATCGATTTCATTACGTTTATCTGTTGGTTTTGTGTAATGTCTGCAGTAAACATTCTTCTGATAGTAAAAATGAAGCTACCATCTCGTACGCTAGTTGATGTTGAAATCGGGTCGAGGACACGCCCACGGTAATCGGAAAATACCTCCATGTTCGAAAGAAAAAGGGAGCTTTCTGCTCATTTCCTAAAATAGATGCAGCGACAAAAATTTCTACAGTTATTCTGTGAGAGATGCTTTAATGGTTTTACAAAAATGGACAAATCGGCCTCAACAGTACGACAGTATAGAACTGTAGAGATTTCATTTTTTTCTGGCTTTTTCTCTTGAAAAGGTGATAGGAATAAGAGATTTGGTAATAGCCGAATATCTTTTTTGCTACTTATTTAATATTGATAAATATATCGTTTTATGACATCACCATAAATGTCTTCATAAAAATGACATAATAGTCTATGTATCTAATAATTATTCCTTTACTTATTTAATGGTAAACGTATGATAAACAAATTGTTATCGTATTTATTTCCGTAGCTTTCAAAATAAGAATTACATTGTAGCGTATGAGTCATTTATGCGTTCGCCACAAGCACGCCTGGCCAATTTCAAATTTTGAATGCATCTAAACATATTCATCTCTTCATCTGCACAACTGTATGAATTCTCCTGTTAGCGAAAATGAAGATATCGTCTACAGATTTGCAGAAGAATTGGAGAGTGACCTAAACTTTTCAAGGGCACGCCCACAGACCTAATAAAAACTTTTATTATGAATATAGAAAACATCGAGTACGCTATTCCATATAATCGAGCATGAAAATCCAGTTCTTTTACTTTTTTGCCTTTTTTCGGATGACAGTGATGGGTATAAAAGATTCGGTCACGACCGAGTATAATTTTCTTAATTATTTTATTTACTTTACATACGATTTGATATGTAATTGTTTTGCATTTTCTTCTGTTTGGTTTATCATACTAAAAATAAAGACTAAATTTTTATGCGTAATTTAATCCACCAGAATCTGAGGAAATGTTGCATTCGAATTTTCTATTCGGTTTAGTTCCAAATTAAAGTCATATTACTAACCGAAAGAGTTTCTCATTATTTTTGTCGTTTTCATAAAGAAGTTTCATTATAATTCTTCATTTTAATTAACACATCAAGCCGATATAGGAAATTAAATATCTTTGCTGAGTAAGTGTTTTTAATTTTCGCAATGAAAGCCATAGTGATAGGTTCCGCTAGACAGTTTAATAAGACGGGGGATTTCATTCCTGGTCATATCTGTAAAATTTTCATGCCTCATTCAAAAAGTACTGTTCGTCGTTCGGATCTATTGATCTTGATAATTAAGAAAGAAATCATAGACGAAACCCGTTAAGTCCTCTGCAATTTGAAACTCAATACTTAGAGCTATTGGTATAGCGTTCTGTATTATAGGTGTAGTAAGCTTAATATATCTCCACTTTACTCGAAAACTAGGCAGTGTTGCAATTTTCATTCATACCAATATATGCACACACACAAAAGCGAAAACAATTTTTACCTGATTCCTCCTTTTTTATTGGCGTTACTTTTTAGTAAACATAATTTTAAATTTTTTAAGAAACACCAGAAAGTAATTTGAGCCATAACTGATGTTGTTGTTGCTCTCTGTCGCCAACTGAGCTTGACTTTGGAAACGAACAATACACTGCTAAAGAAGGGCAAAAATCACTCTCAAACTATGTTTCTATAACATTACACTACTGTGGAAAAAAAAGATTACCTCGCTATGATGTTGAGTTGAATTTATAGAATGACAACGTTAGGAGAACGTTTAATTAACTATTACTACTATTATTCATATTATTGTTATTATCTTAGCGAGAGCTTTCGCGGATATTATCAACAAATGAGTTGTTCCTTCTTTAGCGTGAAATTCATAGCCAAAACAAGAGAAAATTATTATTAATTTTTATATCCTACACGATTCATGACACAACACCTGCAGAGACCGCACCTTTTACTATGCCTATTGATTCAGAATCATTTCCCTAACCGATCTAACTATGTCTGTTCGTTTTACGTTCAACCAATAAGTCGTGATTTTTGGAGATATTTTGATGAAATTCGGTACAAAGACATGTTGTGCTCCAACAACGAATGCTATTGAAAATGGTTCGGATCGGATCACTTTTTCGACCATTTCCCATATAATGCATTATTTTGAAGAGTCTGTATTATGGTGTACGATATTTAATTGTGGGCCCCAGTCCAATATGCTATTGCTAGGCTATTTGCATGCTTTTTAATAAAAGTTTATTTACTCAAAATTTATTCACACTCTTATCAATTTTTTGTGATCAGACTAACACTAGCCGTTAAATGCCTGCATTTAACTTATTACCTCGCCGATTTATTGCTTCCTTTAAGATTTTTACCTACTCTATTCGAACAATATATATGTCACTGCCTCGGCTTGAAGTAATTAGATATTGTATGCTTTGATTATTATTCGTCTTTACAGTTCCCTTCTTTTGGAAAGTTAAAACTTTTATTTATGTGAAAAAATAATTTCATTGATGGGATAAAGTGATTGCAACTAAGCAAGGTAATGCGGAAAACATTTTGGTTCCGATTTTAGAGTTAATCTTTCGGTTATGTGCTAAATGAAAATAGTGTTACCAACCGATAGAAAATCTTTCGTAAAAAAACTTTATTAAAATAGCTTTCATCGTATTTCGAGTCCTTCTAAAATTTTCAGTTAAACGTTTTATTTTAAATGAAATGCTAATGTAATCAAAAATTCTTCAAAGGATTGCTTGCAAATTTTGAAGAACAATTTCTTTGTATGCGTACGTCTCCGATCTAAATATAAGCCAAATGTTTAAAAAATAATTTTTGTTGAATCAGCTACCATTGAGAGAAATGAAACTTTTAAACGGGAAGAGAGAGCATGCCACTTAAAAATTTTTCTTTTGGTCGAATGCTAGGTTAAGATGATATTATTAACCGTGAAAATCATTCAAAGCAACCATGCTCGTAATGGCATTTAGGGAGTTTTAGTTAGCAGGTTAGTTTCAGAAAAGCAATTACTATTGTAATGTTTTAGATATTAAATTAATCTCTTATACATTCTCGTCATTTATAACGGAGCAAAAGGAGTTTCGAATGGCAGTCAAGTCTACCCAGCCGTACCGTGATCAAAAGAAATTCATTTATGGCCCCATTAAAATGTTGGATTAGAATTTCGTCTCTGAACAAATGCTAGATTAAGTTAATATTACCAACGATAAGAGCGATTTTTCACCAACACTTTCGAAAGGAGCATGCCAAGGGAAAATAAAGAAAACGCCGTCGCGGGCGCATTGCCTTAACTTCACTGTCCAAGTAAAAACGAATCGAAAAAATTTCCCTTTTTTGCCTGAACACAAGCAAGCACATCTCAATACCATTGATAGAAGACATGGACCTGAAGTTTGACAGTTCGAATGCCGTCCAATCTACGAAAGCTTATTATAGATAAAGAAAAAGCGTCCTAATGTTTTCTCATCATTAATCGAGTCCGAATCTTACATCAGTCTCTAGTTCGGTCTTTCTGATGTTCAAATTTTGTAGGAATGGCTCGGAAAAAGGTGTTCATTTTCATTGGTTAACCAACGGATCATTCTCACCAACTCGTTCACATGCACTTAGTCTTACTCCAATAGAAAGTTTGAAGAAGAAATTCTACAGATTGTAAAGAATTGCTTACTGAGGAGAAAGTTCAACGTAAAGAAATCATATTAAAAAAGAAAATAGTGATCAACGGGATAGTAAAAATTGATCTATGGCTTAAATTTGCAAATTCAGTAATACTTTTCTCTCTTACCGTCTTTTTGTTACAGAAAGCGCTCCAAATGCTGATAAGTAAAATTTACCCCGCAAGTGTTTTTCTTTTTTCATTCACGTTAGCCGAAGACTTGGCAAACAATCGAAAGAACAAAGCATGAAGAAACAATGTTCTTCCAACTATTATTATGGAAATTTTTAGCTGCATCTATGCACTTTTTGTTTTTTACTCTTGGTAGATCTCCGTAATCGGTCTACATAAACTCCTTTGTGAAAATTATTACAATTATTGTGCTTCATAAATGGAAGCTAATATTTCTAGCCATATCTCAAGCGGGATTCGGGAGGTATACCAAGAAGAAATAAAGAAAATGCCTGCTAGAAAAAATTCATAAAATATCGTTGCGCAAATTTTGACCTCTCACGCATTCCTGCTGATTGGCGAAATTGTAATGAACCTACAATCGCTATACTTGACGCCATGATTTGAAATATAGTCGCTATTGTTTTATGCAATCTTCAATATTAGCATGATTTTTTCCCATTTTCTTGTGCAAATTGATATTGATCAATTTGCATTAATCCGATACGTGTCAAAAATTTCGCTTGACTAGGTATACAAAGTATTTTTGCATAGATGAATTAAACTTTTTAGTTCATCGCACTAACTCAACGTCGACAATATTAGTCAACCGACTCAAAGTCGGTTTGACTAAATTATTATACATTACAACTAATTGAATGAAAATTAGCTAACTTACAATTGATTGTCTACGTAAAATGTATTTGAAATGCTATTGCATTTCGGAATGACTTTAAGAAAATTAACTAATGCAAAAAAATTGCAAATTACAAAGTATAAAAAAAAGTAAGCCAACATATTTATAATAATTCAATGAAGTGCCCAAAAAATAAAAAAAATAAATAAATAAAAAACAATTGCTTTTAATGCCAAATCCAAATGAATTTTTATGCAGCTCTAATAAAAATTATTCTACTTTGTGTAAAATTTCAGGGCCATTTTCCCAATAGTGTCGGTTAGTGTCGGTTTTTCGCGTAAGGTATATATATATATATATATATATATATATATATATATATATATATATATATGAAAATATTATTTAAAATTCATTTTAGGGGTTGCAGTGGCAGGTGGAATATTCAACAAAACCTGAGAAAATCAATTAAATGACATCTTTTTACCTTCTTCTTCAATTTTTACGATTGAGATTTCGCTTGACATTTCAACTGGCAGATAGAAAGGAATTTTCGACATTTATGACACATATGTTATATATATATACGTAAACGTATTAAATATTAACGGCTAGTTTTATGAGATCTTTGATGAATACAAGTAATAAATTGAAGCTTTTATATAAGTTCATGTTTGAAGAAAAATATTTACATGCATACAAATATAAATATAAATATATATACACATGTACGTATGTACATGCGAATGCATAAAGATAAGTTAACATATTTATTTAATTACATACAGTAAATGGGATCCCTTCTACTGAGCCAATGGCGAAACAACGATCTCCTGCATTGCAAGCCCCGCTTAATATTTGATGACAGTTCATTATTTTTTCATATTTTTATAAGAGAGTAATTTTATACGAAAACAACACTATTTTTCATATTATTTTTTTATTATTTTTTTTTTTTTCTATAACTCGTTACATTTTCTGTATGAATACTTAAGAAGTTACGATACAAACTTGCCAAGCTGAAAATATTATGTCATATGGAAAAAAAAAAATGCAATCTAATCCATTCAATTCCATTCAATGTATCTTAATGCAAGTGAAGATAAAAACTCTTAATAAAACATTTGTAAAACCATGAAAATGAAACAATTGTGCAACGTGTGTGATAATGACTTATTTGCAATAACTAGAAAAGTAAAGTGATGATTTCTAGCAATTCGGTTGGTTCGAATCAATCATATACAATATTTTTGATTAAAATTGTGAAGTAGGCAATATATGAATTCCCATATTTTTATTTGTTAGTAGCTTTGTTGGAAAAATCGTTGGTAGATATTTTATAAATAATAAAATTGCAAATATAGCTTAAAAGAATAAATCACCTCAGATTTGATTTGGAGCGTTTACAAAAATCGTTGTATGAAAAAACTTTCCTTCGTATTTGCTCGAACATGCGCTTGAATATTCGACCCAAACTAGAGAGTTGAAAAGTAAAACATTTTTTTTTGTTATGTAAGCCCGATCAAATGCTAGTCCTGATTGTTCCGAAATCCAATGTTCAACATTGTAAGAATTGCTGGATTAAAATTACATTTTAAGACTTGCAAAGAAGCCCTTTGAATTTTTTTTAAACGAACGTACGCGATTAAACTCGAATATGGTACAAATTTGCATATTCCATCTCCTACTTATTCATGTCTTACACTAAGTGGGGTGGTGCTTTTTCCAATCAATCTAGACTAATTCTGATAAAATTTTGATGGAATATTTTTCACTGTTCACTGTGTATCTCGCAGAAAAATCACAATATATTTTGAGGGCTAAAGCCCGTACCTAGTGCTGGGGTAAGCTCAGCGACTTCAGATTTGGTTTCACAAAAATTTTTTTCTTATTTACTTTTCTTATAATCTCTATGAGAGTTTAAATTTTTTTTTTGTTTCTTTGTTTCACAATTTTAAACACAATTTCACAAATTCTATGAGAATCCTTGAATTCAAATGATCGTTCATTTTGTTTACATTTTTTCTCTTATGACAATTTGTAGACTTCAACTTTAAATTTTCGTTGCACTTGATTAGTAAATAACTGAAAATCATGTTTTCTTTTCTACTTCAAATATAAATTAATTTTCTTGATTTAAAGACCTCGAATAACTAAATCTTTCTAACTTACTCTTGCACTTACAAAATTTGACTTCAAGTTCGGCTTGAGCTCTCATCCTGTTCTGATTTTTCTTTACGGTACTTTTTCCCTACTTAATCCTAATTCGGCCTAACTTACTCTAGCGCTCCCTCTCAGAGACCAACAACCTGCGAGGCCAAAACGAGGTACGACTTTGACTCCTCACAATATATAGTAAGTACAGTAAACTCGTGCGTAAAAGCCAATTATATGATATAGAAACCGGATAAAATATGTATACATTAGGAGTAAGGCTATTCATCTATTTAGCCTTATTCATCCATTCTCTCATCCGTCTATTTATGATCTTTTTTATCTTTTAGACTATTCACGCTTATAAAAATTTTTGAACGTTCTAAAGCTCGACATATGTATTGCTAATTGTTGACTAAAGAACAGCGTTGCATAGGCGTTATTTGCCTATAAGACAAATCTTAAAAAAAAAAACTGCAACCTGCAGTCCATGATAGTATAACTAAAAATTGGAGTACACATATATCAGCATCATTGAGACACACAACGAAACCAGTAGGCAAAAACTTATGCTCAGCAACAGATACTTTAAATTAAAACTTCGTAAAGAAATTTCCGACCGATGAACTAATGTGACCACAATAAAGAAACACATTTCATATATTCAAATTCCAATGCGATTTATGAAGGAATAATAAATTAAATCTGAAACTAATTATTGTAAAATTATTGTAAAATCCTTGAATTGACATGTAAGTCCATTAATCTTTTAGATTTTTAAAAAATTTCTTCTTCTTATTCTTCTCTTCTCGTATAATTTTTCTGATAACCTGAAGTCATGCCTTGGGTTATGTTATGATAAATTATGAAACCCCAAATTTCATCAGAGTTGCTGCTGAACAAAACCACTCTGTGTATTAATTACATGCAATAATAATGATGTACGGTTATCAATTACTCGTAGAGAAGTAATTGAAAGGCAATTGCTTGGTTTGTCATTGTATGTCAATAAATGAGACATTTCCCTGTTTTTTTAATGGTTGAATATTAATATACATTAAAAGAAAAGAAAAAAATGGCCGATTTCTTAGATTCCGAAGCAGAGGAATCCGAGGTAAATACTTTTGGAATAGCTTAAAGATTATGGTGCGTCCAACTTAATTTATGTATGTTTTCAGGAGGAAGAAGAACTTGAAATTCATGAAAGGAAAAAACTAAAAAAATTGAAGGCAATGGCTGATAGTAGCGAGGAAGACGAAGAAGGTCTGTGCGGTGTCAGATATTTTTATGTATTGAAGGTTACATTATATTAGAACACGTTTTTTGTTTATATGCCTCGACATCATTTTACGTGGCCCATGCCACTCAAATCCCGATGAGATCTCTAGATTGTGATCGCATCTAATTTTCAATCCAAAAGAATTGCTCGAGGTCATTGCACATCGTTTGTAAGAAATTTAATTTAACTTTTGGTTTCCAAAATGTGATTCAACGTATATTTGATTTCAGTCAAATTTTGTGTATCCCCATTATAATTCTTAGTAATCTTTTCGGAAAACTCTCTCCCACGTTTCCTATAATGACTCATATAATAGAAAGAAAGAAATCTGGCCCAACTCCGACAGTTCCCGCCGGACGCTAACTTTAAACCTCCTATCAAGCGAGTATATGGGCTGAATATTTATAGACTTTTGATCATTATAGTCCGTGACCTTTGAGAAAATGTTCGAACATTTGTGTGATGCGAAGTAACCAAATTTCACGCAAGCATTTAAAAAATACAATAATCTTTTGCCAATAAAAGTGATTTAAACATACATCAATTTTATGACTTCGAAATACAATATTAAAGTAAAAGTATTTATATATAGCCACCCACTCTTGAAAAATTGCGGGCACGCAATAAATTTCTTATGCTGTACTAAAAGCTGAAACATATATATGTATATGTCGGTGCGTTCAGTATGTAATAATTTATGCGTTCGTTTACAATTTTATGCTAGTTGGAACGGCCTGACACCTGATCTGCTTGATGCCTTCGGGTCAGGTGTATGAAAGAAAATAAACTTTGTTCCCTCATAACAATCTAAAGCTAACATAAGACCAAAAGTTTGTTTAAAGAAAAAAAAAACGTAATTCTTTATCAAGACAATTTTGAATGTTCCCAATCGGCCAACTAACACATTGAAAAGTGACGAAAAATCAACTCTTGAATGTATTAAGAATAATAATTCTGCAATTCCGATCGGATAGACTGTTCCCTACCCTTCTTCGTTGTTTATCAAAAAAGTCCTTATAATAATTATATAACAAACAATAATTTTAGCAATGTGTATAATCAGTTTGCCGAGCTTTTAATTCCAAGTGTATGAAAATTGTTATAAGAAAAAGGAGTTTAGAGTGAATTTCATTTTGAAAATTGAAATATTTAAATCGCATAGTTCTGGAAGTTTTACAATTGAAAGCTAAAAATTGTACTTTCAAAGCGCATTCCAACTGCTTTTTAATTAATGAACTTTGTAAAGTTGTAAAGGATATAGGAATTCGTAGGCAAACCTGTATCGGCAGAGTATCAATGTAAGCCATACTAAAAATATTACAAGTTTGTTGTATTGCAACCGTCGCAATTTTCAATGCCATATTGAACAGAACATTAAGAAGATTGTCAGAGCTCGACCTTTAGATGGAACAAAATAATTCTCAAGTTACGCGCGTGAAAAACATTTAATATGATTTTTGTGATCACTTCTTAACAGCTAATTAGCTAATGAATACAACAAATAAAAATGTTTTTCCTATCACGATCACTTGAAAAATTTACCTTTTTCTCGACAATTGTTTTTGTAATTGTAAATGAGAAAGTTGAATGCGTTTACATAAACACATATTATATATAAGGATTTCTTTTTTTCTTTATTTATTATTAGACGATGATGAAAGGTTGCGAGAAGAATTGAAGGATCTTATTGATGATAATCCAATTGAGGAAGGCAGCGACGGAGAAGACACCGATAATTCCAATTCATCGAAGAAAAGAAAAAAATACGACGATGACGATGACCTAGATGATAGATTAGAGGATGATGATTATGATTTACTTGAAGAGAATTTGGGTGTCACTATTGAGAGAAGAGTAAGTATAGTAATCTTAATAATAATTAATATACACTACTATTAATTTGTAATGGAAATTTTTATAGAAACGTTTCAAACGCCTTAGAAGAATTCAAGATGAAGAAAGTGATGGCGAAGATCATGTTGACGAAGGCCTCGCGAGAGAAGCTATAGCTGAGCAATTATTTGACGATAATGAGGTAAGCTATCTTTTGTTTTGTTCTTTTCTTTTTTTTTTTTAATGGTATAATAAATTCCACTTATCGCTTAGTTTAACACTTAGATCGATATATCGAAAGATATAATTTTATTATTTCATTTGTAATTTATTTTATTTATTTATTTTAATTCTACTTATACATGAAACTCGACTAAACAAATAACAGTCGACTTCAATTGGCACTTAAAGCAAAATTTATATTAAATTAATAATAAAACTTAGTATAAGTACAATAAAACAAATAAGACGAAAAAAAAAGAAAAAAGGCATGTACACAACCAGCATAGGGCCATGAAGCAACAGTCGGACGAATGATAGTTCTTGGAGTCAATAATACTTTTTAATTTGTTTTCTTTCGGTATAATAAACGGTAGATTCTATCCCAAGTTCTTCGGGATTTTGCATATACATATGCACAAATTTAATACACCATTGTACCGCAAATGGGACAGTGTATAATAAAAGTAACCCAAATTAAGAGTCATAGCTCAGCAATTGGCAATAAAACTAAAACAGACGTACTCGATAATAAATTTCACTAAAGATGTAGGTAAGCCATTGGTAAGGTACATTTATTTGGTCACGTTTGGTCCACCAAATTACTTAGCTTAACGTTTCGTGGAACCCGGAGCACTATAGATGCAAATTAAATATGTATTTACTGTTAAGCATTACGATCAGATCGCAGAAAGACATTACACACTGATCATTATATCTGATCATTAATCATTGTAGTCAAAAGACATAAGTGAAATTTTACTAAAGGATTGGCGAAGATCCAAGCTCGATATATTCTCGGATCGAAGAAAGACCTTCCTATCATCCGAAAAAGCCACTGCCCAAAGATCATTTTTGTGAATAGCAAGAAGCAAATTCAATCTAAGTAAGACTTGATATTTCACAATAATATCTGTAGAAAAGTATCAATTAATAATAACTTTTTCAAGAACGATTTCTAAAATACGAGAGAAACTATTTGAAAAAAAAGCTCATATTATTAGGTTAATGACTTTGGCCCCGCTGCTTATTTCTTTTTGAAATTTTATTGCCTGAAACCATTGCTAGGCATGGCTACTGTCATCACCGATTTTTTAAAATTTTTCACAAAAGAAACCATTTTTGAGTGTCGTTATAGCAATGGAAGCACCTTTCGAACAAATAATAAGTCATCCATTGAAATCCGTATTAATCGGAAGGAGTAGTGCGTGCTAATGACAGCGACGAAAGTAGAACATTTCAGGTTAGAACTGCAAACATTTCATCGGCGAGCTCTACTCTGTGGGACTGTATTTCTCCAGGCTGAAAACTCAGGATATCATAACTTTTGACATGTCACGCCCATTTTTTGTCTTAATGGCATTCAATTATTGTTGATAGTTTTTCTTAGTAATAGCTTCACTTTCTCCCTCACGGCCGGCCACCATGGATATTCAACTTTAACGCCAATGTTAATGCCTCTCGTATTACTTTTTGATATCGTTACGCATCTATCGTTTATCAGTGAAGTGAAATTTTGGCAGCACTACTGTACTTCAAGTGAAGCAGGAAAAGTAAACTTTTCCATAAATTGCGTTTTTTTTTTTTAGACCTGAACAAGGCCTATTCAAATCAATAAGAAACCATACTATATGTGCTTTTGTCTGATAGGTTGTACGATGGCATATAGCTTAAAGAGAGTACTTTCAAAGGAAGAAGTAATACTTTTACTCAGCAACATACAGTACTCTGCTTACTGCTTATTCTCTTAGAAAACAGCGGAGCCAATTTCATACAAGTAATATATAAAAATAACATCGGTTCCCATGTTTTCTAAGTTTAACGATACCATTAGTGCAAGTGCAAGAATAGAATCACATTTGCAGATATTGGAACAAGCTCCACACCCGAAAGATATAAGTTAAAGTTGGTTTAGTAAGAGCTTCAGCACGATTCATAAACAATAAACTATAGTAAAATGAAACTAATGCACCACCTTTTTCGAAAAATATCAATTCCGAAAAAATGCAGTTAGAAGTTTGCAATTATATCCAATCCTAATATATATACCATCAGATAAATTTTGAATAAATAAAAAAAAAAAAAAAATTTCATTAAAAGTAATAAAATTTATTCTCATTTTGTATGTTATATATAGAATATCGAACGTCGTTCCGAGAAAAGTCAAAGGGAACCTGAAAATTTCGACGAGGAGGAAGATACAGATTCAGACGCTGACGACTTTATTGTTGATGATGAAGGTCGACCTATAGCAGAGAAAAAAAAGAAAAGAAAACCAATTTTCACTGATGCGTAAGTATTAAAAAAAAAATTTAGTTGTTCACGATCCGCCATTCGATGCCCTAAACCATTTCATTTAATACAGTTATTCATATAAGGACCTTTCAAAATAAGTCGTTATATCGAAAGTGACCCGATATAAACCATGTTCAATAGTGCTCGTCTTTGGGCGAAAACATACAGGCATACAAAATTTGTTAAAAATATCTTAGAAATTGTAACCTGTGCGCTGAGCATAAGAACATATAGACAACAACAATACCTGGAGAGATAGGCAGGCAGACAAGCTTAGATTCAGAAAGTGATTTTGATTAGATGGGTGCAGTAACTTCTTCATCTTCTTGGTTGTGGCATACATCCACACAAACTTAATATTTTCTTCCACCACAAGCAAAAAAAAACTTTATTCGAACCTTTTACGCCTCACCACAAAGAAAAGCAATAAAGTATCGATACTCTATAATATTAGGTGGATGTGGTGGATTTTTCCAATTTTTTTTACAAGTACTTTGTTATCGTCCACATAATATACAAGGACATTTTTGTCCTTGTCATATCTGTTGTAGTTTATGAGTAATGGGCAAAAAACCCAATTTTTATGCTTCTAAAGATTGAGGTATACTCGGTTGATGTTGTACGGTACGCGTACGTATTGACCGATTTAGTTAGCCCTTGCAACAGCTCATAAGGTCTTTAACAAATTTAAGGTTGCTATCTTAACACTTACGACCTGAAGAAATGAATGAATATCGGAGATCGATTCAGATTTCGACAATTTGTTTGTGTGAATGTTTGCATCCATTTGGAAAAAATGAATGTACCCTTAGTCTTCGGTGGCGGGTTAAAAAAAAAAAATATAAAATAATTTCTATTGATTACTCTACGCTTAAATGAATGATTGCAGTTGAAACGTCCTTTTTAAATATTATACAATTGATATCATAGTTTTACTACAGTATATGATCGATTTTGAAGCCCATTCCCATTTGCATATATTTTCAAAAATTTGATAATTAATTTATTTTTTATTATTCCAGTTCCTTACAGGAAGGCCAGGATATTTTTGGTGTTGACTTTGATTATGAGGATTTCTCAAAATATGACGATGATGAATACGAAGATGACTCTGAAGCTGAGGAATACGATGAAGAGGGTGGAGAAGATGACCGCGGTAAAACAAAAAAGAAGTCGGTGAAAAAGAAAGTGCCGAAGAAAACTATATTTGATTTATATGAACCAAGCGAATTGAAGCGCGGACATTTCACCGACCTTGATAATGAAATCAGAAAGACCGACATACCTGAGCGTATGCAATTAAGGCAAATTCCCGTTACCTCAGTACCGGAAGGTTCGTTGGAATTGGATAATGAAGCCGAGTGGATCTACAAGCAAGCTTTTTGTAAATTACCCGTATCACAGCACGATAAGAATGAAATATATCGCGAGAAATTTAAGAAACCGCCTAGTTCAGTTGGTAAAATAAAACAAGCTCTAGAATTCATACGAAATCAACAACTTGAAGTGCCCTTTATAGCCTTTTACCGTAAGGAATACATCAAACCCGAATTAAATACAGATGATTTGTGGAAGGTGTATTATTTTGACGAGAGATGGTGTCAATTGCTGAGCAGGAAGAATAAATTAGTGCAGCTTTTTGAAAAGATGGCAAGTTATCAGTCAAACGAAATCATAAGCCAAACTGAGAATGATTTACCCGATGACATCAGGTTAATTAAAGATGAAGATTTAGATCGATTACGCGAAGTGCAAACTATGGAAGAGCTGAGGGATGTACACATGCAATTTTTACTTTATTATTCACATATAATACCAAAAATGCAAGAAGAACAACGAAGAAAAGAAAGAGAACTTAAAAAGCAACAGAAAAGGGAACAACGACGCCAAGCAAATGAAGAAAATCCTGATGAAGTGCAATTGACATACGATAGTTCCGACGAAGACGATATACCCGAGGAACATTTAAAACAAGCTAAGGACTCTGGCCCATACGCAATGTGCCGTAAGGCAGGTATTTGTGGATTTGCAAAAAGGTTTGGCTTACGACCTGAGCAATTTGCTGAAAATCTTCGCGATAGTTATCAAAGGCACGAAGTCGATCAGGAGCCAATAAGTCCTTCAGACTTAGCGAAACAGTATCTAACAACAAAGTTTATGACTGTTGATGAAGTGATACATGCAGCAAAATTTGTGGTAGCAAGGCAAATCTCTAGAGAACCTTTGCTAAGGAAGACAGTTCGAGAGGTATTTTTTGAACGCGCTAAACTTAGTGTCCGGCCCACAAAAAGGGGCATGAAAGAAATTGATGAAAATCATCCTTGCTACTCAATGAAATACTTATCAAATAAGCCAGTGAGAGAATTCGTTGTAGATCAATTCCTTAGACTTGTAATGGCTGAAGATGATAAACTATTAACCATAACTATATCCGATCAGATCGAAGGAATTACTACAAATTCTTATATTACAGAATCAAAGCAACTTTATCAGCGCGACGAATTCTCAAAAGTGGTTCAAGAATGGAACTCACTACGAGCAGAATGCGTGGAATTGGCATTGAAAAAGATGGTCTTTCCAGACTTAAGGAAAGAATTAAAAATTATTGTTCTCGCAGAGGCGAAGGAACATGTCTTAAAGTCTTGCTGTACAAAACTATCGAATTGGCTTAAAGTTGCGCCATATCGACCCGATTTTTCTGACGAATTTACTTTCGATGACTGGGGCGCACAGAAAGGAATACGAGCAATGGGATTAGCATATGCTCCTGATTATTCTCAAGCTGGTTTTTGTGTAATAACTACGCCTGAAGGGGACGTTAGTGACTATCTAAGATTACCACACATATTGAAAAGAAAAAATTCTTATAGACCTGAAGAAAAAGCTCTAAAATTATCGGATATTAAGAATTTAAAAGAATTTATTCGTAATAAAAAGCCTCACGTCATTGCTGTTGGTGGTGAATCGAGAGAAGCCCAAATGATTCAAAGTGATATCCAAGAAATCGTTAAGGAATTAATACAAGAGGAACAATTTCCTTGCATTGCTGTTGAAATCGTAGATAACGAGTTGGCTAAAATTTACGCAAATTCACAGAAGGGATCCTCAGATTTTAAAGAGTATCCCACATTGTTAAAACAGGCCGTGTCACTGGCAAGAAAAATTCAAGATCCTCTTGTAGAATTTTCGCAATTGTGCGGCGCAGATGAAGAAGTTTTGTGCTTACGTTACCATCCACTACAAGATCAAATTTCCAAAGATGAATTGCTTGAATATTTATATATTGAATTCATTAATCAAACAAATGAAGTAGGCGTTGATATAAATATGGCTATACAGAATGCGCACACATTAAATTTGGTTCAATTTGTATGTGGACTCGGACCACGCAAGGGTCAAGCTTTAGTTAAAATTCTTAAACAATCTAATCAAAGGTTAGAAAATCGAACACAGCTGGTCACGTTGTGTCACTTAGGTCCTAAAGTGTTTATCAATTGTTCAGGCTTCATCAAAATCGATACCAGCTCTTTAGGCGATAGTACCGAAGCCTATGTAGAGGTATTAGATGGAAGTAGGGTTCATCCTGAAACGTATGAATGGGCTAGAAAAATGGCTATAGACGCTATGGAATATGATGACGAAGAAACTAATCCAGCCGGAGCGCTTGAAGAGATTTTAGAAGCACCCGAACGATTAAAGGATCTTGACCTTGATGCTTTTGCAGTGGAACTTGAACGGCAAGGTTTTGGAAACAAAAGCATAACATTGTACGATATTAGGGCAGAATTGAACTCTCTATATAGAGATTTTCGCAATCCATACCGTTCGCCAAATTCCGAAGAATTATTTGATAATCTGACGAAAGAGACTCCAGAGTCATTTTATGTTGGTAAAATGGTTTTAGGTACTGTGACAGGTATATCACATCGCAAGCCGCAAGGAGATCAGCTAGATCATGCAAATCCGGTCAGAAACGACGAAACAGGAAACTGGCAATGTCCATTCTGTTTAAAAGATGATTTCCCAGAATTGTCTGAAGTATGGAATCATTTCGATGCAGGAGGATGTCCAGGACAAGCTACTGGCGTCAAATTGCGATTAGATAATGGTCTCTCAGGTTTTATTCATATTAAAAATCTGTCAGATAAACATGTAAAAAATCCGGAAGAACGAGTTCAAATTGGTCAAGCAATTCACGTAAGAATTATTAAGATAGATGTAGATCGTTTTTCAGTTGATTGCTCGTCAAAAAGTTCCGATTTAATGGATAAAAATCATGAATGGCGACCACGTCGCGATCCATTTTACGATTATGAGCAGGAAGAAAAGGACAACCGTAAGGAGAGTGATCATAAGCAAGTGCAAGCTAAACAGCAGTATGTTAAGCGGGTAATAGTTCATCCATCATTCCACAATAAATCATACGCTGAAGTTGTCAAAATAATGGAAACCATGGACCAAGGCGAAGTTGTAGTTCGACCTTCGAGCAAGGGATCAGATCATTTGACAGTTACCTGGAAAGTTACCGAAGATATTTATCAGCATATTGACGTCCGGGAGGAAGGAAAAGAGAATGCTTTCAGTCTGGGTCAAAGCTTGTGGATAGGTAATGAGGAATTTGAAGATTTAGATGAAATAATTGCCCGGCATGTAAATCCAATGGCGGCGTGCGCTCGTGACTTACTTAATTATAAATACTACCGTGATACAGGCGGAGGTCTTAAAGACAAAATGGAAGAACTTTTAAAAGAAGAAAAGCAAAAAGATCCACGCAAGATTCATTATTTTATTTCTGCTTCGAAAAATTACCCCGGAAAATTTTTACTATCCTACTTGCCAAAAACTAAATGCCGACATGAATATGTAACCGTGATACCGGAAGGATTCCGATTTAGAGGGCAGATATTTGAAACTTTGAACTCTTTTCTAAAATGGTTCAAAGATCATTATTCGGATCCTATTGTTTCAAATACCCCAATATCAACACCTCATGTGCAAGTAAGCGTACGTGCTAGCGCCAATCATGAATCTAGATCTATGACGCAACAAATACCACAATCTGTCCACACACCGCATTTTTCAAGTACTCCGGGCTATCAAGGAGGATACCTGAATACCCCGTATTCACCGAGTGGACAAACCCCATTTATGACGCCATATACAACGCCACATACATCTCAAACACCACGTTACGGCAACAGCACACCCAGTCCAAGCTCTGGCATTTCCAATATTAACTACGGTCGTCAACAGCACCATTCTAAAGCAATAAGAGATTCATCATTTAACACAATTTCTCCTAGATATGATATGGAAGTTCACAACAAAAATAGATCGCATCGCAACAATGAAAGCCTTGAATGGCAAATGGCTTCTGATTCTTGGGCAAGACGAAAGCGTACACCATCGTCTTTGCATACATCACATAACACATCAAGTGAGTTTTCCCACTTAACAAGAGCATCTCCCCGTTCTATGAACATTGGTGATTCAACTCCTTTATATGATGAAAATTAAGTTATGTACTATCTATTTGAGTAATTATAACAAACAATAAATCTGTTCATTTAAAAAAATAAACCTAGATCAATTTATAAACATAGGTGTAATTAATTGATTTGTAAAATGAATGCGTGTGAACTCTTCCAAAATATAAATTAATAATAATAATAATAATAATAATAATAATAATAATACATTTGACAAACGTGCTTTCAACAACATAAGTATACATGTTATATGGCATATATTTCACAAATTTAATGCAACTTAACTTGTCGGCACAGTAATAATGCTCATCTTTTCAGAAAATGAAACATATTATGCTAAGAGTAATTTTTGTTAATAATTTTCGATATCCTTTCCGAAGTGTTCGTATATTAAAAATGCCGAACGTATAGATTTGAAAGAAATGAAAAAAAATATACTAAAATGACTACTAACTTATTTTTCGCATTGTTTGGAACTTTAGTGAAGCGAGCGGATGTTCTGGTGAGATGATATAATTGCTATGAAAAGGACTTGACTTAACAAATCAAATTAACTTAAATAAATTGAATCGAAAAATTGAAAAATGATTAAAAAAATTTGTCAAATACCTTCTTAAGATAATGCCTTTCAGCCGATAATATCATTCGTTGGTCGGTAATTATGACTCAATTTCGATCAACGGCGGCCCGGATATGATGAGTGAGACGATATCTAGTATGCGGCACATATTTAATTACATATTTTTGCGATCTAATTCAAAAAAACGGTACAATGCTAAAATATTTTTTAAAAGTTTTCTAGTTGTTTTGAATGAGGAAAGCAATTTCAATTGATACCCAAATTGTCGAAACTAATTTAAGCTCAGCCGAAATTAGCATGAAATCTTGTCAAAATGTGTTAAGAGAGGAGAAACCATCTTTTAACAGCTGTTACATTTTCGTGAACTCAAGTTTGGAAAACATTTCTCATAACGTGCATTCCCCTTAAACTTAGTCGATCTGTTCCTAAGTTTACACGCCTTTACAATTACATATGAAATTCAGTTAAAATTCGATTGACTCTCCGAAGTAAATCTAATGCGAATTCTTATTAAAAAATTAATACAAACTATATAAAGAGAGGTAAAAAAAATAAAAAATTATGTACACATCTAACACCGAGTTAAAGATCCGAGCTGTGAGTGAACGCTGTAAACCCGCTGTAAACATGTCAAACCATGCTTCTCAACCGATTATAATAAAAAAATTCATTTGATTTTCGAATGATAATAAGATGTTAACGAGATTGCAAATTAATTCAAATATGACGTAGGCAATTAATTTGATATTTGGAATTAATTTGATAGAATTTAAAAAATCCGATATTGACATTAGGTAATAGATACCATTTCGAGATTTGCAACGAGCCCTGAACCGATTGAAAAGCTCGTAATTATATCTACATTGGCTAAGCTTTACAAAGATAAAGTTCCTAGAGAAATGAATCCGGGGTAATAAACTTTATCTTACCGACTAATGCCGGCGAATCGATAGTACCATTTATTAACTTAATTAGAAGGGATATATCAAGAATAGATTTATGTTTTCCAAGTGACGATGCAGCTAATATTGCCAACCTATTTTCATATAAAATCAAGGAGACAGGCGGGATCCAACTCAAATTCCCAAGAGTAACGAACAAGAATTGCTTTTGAACGGATTCTATTGAATCTACGTAACACGTATACGAAGGAGGCCTATACTCAAGTATAGGTCTGACTAAGATCATGTATAGCCTTTTTGTGATGTAAACAATTTAATAAAACCTAGCATCAATCTAGCTTTGCTTAAAGAGACCGCAATGTGCAGATTGTGCAGATTAAAATGTAGCCGCTGATCAAACAGAAGCCCGGAAGTCCATGACCTCTTAAGAAAGAGAGTTTCTTGCATATTTTTAAGTTTAGTTTCATAAATTTGCTTTATATTTATATGTAATATATGTTTTTTTCTCCTACCTAAGGAAAGAATTTTTATATTAATCCGGATTTAAATAAATAAATAAACAAATGAAAACAAAAAAGACCCAACTACCCTAATTGACGTTTCTAGGCAACATAACTTTTCCTCAGTGAAAGAGGATTTTGCACTTGTAGACGCTTTCATGCGTCAAGGCACGTGTTGGAGCAATTTACTGGCAGTTCCACCATCCCATCTCATCTGCCTAAACTTACTCGAGTTGCCTTATCACTATTGAAAGGTTTTTGGCAATGATCCGAGACTGCACAATAGTTTCGCACTTGGCCCTACAAGTTCTTACAATTCTCCTGCAGTTTGGTTGGATCAACAATTCTTCTCTTGGCGATATTCGTCTAATCTGAGGTTCTAGACATTGTTATGGAAACCATTATATAGTATAGCTAACCAAGCCCTTTTTTTTGGAATATTTGTGTGGTTCTCCGTCTCAATTATTATTATTAAGATTCAATAAATACTTAAGAGATTAATTAGTTGTTAAATTTTCAAATAAATAATTCCATTGTAAGAATTTTTTTTTTGCAATTTTAAGCAGTTTTAACGCGGTTTAATAACTGTCGAGAATTCTTTGCCGTGACACGTTTTCATTTTATGAAACGTTTGACTTCACTTGTGGTGAGAGGTCACAGGATTATGTCGTTCGTGTAAACAACGATGCGTAAATCGATGCAGGACTACATTTGTACGCCAATAAAAATTGTAAGCTTTTCTTTTCATTGTTGTTAACCTATTGTCTTATTGTGGTCACAATTACATACATTGTCTTATAATGCGAAAGATGGGAAAATGACACTTTAAAGACATAACGTATATTGCTTGGGTAAAAATCAGAAATATAAATTTGCATCGAACAGAGTAAAAAAAAAAAAAATTATAATTATTTTTGGTTACTTTAAAATATTCAATCATTTTATTTTTGCTAAGTAAATAGTTTTCTAGAGTTAAATACAATTACGATTTTATTTTATAACTTTTTGGTATTAAAACTAATCTATTTTATATTTATTTAGTCAAGAAAAACAGGAATAATAAAAATATAAACGAAATCTTAACCGTATCCCATACCTTCTAGTTCTTATTAGCCTTTTTTCTTTTTATATGATTCCCAGTTGATTTATCCATAATATTCCCGTTAACTGTAGTCTGGATATTTTCAGAACTTTGCGAAATATCCTCACTGTCACTTGATCTTATATCACCTGACATCTTAACGAAAAAACCAAACATATTTTATTCAAAGAGATAAAAAAATATCTCAATTATTTCATTCTTTAACTTACCAAACCTTTATGAAGGGAATCAATGACAATCTTTAGAATCATATACGTCCATATTATATGTAATAAGAGTAACATTGACAATAAGCCATTGAAAATATAGTAAGCAGGAAACATGGGAAGAATTCTAGGCGCTTCTACAGATGAACTAATTAAAGTAAACATCGAAATTTTATATAAATAAATGATATTTCTTTATATAAAAAAAAAAAAAAAAGTTGAAAAGTTGAAAGTCAACGATAAAAATACGTCCACGCCTATATATATATAGTTCTCAATATTGTGAAAGAGATGAGTTATACATATATATGCAGAAAAATATCTTTTCATAATATTGTTTATATACAAATATTGCTTTTTTTTGTCATATTAAATTATCTTTACCGTAACCTGCAAGCAATCAAGTTTTTTGCTCATCTAATAAATACAGGCCCGCAAGATCAGGGGAAGCTCAACAAATTTTAAAATTAATTCAAAGATGGATAAAGGCGAAAGGCACACTAGATTTGTCGAGTTGTATTTGTAATAGTCAAAAATACTCATACGTATCTCGTCCATAAACTTGGTTAATTTCATCATATCGATGGTCAGGCAACTATTATAAAATTTACTTTTTAAAGATTTAACATAGAAAACTGAGGCTTGGCGTAAGCATTCATTGTTGATGACTACGGATTAAAAACAACAATAAAAATTGATAGCATATATAAGCCTAAGAACTAAATAAACCCATTCCAATGGAAAATTTAAAATATGATCTCAGTACGTTTGCAAATATCCTTCAATAGTAGGAGAAAACAGTTGATAAATAATATAAACATATTTTTCTTAGGATCGGGGATGTCCTGTCGAACGATACCGTTCACCGTTAATAAAATATTCTTTAATACTGATATATTGATTTGAGATAGTGGTCCGATCGAAGGTTTACTCCCCAAAACGGATAAGGCTTTCTTACTTGACTGCTTTTAATCTTACCTGTAGATAATGCGTGGATAGAATCCTAATCTGGTAATTATCCAAACTACTGTGAATATTGCAAAAATTATATCACATAACTTTTGGTAATTCGCGTATTTCGTTAATTTTGCTGCCTGCAAAATACAAAAAAAAAAAATAATATTATTTTTACAAACTGTTATCTAAATTTTATTATTATCATTATTCTATATTTGGCTTTGTTCTTTTCTAAATGACAAAAAGTACATTAATTGAGATAAACCAACTACGAATCGAATCGGGGACCTAATAAACTATCTACACTTTTGGTCAACATTACATTTTAATTTAATTGACAATGATTTTATATTTCGAAAATTGTCAAAGTAGACCTATTTAATAAAAATACATTCAAGCATGAAGTATATGATCTTAATTGAATTCAACGAATACAGATAGAATATAGACTGCATTTTCCCCGTAAGCAAGTATTAGGAATTGGATAGTCTTGCAAATACAAATTATTATAACCATAAAGCGTATAATATATAGTTTTACTTACCTCTAAAAATATATCCGCACAGTCATGAACAAGCAAAACTAACGAACCGACTCGATGTAAATTGCAAACCCAACTAAAAGACATCAGCATAAGGGTAACCATATGATGTATAAACATTTGCCAGAAATCTTTCCGTTTAACATCAAAAAACTGGGTAACCGTCAATGACCAATAAAATGACATAGATATCATGTAATACCACCAAATATCACTTGTTATTGACTGAAATAAATAATATTAAATAAAATTTTCAATTTGTTTTTACTAGTATAACGTAGGGTTTTTCATAAGCGTTGCCTGTGTATATATATTTTTCTAAAATAAAAGCAAAAACAAAGACACATTCCTTATTGTTGGCCTAGTCCATTAAAAAAAAAAATAAAAATAAAAAATAAAAAAAAATAAATTGAAACAATGTTGAGCTTCATAATTAATTTTAACAATTTCAATGCGATATTGTTGCGTGCATATATCCATACTTAAAATTGCACATCATCCTGGATGTCAAATGTGAACATTATAATTAAAAACAAGTAAGAAAGTTAAATTCGGTTAGGATCGAATCTTTTATACCCATCACCGTTTACCTTAAAAAAGAGACAAAAGTTAAAGAGCAAAATTCTCATGCTCTTTAATGTGCAGTCGACGCAGCCGATTGCTTCTACTTTCAAAATAAAAATTTGATTTCGCATAAGCACCTGGGCATCGTAGATGTGTCCTTGGAAAAGTTTACGTCAATTCCAAATTCTTTTGCAAAGTCTTTCGACGATATCTTCATTTTCGCTAACGGAAGACCGTTTACCACAAATATTACAAATTTACGCAAACAGCCAGATGGAAAGACGTGCAAGCGGACATGTTTAGGTGCATTCAAGAGCCAAAACTGGCCAAACATTTTGGTACGTTATGGGGCCGATTTCCAATACCAACTTTCTTCATATTTATAACAGTCATTACACAGACGAACATCGATTAAATCGATTTAGAATTCGATGCTGATCATGAATACATATATAGTTTGTGTGGTCTCCGAAATGCGTGCTTCTGGGCGTTGCAAACGCTTTTACAAAATAAATATACTCCTCATGCTTCGGTTATGGGTATAAAAAAAAATATATATTTTGTAATGGTATCTGTGCACGATATTTGAAAAACTTTTTTCAATCCATTGAATCGCGTTTTAGATACCATGCCTACTATGCGTATACGATGTTTAAAATGAGCAAAAATCTTGAGTAGCGGCTGTTCATAAATGGATATTTGCGATTAATCGAAATCCTCTTGACACTAACAAAGTGAATTAATTTGCAATAGATGTCCACTGTATTAAAATTTTCGAAATTCTTATAATTCGATTACGAGTTATTCTTCTTATGCTAGCTGTGTTCACTTTCAGGGGCGCACTAACGAAAGGCAAAGCTGTGTAAAGCTTTTTGTGTTTTTTTGTATGTTTTAAGCCCTGCTTATGTCCTGCAAATATATGAACATAATCACAATCCTTCAAACAAAATTATTCTGAATAGTATTTCATTTGCATTTGTCTAGGCATGTAAAAAGGAAAAGGAAAACTGTCGTGTTCGGGCCTCCAAAGAGCCAGAGAAAAAAATATTCGAATATCCCGTTATAAGCAAGACAAGAAAGATTGATAATTCGGTACGGTTTTTAAACTGACTGTATAATTTGAACATACCTTTTCGCAAATGTTTCCAATTCGACCGTTACAACGGATGGATGCGATACTGTACGATGTTGATAGATATTTTTTTTCGAGTAAAATCTCTCATGTTAAGAGACTCTATATGAAACATGAACTCTAAAATACATATTTCGAACTATCTATGATTCTCTTTCCTTTAGATAAGTGATTTCAAACTAAATGAATATTGTATTAAAATCTATTATCGCAATAGGAATCAGCGCAAGTTTACAAGTATTTTACATTTGGGGATAATCTTTCTAAGGCACTCTTCTTAACGTATTAACAATGGTTTAGTAATGATAATCGCATTGAAACTCACATACCTGATGAGGATATCCATACCAACAATTCTTGACATCCCATAGCCACGATTTGTCCCATAAAACAATCAGCCCAAATACAAAACTGTAAGTGTAATATATACAGCGCCATGTATTTTCACAAAACTTTGTTAGAGTTGACGGTTTATCTTGAGCTCTTCTTAAGCGCCACCACCTCTCAATTTGCCGTTCTGTCATGTCCAAATGTTTAGCCATTTCTGTAAGCTGAAAAATGTTCAATTCTCCATATTACATTCTATCAAAAAAAAAAAAAAAAAAAGTATCTATAATAGAAGAAAATGCACAGATGTGTGCAATTTCCATTGCAAAAGGCTGAGTAGCAGCCTTTTTTTTGAATTAAAAAAAGAGAAAAAAAATGCATTTTTTTAAAGTTAACATTCTAGAATGATTTCGTGTTCTGGAGCGTTTTCGGTAATATATTCTTTGTCTGTCTATGTTACTCTTATGTATTCTTTTCTTTTTCGATTTTTATTCGTATTTTTTAAGATTATTGAGACTTCCGCAGCCGCATGAAACAATTAGAAAATTTATTTTTAATGAGAACTGACAAAATCACGGAACGAGATCTGCTGGGCGAAAATAAATGAAATAGTTTTTGTAAAGAATCTATTACTACGACAAATTTAATGTCAATGTAAGATCATAGCATTTTTATGTGCTGCAGTAAAAAAAAAAAAAAAGTAAAAAATCTAGCTCTATAATGTGAATAAATATCTAAAATTTGCGGTAAGAAGAATTTCGCTTTTTTTTATCAAGTTGAAAAACGCAAGATTTTCTCTTTGTCTATATTTTGTACCGCATAATAAATTCATTTTTTTTTTTTTTTTTTTATATTTCATACCTTCTTGTGATTAATTTTATTTGATGCTTCATACGCTTGCTCTAACAACGGAATATTCGCAGCCTTCTTGGATCGACTACTTCTAATTCCCAATGATTTTCCAATAGGAGCAATCCAGAATCTATAAATCAAATATTATTATTATTATTATTATTATTATTATTATCATTATTATATAGAGAAATAAATCCAAAAAGAGAGAAATTTTAAAACGCTAGCGTCCAAAGCTGTTGGATTTTCTTGTTAATGTCAATTTTATTCAATCATAGCCGAGTAATCTCCTACTTGTAACAATCGAAAATTGAAGGATATTGCAATAGATATGAAATCACATAGAATGCATTCAAACTCCGCAAACTAAAAAAATTATATGCGCCTCGCACGAAAACAAATTAAATCAAATCAAGATTTGAGTCTTTAATATTTTCTTCATTTTGTTTAACTAGTCATCGATATTGATTAAATCAAAATGTTTTATGCTTACAAATAACGGACATAAGCTTAAGGCTCGTCAATCAATTGCGTGCAGATGTTTACAGAGGCACTGAGTGATAAACCTTCTGAAACTTGTAAGCATTTAATTGTAATTCTAAAGCAGACGTAGTATCCCCAGCTTAATTTTTTGCAAGATAGAAAGAGACATAAGTAATTCCAGGAATTCCGATATTAAATATTGAAAAAAGAATCAGAACTGCAAGAAAAACTCTCCACAAGAAGAAGGAAGGCACAAATGTTATGCTCCAAATGTTTCGGTAACCATATTTTAAGGGTACAATAATGTTGGAAATCTAATATAACTACTTTAGTGAATATAGCGCGATTGATGGAATACAATTTTTATCTTGTTTTAATTTGCTATTGATTATATATAGGATTCAATGATAGATATGATTTTTACGCGTGAGGACGGCTTACGCATATATTGTTTCATTGTTTAGCAGAGCTGGACTATGCAAGAAAATCTTCAAAGTAAATCTTTAAACTATTAACCCTCACTGATTTTAATTGCACTATAACCCGTAAAACATATTAAATAGAGAAAAGAACTAAACTATTTATTAAAAACGGAGCAAACGAAAATGAATCGTTTTTGACTAATAAGCGCATTTAGAAATAGCTTGAATGCGGTACTTGTCATGCATTTTTTTACGACCACATCTGAAAACTTCAAAACAATGGGTTGTTGTCCCACTAATTAAAGTTATTAAATAAAAAACTATCAAGATCTTTTCTTTTTTTTATTATACGGATTATAGGTATACATTTTTTTTTTTTTTTTTTTTTTTTTTTTGGGGCGTTTCCGTTAAAGCATTGACCTTCAAAAATTTTACAACTGAAAGCGTGCACACGTCAGTAATTTATCATGTCTTAGAAGTTTTCATACCTTTCTAACGCGTACCGCACTAGCATTACAACCAGAGCCATGGGCAATGGCCAAACAAGGTCCCTGTAGTCAGCATGATTTACATCTGGATGCGAGCCGGGAGCTATATCTGCCCAAGTTGTATTTGGCGGAAGCCAAACATTGGTAGACCAAAAAGTCTCTCTAACTTTCTGCAACACATTCATAACTGTTTTAAAACTACTTTTCGTGGAATCACTGTCAATTCTTGAAAACTTGATATATAAACTTTACCAAAATAAACAAGCACAACTATTACTTATGCCGCGGCTCATAAAAAAAAAAAAGACCCCCACTCACACTACGTGCTAAATATTTTCAAAGATGTTAAAATAAGTTAAGAAACAACGTTGCCAGTTTTCTTTATTTTTTATTTTTTGCACAATTTCTTACACACTTTTTTAATTGTAAAGCATGACAATGAAAATTTTAAAAAATTCGCCGCAAAGACATTGTGGATATTTCTGTCCAATTGACGAATGCTTAGCTTAGCTACCTCTGCTGCGATTTTCTTATTATTCTCTTATCGTCTTTTTTGTTTTTTATTTTTTATTTTTTTTTTTTTGTTTAAATGTGGAATATTTATTTTGAAATTATAATTTGGCACGGAATATCGTGGCAACAACCAATTTCTCAGATGAAACGAACAAAAACGATTTGAGATGATTTAAAAAATACTTTACGAGCGAATCTGATGAAGCCGATGATCGTAGGAGCGTGTATTTGACTTAACAAAAGTGAGAATAATAAATTACAACCAAAAAAGGTCTATTAAATTATTTAATTTTGATTTACCTTATTTTTCAGAATATAAGAAGCAATTTAAATTTATAAAACTATTTTTTTAGAAAAATATATTTTAATGTTACTTTCGGATCAAAATTTTTATTTATCGTTAATATAACTCCTATTAGCAATACTTAGTTCATCTTCACTCTCATTATTCGTGTCGTTAATATCATTGCTCGTATCACTTTCATCTGAACTATTGTTGTCGCTCCTTTCAAACTTCAAATTTAGAAACGATTTATTGAAAACACATAGTAATATTACCTTCGGACTGTAAGATGCACCTAAAATTGAAGTCCGTATTTCTATGTAAAAACGTGCGTTTTATAGTCTCAAAAATGCGGTATATAAATATTTAAAGAGCAGTAAAACATAAAGCGATTAACATATTGACAACTATGAATAATATTTAAGCAGGGGGCTGATAGCTCCTGTACAAACAATCTTCGAATAAACAGTGTTTGCCTCGAGGGTGAATAATCTTGCCAGGGAATTTTTGAATATCTCTGAGATTTTTATAAAGGACAAACAATTTTCTAGGGTAGAAAAATTCCAAAATAATATTAATATATTGCGTCTAGAACAAAATAAATGCGCCCTATATAGTAACGTTCAGTAATTGACTTTGTATTATAGTAAGTAGTAACATTTTAATTTATAAATTAATTTATCTGTGATGTTATTTTTTAATTAGACGCATTAAAATTCATTACACCCTACAAAAAATAATCGAGCAACGGTTTTAGTTAGTAAGTAAGTGTAGCATCAAAATTTTATTTCTATTGGTCTCAAATTAATCGAAATAAAATATTTCACTTTTATGATGCTTCGATATGATAAATATTTATTTTAACTCTATTAAGATTGCCAGCTCACAAAAATTTTAAATGCAACAATGGGTTTTATATGGTGTGGACATCATTCAGTTGACATGATACTTTGGCATACGAATATTAAAGATTTTCGCGCAAAAATTGTTGGAGAAATTTTAGTTCATTTATAAATTAGATTAATTATTAAAGTTTAGGCTGGCCGGCACTATAAACATGGATGGTAAATGTGATTGATTGAATTGTTAAAATTTACATACAATAAGAGAAAAGTTTTATTAGGTATTCCGGATGACATGTGGTCTTCTTACAAGCAATTGTACAAGGTGATTGAACATACATTTGCGAATCCTACTGAGCAAGCGATCAGCAATTTTGAAAACTGCTTAAAAAGACATAAACAAACACTTTCATCAATTTTAAGAAACCCGGTAAGTGGTATACTTCTTTATTCCTTTTCCTCTCTATGAGGCCAAGTATTTTCTTGAACAGGCATTAAAAACTCGGAATTTTTAAGCATTTGTTTGCTTGGTCAAAGATTGAAATAGTAAAATTAAAACTTGTGCCGTAAGAGGAAAATACAAAAAAAAATACTCTTTTGTACAGTATGTCTATTAAGGAACTCCCTTACCTAGGTTGATTGAGTCATCGGAAATCCTTCAAAGAATCAGTACGCTTAATCAACGCGGGTAGCGGATTCCGTTTAGCGGTGTGTGTTTTTATCCATTTGTATATTGAAATGACAGTGGTTTTCACTTGAAAATTTTTCTTTATTACGTTAAGTTCAAAAATTAGCATGTAGTTGGTTCCATGCACAATTTATAATGATTCGAATATATTTATCGTTTGTCTACATTTGAACTTTTCAATTTTAGTGCCCTAAGCTTGGTGTTAAATGTTCTTTATGTTCACTGCAGACGAAAGTATAGTACCAAGCAAAAAAAAAAAAAACTTTTCTTAAGAACCACGTTAAGAAATAGAACTCGTGCTAACTCTAAGCTTGTCTGTCCCTCTGGCCATCTTATATGTGTTCAAGTTGCAGCTTTCATATTTTCCGATATTTTCATGAAATTTGATACACTGTCGTATTGGTCGAAGGACGAACGCTATTGAAATTTGGTCAGATCGGGTCACCTTTTCAATCACTACCAATATAGCGGACCGTTTTCCCACCATTTCCATTATAACTCCTTATTTTATAAAATCGTTATGTGAGTAATTGAATTAAACGACTTAGCGTAGGCTATTTAATGGTATGCCGCGTCCAATATAGTGCTTTTACTTGTTCTTGTTGCAATCTGGTGAGAATGAAACGAAAGAAATTCAAATCAAATTTTTTATTATAGATAAAGTTATAGAATCATAACTATGATGTCTGCGAGCAAATAAATAGACGACTTTTAACAGATTCGGTTGCTTCAATATATATATATTAATACGATTAATAAAAAACATTCTGTTCGAAGTGGTCATTTTAGTTCGAAAATGAGAGACAGCGGGAAGGAGCCCTATCAATTGAAATGGGTATTCCTTCTGTTATATTGGTTGAGCTTTTAACGAAAACTTGAAGCTCCTGAGCTCCTTAGGAAGCAATTCGACATCTTCATTTTTGTCATTTCATTTTCCGTTCTTTTACGACAACGAAGTAAGTCAGTTACTGATTTTTACGGTTGCATGTTTGAATCGTTCGAATCAACAATGGGCGCGGGTCGCGTAAGCAACGACTCAATTTGGAGATTTGGTATTAGTTATGGCGGCCGCGTTTCTTCTCTTGTTCAAATTGTGTTGCAAAATTATAGCTTTTTTTTTCTGTGCAGAGTTTAAACTGTCGACAAAAATTGCGGTTAAAAGACATGTAATCCAAATTAGTTCTAACAACTTGGGCTAACAACTAACTACTTTTTCCGTTCTAAAATTGGCGGGCTGTAACGCGACGAATATACAAAAATAAAAATTTTTGATTTCATGAAAATGATATATCGTGAGTACAACATGAACAGTACACGTGCAAACTATTTCTTCTATTTATTTATTATTTTCATTGTTTAGTAAATAGTACAAATATAGTTAATTTATTTTAGCCCAAAAATGAGCGCAATCGTGAGCAGCTAAAAATACATACCTCGCAGGGCATTCCAATATCTGGGAGTAGTCGGACAATGGTAGTTTCAAAAGACTTTGTGGATGAATGTATAATTATTTCTGACATGTACGACTTAGATGAATTTCTAGCGTTAGAACTTCTTTGCACAGCGCAGCGCCAAATGCCACAGCACCCGGGCTTGCCCAGAGGTATTATTGCAATCCTTTTATATTACGACGGTCGTAAAGCGATTGCAACTTCATTAAGAGATTTATTTCAAGTCACAAATGGTGTATCTTGGATTTCGGAATTACCAAAGGAGGTAAGAACAGATTATAAATTTTCATAAAATATATTATGATTATATATTTTTTCAGTTAACAAGCATAGTATCATCTTTCACCCAATCCATTGTGGAAGATTCGAACGTACTGGATAGAATTTTAGATCTTTTGGAAGTAGAATTGGATTTGACTAATGAGGTATGTTTAGCAGCAATACACATCTTTGCTATTTTATAATAAACGCTACACAATATTTTTTGTTCCGTTTGGGTATTATATTTTATGTATACTCCGAAGAGGAAAATGTCGCTTTAATACTTATTTGATGAACTTGTTATTACGAAATGTGGAAGAGTCTTTTCCCAAATTGTTGAATACTAACCCTTTCCTGCAATAAAACTCATATATGATTCGTGAGATTTACTTGACCAAAATTTAGATTAATTTAAAATCGAAAATTTAGAAAGAAAAAGAAACTAATGATAACAAGAAAAAAACCTTCTTGGAAAGAAACATAACGTGTACAATAAATACCTTAAAAAATAATAAGCGGTATAAAATTAAAAAAAAAATAAATAAAAAAAATAAAAGGCGAAACTATAGTTGATTTAAGTTAGCCGCAGAAGAATTATTAGAATTTACTTGTCATAAAAAATTTATTGAATTTAATATTCTCGTAGACGCTGCTTTTAGCTAAAAATCGTGCACTCGGCCCCAGTAAACATCAAAATCAGATTACAGAATTGTTTCAAAATATTCGATTGGCGTTGGTAACGGCTTTATTTAATTGGTCTGCTCAAAGAAGTCTACCCGCAACGATAGTGACCAGGCTAATAAAAGTCCTATCTAAATATAAATCGACTGAAGCTAGCGGCTCAATTGATGATGTTACGCTAACAATGTTGTTTGCACTATTGTACGCGTACGATACAAGCATATTGCAAACGCAGGAAGATAATCCTTTGATTCAGAATCTGAATATGGTTAAAGATGGCGAATTTGCTCAACAAATATATAATGTCTTGATGTCGGAAACGATACCTGAGCAGAACGATGGAATCAATAGTTTTATTAAGTTTTCATTTGGATTATCCCTATGTGGTTTACGACATGCTTCGCAATATTTGCAAAGTTCTGTATATAAAGTCGTCAATCACGATGAACAACTTGTCGATGATGCCATTTACGCAAACGTGTTCAAATTTATTTATTACTTTCTTTTAGAGAAAGACATAATATACAAGTAAGAATAATTTTTCTTATTATTATCATTATTTCTAGGCAAACGACTTATATATATATATATATGCATATTTCATTTTTTATAAATTTATTTAGGAATGAGTTCTTCTTTAGGCGTTTACATATGCTATTTACCGATTTCATTGACTTTATGCACTCGAAAGTGACAGAGTTACGAGGTCGAGCGGATGAAACGGCAAAAACTGTAATGAGTTTCATAAATGAAGGGTTGGAACCGCCTGCCAATTTGGATTGCAATTTTGAAATGCTTACATTATGCATTGGAAAATTTTATAAAAATAATTGCGCTAATCCTTCACTTTGCATGGAATATTGGGGGCCATTAGACGTGTCGCAAGCTTCTGCAAAATCCACAACACGTTCTGTATCGCTTTTTAAATTTATACGCCTAGCCGGAGAATTATTGCCAAGAACGCTTTTCGTGCCCTACTTAAAAATGATAGCTGGGCTTAGCTGTTATGAGCAATCGGCGAGAAATACTTTTAATCTATTAAAGCAAACGAGCGGATTAACTGGAAGTTCAACGTTATCGTGGGAGCACTTTTTTTCTTCTCTTACTAGATACTACACGTAAGTGCAATTTTACTTTTTTGTATTTCATAGATGGCAGTACGCGGCAACGGCAAAACGAAATTAGGAAACCATATGAAATCATGTTTGCTGGCACTATTTCCTGTTGGTAGTTATCTACTAGATCCATTTATTTTGAGTAGTCTTCAATTTTCTTTTAATATGTATAGTCTGTAAAATTTTTTCACGCATGCAAAGTATGTTAGTTTTATCCTTTCATTTGCAACACTTGGAAATATACGTCAGAGACACTATTAAGGTCATATTTGCCTATTTTCTTTTCAATCGCACTTGGCATATACCAAGTTATCATCTAATAGTTGATCGCCGCAGAACAAGTTTGAAAAACGATGAAATTTTTATTCATAATAGGCAAAAACACACATCTTGCAATGAATGCGTAACACCTGTAGATCAAAAATTTTTTACATATACAATATATGTCTAACACGATCATACAATTCATGGTGAAAATACTAACTGACAACTTATCAAACACACGTGTTAACACATTAGTTAAAAGCATAATAAAACTGTATCCCAGGCTCATTTAAAAGATCAATGGAAAACCATCATGATAGCCAATAAATGTAAAATGTTTTTAGACTATTTAGTATTAATTTGATGGGATGGATATTGATGAAAAACTATCCAATCTATCTGTATGTCTTTCTCACTACATACGTTCTGTTTATCAATGCTAATCTTAAGGGATCTAAAAAATTAATGCTTTTAATTCTATCAATGCGTATGAGGTGTTCTCATACCGGTCTATTCTTAACTTGCGTGTAGAAACTTCCAGTTTACAGAAGGACATGGTTGAAAAACTCGAGTATGTATAGTTTACGGCGTCCCTGCAAATTCTTTCCAGATGCTGCAAACGTTTTGACCAATCGAATATATTCTTATTCTGTGACAGTGATAATCAGCATAAATCAAATGAGAAAATTATGCATTATAAATTTTCATTCAATTTCTTTTTTGAATTTCAGAAATTTAAGGCAAGAATATTGCTCATCAACTGAAACAATTTATCGGAGTCGCGCCGTAAAGCGTGCTATTAATCCAAATGAAATTGAAGGCCTGGGAGTCGTACTAGAAGTAATACGATCAGTTGCAGAATATGATGAAGTAGCCCGAATTGCCATGTGCGAACATCCTAATTGGAATCCCCTTTGCACTTTAATAGGTATAAATATAATATATATTGTAGTTCTCAACAAGAATTACGATGCTTATTACAATGTTATGTTAAAGATTGCATACACTCCTGATTAGACATGGTGTAAAGATCAAAATAATTATATCGCTTTGGAAACATAAATCGTCTGAGCTAAATAGAATAGAAGATGTCTCAAATTTTGAGTAACTTAAGGGGTTACATCATCATTCCAAATTTTTCAGGAAGTCAACTTTTTATAACCGACGTCACCTGGGCATATTGACTTTGGCTAATTGAGTTTGTTCGATTATATGTGACATCTAGAAGGATTTGCGAGAGACCTATCTGACGTCATCTGTTGTAAACGATATATTCAGTTTGTGCGAATGTATGTAACATCTAGAAGGACTTGCGACAGGCTTACCTTTTATTATATCGACCTATTCAGAATGCTTTTCTGAACTGATTGAATGAAGCCTGCCTGTAAGTCTGGTCATCTTGTTTCTTATGTTCAATCTACAAATTTGAGACAATTTGATGAAATTCGATACGCTGATGTGTTTTGCTTCAAAGATGATGGCTATTGAAGATGATTCGTATCGTGCCAAGTTATATTTAATATCGTTATACGGATAGCTAGGATGGTGTTTTTTTAATGATGATCGGTGACCCGCTATACTATGTGCAATTGTTTAGATTAAGTTTTCGTATAAATTTTCTTCTGTTTTCGCTTACTAGTGTAATGAATAATAAAAATCATAATATAATATATATTTATGTTGAATGTATTTGAAGTTTTATAAAATTTCTTATCACGCGATCTGAACTTCTTATAGGTTTATTAACATGCTCTATTCCGCTCGCTTTGAAAGCCGACATTTTGCTTGCACTTGCGGCTTTGGGGAAGTCTAGAGAAACAGCCAATTTGCTATGGAATAATTTAGAGGCATCGCAAATCATTGAGACTATACCCAGCACCAACACACACAGTCAGTATATATTAATAAGTATAAATTAAATGTTTTATATTGCTCCAATTAGTACTAAGCAAAAACAGGTACCGTTTTTATACCCATCACCGCAGGATGAGGAGTATATTCATTTTGTTAAAGCGTTTGCAAAAACCCGAAGCAAGCATATCAGAGACCACACAAACTATATATATATTTTTGATCAGCATAAAATGTTAAATCGATTTAAGCATGTCTGTCTGCTCGTCTATATAAATGAATGCAAAAATGAAACTATCGACTTCGAATTTGGCAGACACATTGAAAGCTCTTGCTCGCAGGTTCTTATTGAAAATTAATCAAACCGGTCGAAGAACATACCTACAGCACCATTTAAACTGAGTACACCTCTGCTTCTCAAGGGGAATGAAAAATTGGTTTTTTGCTCATTACTCATAAACTATAGCAGAAAAATGTACAAAAATTTGAACACATATTCCATGGGCGATGCCGTAGCATTTGTGCATAAAAATGGGAAAAAGTGATTACGGCTAACCAATATTATAGGGTCTCAAACTTTAATCGGGTTTTCAATACCTTTATAACGTGCAGAAACAAGCTTCGAAAATACCATACAGCATACAAATTCTTGGCCATTTCCAATTTAAGGATACACCTAACTAAACATGTCCGCCTGTTCGTCTGTAAATTTGACTGTTCGCACAAGTTTGTAATATTTGTGGTAAACATTCTCACGTTAACGAAAATGAAGATATTGTCGAAAGACTTTGCAAAAGAGTTTGGAATTGACGTAAACTTTTCCAAGGACACACCTACGATACCCACATGCCTATGCGAAAACAATTTTTAGTTTGAAAGTAGAAGCAATCGGCTGCGTCGACTGCACATTAAAGAGCATGAGAACTTTGTTCTTTTACTTTTGTCTTTTTGTGAGGTAAACAGTAATGGGTATAAAAGATTCGGTCTTGACCGAATTTAACTTTCTTACTTGCTTTTTATTCATATATCACAGTTCTTGAATTAGTTATGACATTTTTAAAATCGTTGCTTTTGAAAATTTATTTTTCCGAAGCAAACATTTATTTAAACTTAAGCGCACTTTTATCCTATCAATAATAACATAAACATTTTGTATTTAAAGGCACGTCCAATATCGTCCTGGAGATAGAGCAAAATGAATGCAGATTAGAAAAATATCCGCTGACACAAGGAATTTTGGAATTATTATATTCTCTTATTACATCAGGGATACCAAAGAATTTGGGATGCGGTTCTCGTAAGCCTGGGTTTGATCCTTACTTAAGGTTTATAGTCAACAATATTTTTCTCAAATTTTGCAACAGGTATAGCATTGCCACCATAATTATTTTAAATAGGCCTTGATCTTGATATATATTTTCTTGCATTTTCATTGGTTTTCATGTTCACTAAAAGCCGGTAAAGATGAGGAGAAGCTAATTGATTTCAATATTTGACCATATCGGTTTCTTTGCTGTTTGCTGTCATTTAAAAATTTTTGTGAAGAATAAATTTGAAGCTACTTTTCTATGAGTAAAAATGAAACAAATCGTCCGATGGGCCTGTCCGTCCACAATAAGCGAAAACCTGAGCATTTCTCCCTTCTTATATATAATGGACTCAAAATGATGAATTTTTATGAATTGTCTTAAATTTCGTCATAATAAAATCTCTTTGTTACCCGAAGAATGCTATGAGATCGTCAAGAAAAAAAATGTTTTTTTTTTTTAAATTTATACGATGAAGCCTTAATATATCGTATGAATAGATTTTCGATCTATACGACAATCGAATATCGTATACAAGCTGCGACCATTTTTAAAAGATTCGGCTCAAAGATTCGAATACAATTTACTCGTTGTCCTTCGTGTTAACGTAAAAGAAAGGTTGCATAAATTGGTTGTGTTAATTATAGGGGCACACCTCACGATTTATTGATAAAAATAAAAGACAAAATCACACATTGCCGAAAAAAGCTCCATGAGTCTATGGATCTATCATTGATGCAAGTCCATTAAGATTGCAAATGCGTTAAAATAATAATCATTTATTTGGGATATGATAATCTGCTATCGATTTAGGGAATTTGAAGTATATATTAATATGCTCTTATCAAAGTGTTAAAAATAAATATCAATATATCAATCATTCTTTCATTTATAGGAACTATAAAGATCCTATTGAGAAATGGATAATTGGCGTTAAGTGTTTAAAAATACTGCAATATCTATTGGATACATATGAGGTTAAATCTCAGCACTTCGAAGAGAACAAAAGCGATGAAGCACCTCCAGGATTTCATATAATGCTTCAACTTCAGACCAAAACGGAATTTCTGCGCTTGATATTATCAATTATTGATACGGTTCATGTTTACTTGGATGCATGTAAAAATTTTCCTGGCAAGATCCATGTGGAAGAATGTGCTCTATATTGTTTAAAAATAATTCGATTTGGCTTAGTTCACCAGGATGCGTTCCTTGAGGCGCACTCGCTGGCTAATAGCACCATATTACTGTGTGGTCTTAAAAAAATATTATTAGATATAAATCCTCGAACAAAGAAACCAGATCACCTATTAAACACTACAAGTTTCATAATGTACTCAAATTGGTTACCCAGTAATTCTTTCGAAGCTGTTAAAATTCTTCATGTCATTTCAAAGCAATCTATTATGCACTCGCACATTTTCGAAATATTAACGCAAAATGAGAATACCAGAAATAGACTGCGTCAAGGATTTGTGGAATGCTTGGAACACGATTACATACCGTCAAATAATGTAGTTAAAGTGGACGGTGTGGAACCATTAAGAATCGAACTGCAAACAAAGGAGGCCATTCTCGAGCTAATTCAAGACAATTTATACCATCCATCACCAAATTTAGCTTTCTTTCTATTGGGCTTTGATAACGACAAAGATCACTTATTTCAAAATCAACGATTAGGTATCCTTGAGTGGAGTAGTAACTGCACAAAGTCATTGATCAGTCTTTTAGATAATCATTTGGAGGTAAGTGATCCGAAAATATTTACAAAACATATGAATTATGCACAAGTCGATGTAAATAAATGAAAATCGCTTACATATAATTTATCAATTTCTCAAAGGACTGGATTTTTATGTCATTTTAAAAATTCCAAGCTATTCTTTAAAAGGTCTTGCACTAGATTAGCTTACGTGAGCATGTTTCTAGACAAGAGAAATCGATTCTCACAAGCAAGGAAATACTTGATAATCATTAGTTCAATCGTGTACACAGAAATTGTAAAGCAATTGCAAATCTCTTAATTGTGAACATGGCAGCCAGTTGATCGGGAGTCAATTTACACTTCCTTCTTATTTGTATAGTCGCCAAAATAATTGTTGGCAAAACTTGTAGATAAAAGCTTCCGTGAATTATATGGCACTTGGTGAATATTTTCATCATCTTTTAGACCGTTAATCCTTGCAGATAGTAAATTGTGAAGCTTCTTGTGCGGTTAGAGTGATTGCAATCTTTTTGCATCAAATAAAAATATGTGCGATTTTTCTAAAAATGTTCGACGGTTAGATAATTACATAACGGGACGTTGAGTGCTCGAGAATATGTAAAATATTTTAGATCCAGTATATGTTCATGTTCCGCTTGAAATGATTAATAGATTTCCGTTCTTTATTTGCGTATTGATAGGAGCATAGGAAATGTTTTGTCTCCTCACGCGATTGTCGGTTCATATATACATTTACATAAGCCGAATATTTTTGATAGTGTAAATGTGATTAAACAAATACGCGGTTGCTTCCAGACCATTACATAGTACATAACACACGTAATATACGCAAAGTAGTTTGCAACGAAATACGAAACAACGTAGCGTTCTTCAACTTTAACTTTGTAAGTTTGTTGCTTTCGATTTTAGTCATTTTTTTTACAAACAATAACCATAAGCTCGGACACTTTCAGAACTATTTTGGTAGTTGAAATGCAAATAGTAATTTATTAATCGTATAAAATTTTCGGGATCCTATCAATACATACACATGATATGATCATTGATTTATTTAAGAGAGTATATATAATAAAATTAATTATTTTAGATGCGGAATTTAACCACATGTTTGGATATTGATATGGAAAGAATAGTGGAGCGAACATTTTGTTTATTGCATTCCCTATGTGCTATTCAGAAGACGTCTGATTCAATTCTTCGCTATATACGTTCGCGTAACGATTTTTTATATCGTCATTTGAAGGAGTTGCCTTTAGTTAAAATGGATAACTCAAGTGTCATAAAGCAAAATAGCTATTTATTTAAGTGCGCTGCCATAGAATTGAAAATTACGACCGCCAAAGGGCAGTTGTCTAGATTTGAACATATATGTAAGCTATTTTTAGGAGTATCTGCCAAGGGGAATCAGGAAATCTCGCCAATCGAATTAAACAATTTTTTTACGCATTCGGCAAATGTGTTCGGGGAGGCCGCGTTAAACAATTCACCATCTAAAGACCATAATATATTGCTATCCGACGTTTTAAATTGTATTGAATTTGAGGATGACAAGTTGCCAGACGCAAAATGGAATTACTTTGACAATGCAAAGATTAAACCGTTATTAAGCGAATGTGAGCACAAATCGGAGCAAGAGGTCAAATTGGTCGATATTAAAAAATTGCGCTCAATACTTCACAGCGAATTAAAAACAATACAAAATATTGCCAGCGGGCAACGCAAGATCATATTGAAAGAAATTGAATCCGTACTTTTGTATGCGGTTAAAGTGAACGAACAAAGGCGCAAACACTTTGCAACAATCAAATTTGTAGAAGCATGGAGTCAGGTAAATAAATTTTTCTATTTTTAAGATTTCTATTCAGTTGTGTGTTATTTTTTTAAATTCTGAAATCATCATTTTTTATTGCAGGTTACCGAAGTGCTCTTCAACTGTGCGCCAAATTCATGCTTGCCGCCAGCAATCAAACAAGAATTAATAATGGAAATATTGCAAAAAATCCTCAATAAGGTTACTTTAAATCAACTTATGTCCGAAGAAGCCATACTAATGTCTGGGACCATTTTGTTGCTATTAGCGAATTTAAGTAACTGTTTTTCATTAACGCCGGAAAACGGTGCGTAAATTTTTTTGCTCACCGATTACTCGATTTATTTTATATAAAAACAAAATTTTTCACTTTGGTAGCCATACCCTATCGTATGGTTTTTTTTGATGTTGAAAAGTTTTTCCTTTTAATCTTTTAATTAATATAAGCCTTGAAGCAAATTCGGTTTGCTTATTTAACTTACAGTCATCTACTTATAGTGTATGTATGTGTTTGCTACACCATGTAAACGTTGATATAGATCCGTTTGCTGTCAAAGTAAATTCCCGAATCGAATCGAATCCGTCTAATCGTAACGAATCTTGAGATAGCTTAATGAAGTATCGCACAGTAATGTGTTTTGCTCGAAGGACAAACGCTATTAAAAATTTGTAGAATTTGCTGCTTTGCTAGTGATTGCCAACAATAATCGGTGGAAAGTAGTATGTTAGTATAATCAACGAATGTCGGAAATATGGATTGTGTGGAAGTAATTCTTAAGATTTGTCTGAAGATTTTTTTTGGTCTATGACGAAAAAAGATGGAAAAATGTTATTTAGCCATTTGCTATCTATAACTTTTTAACTTGCTCCATATATCTTCTTTCGGAGCGTAAAATTTCGCAGCGTCTGTTCCTTTTTAAAACGCATTCATTCCCCGAATGGGGAGAAATTTTGACATTTTTGTTTAATGCATTAATATAATTGAATACAATTTTTAATTTCAGCCTTAGAAATGAACGATAGTGACGAATTTAAGGATGGAATCAGTACATCACATGTCAAATCGAATGCGTTGAACTTAAAATACATTTTAAAACATATATTGGATTGGATAATTGTTAGTGGCGTGTCTTCGCAGAAGCTGCGAATTAATTTGTATGCGGCACTTTTAAAATGTCTGACTGTTATAAAGGCGCAAAACAAAAATCAAAAGTCGAACAAAATTGAAGAGGATCAGTAAGTACTTTATTATATATATATATATATATATATATATATATATTATCATTAGCATGCAATGAAACGAATGATTGCGAATGAAAGAATCTACGACATTCATTGGGGATTTAAAATTTTTTAAATAACCTGAGCTAATTTTTGAAAAATTCACCAATTAGAATTTTCGTACATATTTGAGTTTGTTATTACGTGGTACTAAAAGTGAGATATGGTGTACACTCTTTCATATTTATTCATTTTAACTGACGTAAAGTAAAACAAAAATTACAATTAAGTTGTATTAACCTTATAGAAGTATTTATCAATTTGAAAGTTTTGGAGATTAAAACAAGGCGGCGGCCGAATCTCGCATATCTCGCATTATGCTTTTTTGATTCTACTCGAAAGAGTTCTCGTTTATTTGTTATCCATATCGCAGGTGTTATTAAGAAAAAATTAAACCACCCGATCGCGGTGTCTGCCATATCCATTTTAGAATTAATCCATTAACTCATTTTTGAGCAGATCAAATATATTTTCATTTGGGAAATGTATAAAATAGTTTTAAACATTCTATCCTGCTTGTCTTACGATAAATAAGCATAAAATATCAAAAAAATTTAAAAAGAAATAAAATAAAATTTAATTACTTGTAACTTTGTGTGGGCATGGCCGATTGTTATCACGTATGCACGCAAAGGGTACAGTGCTCCGCAAAGTAAATGTGGAAAATTTCAGCCTTTTTGCTTTAATAATTTTTTTGGTGAAAAAAAAAAGAAAAAAATGAAGATGCCTTCAGTTTACGCTGCACTGCGGGCTTGTCTGCTCTGACCAATTTGGTCCATTCTCAATATTTCTAGTAAATTTCAAGGCGATTTTCTCACGTGAGTGCCAACAAATAACTTTTATTTTTGTCTATTTGCAGCTTTGTGTCCCGCTTAGATAAATCGATTGAAAATATTAATGAAGCCCTTGATCCGAATCAAGTTCGTATGCTTGTGAAAGTACTTTCATCGTTTGGTGATAAATTAATGCAAATAATATGTCACGATTGTATTGCCGGCCATGATATATGTAAAATATTGGCTCTAGCATGCATTGATGTCTTGCTAGAAGTAGAAGCGATGACAAATTTCATGAGTTTCATTGATAATCGCGGTTACTTACCGCACATTGTCGAAAGCTTATTAAAATCAAACGACGAATTGTGCAGAATTTTAAATAACATCCCAGAAAATATGAAGTGTCTATATATATATGAATCAAAAATGTCTATGTTTCTTTACTTAGCAAATACCTATACGGGAGCCGAGATGTTACTCTCGAATAAAATTTTAGAAGTTTTAGCATCTATGACGGTTTTCAATTTGCATCCTGATCTGAGAAGAACAGAAATTTGGCAAGCACAGGGATTATCGAGTTTCATATCACCGATCGATGTCCGCTTTCGACAAATCCTTTTCCCTGCGTTGCATTTGTGCGATTGCCTAGTAACCACATTAGGCAGTGAAAATCATTCGGTCATATCGCAAGTGGTGCATTTCCTTCTTTCCCATAGTGATATGATTGAATTGGTTTTACGATCCGTAAATTCATTTTCAGACCTCGGTTTATTGGAGGAGCTGGCATTAATTACAGGAGTTATTGCTCGCACTTTTGTTCAGGTACTTTAATAACTTTTACTATTTAACACGTTTCCTGTCATCTGTCACCTGTCACCGTACCGTTTTCAGCATAGGCTAAAATGGCAATTGCACGACAAACTCAGAGATATGATAATCTTAATCATATAATTTATGCAATGTCCTGAGGTTTAGAACACTGACTTACGATGTGCACCGATAGCATCGATGCATGTGGCGGTACCGTAATTAAACATTTTCTCTCATAAGCGAAATCACTAAAACTAAATTTGTTAGCATCTACCGACTAACATAATAAGCGACGTGGAAATGCCATCCACTTATTAGTACGCGTCTTGACAGGGAACGTGTTAAAAAAGTCTTAATTCTAAGAATGTACATAATTGTTTTTTTTTAAAAGGCTATATATATAAAATAATTATTATATATCATCCATCTTTCAAGGAAACCATCTCTTTACGAAATTTGGAGTTTATTAACGATGTAGGAGTTAATCTTTATCGAATTCGAAAGCTAATGTTATCCGTTCTCGCTCGATTTATAATCCGTGATTCACACTTTAAAGATATGACAAAATCTAAGAACACTGCTTACGAGCCGAATGAGCTAAACAAAGCTATTCATATAAAATATTTTTTGGAGGTTGCTGCTAATGTAATATTGTACTGTCGAAATGTGGTGTCTAATAACTCTGCAGATCACAAATCGTGCGGACTTTTGTTTTCGCCAAATATTACCGATGCAGTTCAAAACAGGTAAGTACCAGATAAATGAATATAGCTGTATAACGTTATCAACGCAGCACGCCCCCTTCCCGTAATTAGTTTTCATTCAACTCTTAAACGAAGCGCTAGAAATGCGACAAAATGCATATTTCTTGCTTTCGCAAATATTATTTTATCGGAAATGAAAATTTATTCCAACATTCATTTTATTGGAGATCGGACAACGGGGAAAGCAGAAAGCAATCTCCTCCAAAGTTATATGAGTTATAAATAATTGAACAATAACAAATTCAGAATGAATAGTTTTGCTGCTTCCTTCTCTCTGTTATTATCAACTTAATTGTTAACAAAATAAACCAAATAAAATCATATCCAATAAGATTTCCTTTCTTACTTAATATATATTAAATAAATATGAAATATCCAAAATACTACTATATACTACTATGCCTGCTATGATTACCTTTAACACATAGTATGAGTCAAAGCGGCTTTCAGGCGATAATATAACAGGTAGGTTGCAAGCATTTTTTTTTTTTTTTTTTTTTTTTTTTTGGTGGCTTTCATGTCTTAAAGGTCGTGTTCTATATTTGAAATTGATAGTGAAGATAGTTTTATTGTGACGACAGCAGTCGAATATCATACTCAATACCAAGCTACAAGCTTTGTAGTAAAAAGACACATTAGTTTCTCTTTCAACCCGGCTGTAACAAGTTCAGAATAGGGCCATCCCCTTTTCGAAATTCTTCTTTCTTCTTTAAGATGATGGCATCAAGTCCATGTTATAATTTTTTTTTAAATCATTTTATTTACTAATATAATATTCCATCATTTGCAGTCGCATGCTGCGACCGAAAATATTCTGTAGCTGCCATGTAGATAGCTTCAAAAGAAGTACATTTTTACATTTGCCGTTCGAAAATTTCGAACTGATCGAAATAGGATAGTAGTCCAATAGGGCAGCCTATGGCAGGTGAATATGATGTGGGTAGACCAACAAGTTCCCTATCTTTATTCATCTTTTTGTCGCATCACAATGGCAGTGTATGGTTTTGCATTATCGTGATGGAACAGAATTTCTCTTCTACTTGTTAATATTGGCCATTTCTCCATGATAGCTGTATTCAGTCTATCAAGCCTTCAAGCATACAAAAGGTATTCGCATTGATAGTTTGCCCGTGTTTAAGTGATCTATAGTACACTGGACTTCTTCTATATCACCATACACAGAACATTACTTTCCATTAATCAAGATTTGGTTTTACAATAGTTTGGCGGATGTTCCAGGTTCGCACTTAACTTTTTTTTTCTTCTCTTTATTCACGTAAAGGAATCACCTTTCATTTCCTGTTATGAGTTTGTCCAAAAACCATTTCACATTGTATTTAAGAAGCAGACATGAACAGAATCTCTAATGGCGCGATAAATTTCTTGTGCGGTATTGAAATATTCCTGCTTAAAGACAAGTCCAATATGTTTGGTGTGCTTTTTGCAATCGTTTTATGAATTAAATGAGACCGCACATGATGCAATCTACCCGTTTGTCTTGACAGGTCAAATGAAATCATTTAAAGGTAGTAAAATAACGGCAGAACTTTCCCACGAATCCACTCTATGATAATTACCTTTTAAGGAACGAAGCTTGGATAAAAAATTTGTAGTACTGCGGTCATATTATATATGGTATTTGATCATTTGTTTTAAAGCAATTCTTTTGTACTTTCATTTTCAGCGGAGACGCTACCACACGAAATCACTATAACCTTGCTATTATTGCTAATCAACTTAAAGGATCCGTCGAGTATTATCATTCTCAAAAATCTATCATAGAAGGACTTTTGCGACAAAAGTCAAATCTAAAGAACACCGGTTTTGATGTAACAGGTATAATTTTAACTCAAAACTTATCTTCTTCTTAACATTATTATTGATTGTTTCGCTAACTAACACTACTAACGACTACCGCGTGGGTCAATTTCAGCTCCAAAATTTTTTATGACTTTTATTTAGATGAAAAGACCTTTAAATATATATAATCTACTAAAAAGGCTAACTAACTAAAATGAATGTAATATATACCCAGATATAAGTCTACGGGAGAAGAAAAACTTCATATTCGATTAAAAATCAGTTCCCACCAATCAGTTCGCTAACAATTATGGATAGAATTTTCAATAATTTCAATTTATTTTCAATTTATTCTAAAGCACATTAGTGTACACGCTTTCAAGTGGTTACACACATGAAAAATGTGAAAAAATTATTTTCGAGGTTGTCTCAGTTTCTAACCTACTATATACGTGTATATAGGCCTTAACCGTTGCCAATTACTTAATTGATCAAGATATGTGCTGAATTTGAACTTCCGGTATCTACACTTTGCGACTGTGACAATTTGACAAAGATTATGGGTCAAATTGATCCATTTTGGATGCAAAACTTCGGTAGATCTAATGTTAAGAAACGTGTCTGCTTCTTTTTTTTTTTTTTTTCATTTCCCAGTTAAAATTTGAAAAATGAATGTTTTTGTTCAGTTCAAACAATATAATCAAAGTGTTCTCGCTTGAAAAATACGAATTTACTGATCATATATGATCATAGATTCAATCTGGCCGAAAAACAATCCATTAGTATCCGTTAGCGAAAGATACGTTTGAAATATGATTGATTTCTATGTTAGACTCTAGGCAGTTGGCTGAAGAATATAGAACAAACTTGCTTATTAACAACAAGCCCATGACCCCAAAGTGGTGGACCTCACGACTGAGAATGACTTTAAAAAGCAAGTCGTATATTTTTGGGAATGTTTTTATTAAACTTATGATGTTCTACTTACTATAGCTTCCGTTCTTGCATGAATGTGGTATTGGAGGCATGCAAGTTCATCTCTTTACACGCAGCAAGTTCATCTCTCGAAAACGGTGTCTTACCGATAAATTCGTGTCATCTCGTACAAAGTCGTAATATTCTCTTCACCTTTTTGCATATCGTAATCTTCGCAACTGTGTTTAAAGTGTCTAACGTATATAACGATTCGAATTTTGATTACAATAGTCACAAGTTATTTAAAAAACTCAAATTTTGACACGAGTTTGAGTATCTGCCAAGCAGTAGACTTACGGTTTACCATGAATAAATAGCAAAAAAGTAAAGGAAAGATCGGAAAGAGATTACTCGTCCCCAAAAAAAAACACTCTTTTCGGTTGAAGACTAGCGAGAGTATTCAAATAATATGTATTGTATTCAGCGCAATGGCTTTACCTTGTGTCTGCAGAGAGGAGCCACTAATTTACTTTATCACTTACAGCAGCTTCGGTGTTATGTGTGATAATAAAATCGAAAAGCCTTCGTTCCTTTGCCTCGTTGGCATCACTGTTAAATACTCCTTTACAGGGTATTTTAATCTGTTAGGAAATTTTTTATACGTTTGATAAATTTTTATTGAAGAATTCAAAAAAAGTCCTCGCCTAGCAAACCGATAACGTAAAAACTGGTACATCTTCTTAATAACAAAAAAAAAAAAAAAAAAAAAAGAAGCAAATAATCCAAAGTACTTTTAAGTATTATTTTGGCGGATCTGCAATTTTGCAATTGTCCTTCTGTCTCGTTGCATCTGCTTTTTATAAACTCGAGGATTTACTCGAAAGATAATGTTTATCAACAATGAATAAGTGTTGACGTCGAAACCGTCACTCGGCTTCGATGCGATATAAAGAGAAGTACTTCGGCATTTCTCAAACGAGAACAGTGTTGACAAAACAAGAAAAAGTCAAAAATGAGGCATTTTAGAGACGAGGGTAAAAGGAATCGAAAATATAAATACATTTCGAAAAAATTAAGTCTTCCAGCCTTTTGACCAAAGACCATGTATTATAGAAATTTTTAAATGAAATTAATGAAATAAAGTGAGAAGATGGTTCTATGTTGTTGTTTAGTCGAATTAAAATTTCTTGATTCGATAAAATGCGGAGATAAAAGACTAAAGAAAGGTAAAGTTACTGTACTGTAGTATGTATTCACACAATAGTCAATGCATATGTCAAGAGGACATGGATCATATTTATCTTATTTCATTTTATAGCTAATTATTTTTTAGATTAGACGGGCGAGCTTAAAATATATTTTTGCAAATTTAATTCATTTATAAAATTACATTTTCATTCCCATCACTACTGTCAGATGAGGGAATTTTGTTTCATTTCCTTAATATATGTAACACCCAAAAGGAAGCTTCGGAGATCTTATAAAGTACATATATTCTTGGTTAGCGTGAAATTCGGAGTTGATTTAGCCATGTTTGTCGGTCTGTATGGTGTGTTGTTGGCATTCTCATGGTCGCAAAAATGAAGCTATCGATTTTAAATTTGGAATAAGCATTGGAAGTTTCTTCACGCAGCTTAGTATTGAAAATGGGCCAAGTTGGTCAAAGCAGAAGCGCGCCGTGGAACGTAAACTGAACACAATAATACCAACGATATGGGTGTCACAATGAAAGAACTTGGAGAGTAGAATGCGAAAAGCATAGTAGTGGATATGGGAGATTAGATTCCCGCCGAATATAACTTTCTTGTACTTGTTTTATTTAATTTTATTAATTCCTTTCACTGACTGACTTAAAACGCATTCAAGTATAATTTATAATTATATTTATTTTTTCTAGCTCAATTAAAATGCGTTGAAGTCACAAAGCAATGCAATGACAAACAGAATGAGTTAAGTTTATGCGCCTTTATTGCGCAACAAAGTCTGTACTTACTGTGGTCCCACCTCGACGTTTATATGCGTTTTATTACGTCAAATACCCAGGATACGGGTTGCTATGAATCAGTTCGTAGCTTGGGTAAGTATAATAATTTGTTTTCTTTTTCTTCAATTTTAGTCAAGGTTGATATCCAAACATCACACCTTTTTACGTCCATCACTGAAGGATTGGGAAGTATATTCATTTTGTCAAAGCTTTTGCAACGCCCAGAAGCAAGCATCATATACCCCACAAAGTATATATATTCTTGATCAGCCTCAAATTTTAAATCGTTTTAGGCATATCTATCTGGTCGTATGTGTAATGACTGTTGTAAAAATCTTCTTGAAAGCTCTTGTACGCAGGTTGTTATTGAAAATGAGCCAAGTCGATGAACGGACACATTTTCAGTGTCACATATACTTACAAGACTTCCGTTTTTCAAAAGAAATGAAAAAACTAGTTTTTCACTCATTGTGCATAAACTATAGCAGATAAATATGCCAAAGATTTGAACTCATATTTCATGGACGATATTGTGTGGAAAAACGGTGAAAATTAATCGCGCCTACGCAATATTGTGTTGTCTCAAAATTTACTTATTTTTCTATACCTTTGTAAGGCGCAGGAACAAGCTTCAAAAACGCTATAAAGTATACAAATTCTTGGCTAATTTCAAATTTGTAATGCCTCTAGACATGTCCGCCTATTCGCCTATCCATCTGCCTGCCTGCGCAACCGTATAGTATTTATGGAGAACACCGTTTACAAATTTGCAGAAGAGTTTGCAAGTAACTTAAACATTTCCAAGGACACACGTACAATGCCCCCATACCTATGCGATAGCAATTTTTATTTTGAAAATTGAAAAAATTAGCCGTGCCCCACCATTTGAGAGTTGGTGTTGTGTTGGCCTTTGAAAAATGTCTATGTATAAGACTTGCTGTAAATCTGAAAGGTTTGAAATGGCGTCATGGACTAAAAATTTTGAATTTTTCATTTCGCATCCTTAATCCGTAACCCTTATCCTTAATCATAGAGCCATGGCGCACTATATAAATATATATAAATTTGCTTTTAAATTTTTTAGAACCCCTGATCAGAGATCTTATAAAGAATATTTAAGCTTTGTTGTTTTGTCCGATTTTAGTCGCTTCACCGCTTGTTGAAGCGTGATATAGAAAACTAAAACATGGTGTACATGTGTTTAGTTGTTCGCCGTACAGCAGATTCGAAAATGCTTACAAATGATTGTTGTTGTCGATGTTCTACAACTCGATAATTAAAAAAAAAAGGCTTTAAAACAAAGGTAGGCATGATCAGTCCATAGAAACTGTACCAAATTGATTGATAGAGGTATACCACTATCCGATAAAGCCTACTCTCCCTCCTTGTTCAGTTCTCTCTGGCTAATGTTGTGCTCATACACGTGCAGCGGGCATTCCCTGAGCGACGTGTCTAAAATGAAACCCTTACAATAATTGATTTAAAGTTTTGTACAAGCCTTCGGTGAGAGTATATAAAAAATGCATGAATTTTTAATGCTTTAATCAAGCTAAGGGATATAAAAATTTGTAAAAATTGTGAATATATATAATAATTTTCTTGACATTCTAAATATTTTACTCTCTTCTCCTGTTATTTATTCAAGCGACTTCTTTTTCTTTTCTTTTCAGAATCGACAACTGGTATTAAAGTCACACGTGCGGGTTTATTAAGCTTGAAAAAGACTTTAGTATCGGTTTTTAATGAAACATTTTCGAAGCAGTTATGTTCTATTATTGAAAACACAAACGAAAAGGATGTAGGTTTCAATAATGCCCTACTACGCAGAATCAAGTCATTAATTCAATTTGCTCCAGTTGAATAACTTTCCACTCGGTTGAGCGTTTTTAATAAAATATATTTACGCATAAGAAGTCTTTGAAATTTTATATTTTGTTTCATATACATACATACCTTTATTCTGTATTTCATATATTATTTTATTATATATTATGTAAACATTAATTAATACTAAAAATGAAAGCTTATCCTTTGCCTAATGTATTATTGAAAAGTTAGTTTCGGATTTCGATTTCGACTTTAAATGTATTTTATACGAAAACTCTCATCATCTATACTTAAGCTTTCATTCTCTCATTCGATTTACTTATATTCTCCATGCTCTAATTGCATAACTAATCGTTAGTATATGATATGCATGATGGAAATTTTAATATCGACCGAGATTCGTTTAGATGGGAGAGAGTACAAGTGTAAAATGCAACATCCTATTTAATCAACATTGTTGCTTTCGATTTGTGTCGTAGGAATTGTCCTTAGTTGAGCAGCTGTTCAAATAAGATTCCGAATCGAAAGCTCATCAAGAGTATACCGTGTGAATACAGTACTTATAAGGTACTACAATTTCCTATGTAAATCAAGCGGACTTGTGAAAATAAATGGAATTTGGTTTTTAACTTGATAGCATCAGTCTTAGGATATCCATGTAAAATTTGCTGGAAGCAGAAATCTAATACATCTTCGATAATGAGTTCAAAAAGCTATCTTAATACAATGAAGATTAAGCGGAAGACACGCAAACAGTTGTCAGGCAACCTCAAGGTGCCCATATTCATCGGAGGAAAAATGAACTGGAAACGAGTGTATAAAACTGAGAGAGAGTAAGGGGAGGGACTAATGTATTGCACAGATTTGTATGAAACGAAAAATTCCCAATATAATGCAAAGTGAACAAAAAGAACTTTGTGCAGCATTTTTTTTTTAATAATTAATTTAAAAAAAGAATTTTAGAAAAATTTTAAATCTATATCAAATAAAATTTAATAAATGCGAATAAATGCATTATTGTTTATTTAAGATTTCGAATACTCTTTTTTTTTCTTGATAGTACTTAAGCACAACTTTCTTTACTTTATTTTCTTTCTCTTATTCTTATCAAGCTACGCAAATGAAAAAAACCTATGAACCTGTTGAGTTAAACTTTCTGATGCTTATTATGTCTCAAGTAATTCCGATTTTTCACTATATATACAACAGACTACTTTTGGGATGGGTACACTTTTGCAAATTTGTAAATTTGTGCATTAGTATAGCTCCACCCCATTATTACAGCAATCGATTCAGTATCAGTTTTCGAATTTCTTTAAGCATATCGGTGCACATGTTTTTATATTCAACCTATATTCAGGAATTTTACCGCGTTGACGTGTCTCGGTCCAAGCCTGAGCGCTATTAAAAATGGCTTGGATTGGGACATGCGCACGACGACTCTACATAGAAAATTCTATTGCCAAAAAGTTATGTAAAGAAAACTTTCCATTTTTAATATTTCTTTAAACCTTTGCACTTGAGGGCTCCACAGCGGAGCCATTGTAAATAATTTGCAGTTCTTAGCATAAAAACAAAAACAGATCGTAAAAACTAGTAATCGGGTGTTTCGCTGTTGGCGACAAATGACGGTCGCGGCTTGGGGAAGAATTGCATTAGAGAGAGAGAGGTGAATGCTGTTTAATAGTCGATCTTGTCAAAAAATGGAACATTTTGTTAGAACCATTTGCCCAACAAAATTATTAAGTACTATTCTAAAGCATCTAATATAAAATAACGTTATGAACGACCGTAAGAGAGAGAAAAGGTTTTGAAATGAACCCATTTACTGACGTTTGTATGCGTAAGACTACACTATGAATATGTGTATACTATGCTGGAAAGCTCTGAAAAGACCTGTATATGAGTGCGTTTGCGCAACGGTGCAGACGCTTGGTGCGATTGTGCGTTTGTCATTGCTCAGGCAGTTATATAGGCATAGGCAATAAAACTTTGACTTTTTAATTTTTGCGCTGATGAATGGTTTGTTGCGGTTTGTTCTTCCATGAAAACTGATCACACGAAATAAGATGTCAACCTATGCCATACATGAATTGAAATACAAATTTAAATATTTTGAAGATGTAATAAGATGAAAAATAGAAAAAATGGTAAATATCGAAAAATATATACAGTAGAAATTAGGGAGGAAAGTAATTATAATAATAATTGTTTGTTAGATAAATCGATAAAAATGTGGAAAACTTGTAAACATTTTAGGAAAACATGTTAACTTTATTCGCAAAAAAAAGTTTGCACCAAAATACGATAAGTAAACGCTCAAACACATAAAATCCAAAAACAAATATTCCTTTGTTTATCATTGATACATATATATAGTTCTTTAAGCAAATGCACGCATAAGTTCATACAAATATATCCATACGCATGTTTATGGATGTAGTCTCACACATCCGTCAATAAATGTTCTCATTTCAGTTCTCTTACTCTCTCTTACGATCCTTCAGATCATTTCATATCATATTGATTGTCTCGGAGTAGCGCTTAATAATCTTGATGCGTAAATGTCGGTAGCGAAATGCACCATCTTATCTATATGCTGTTCTTGTCCGGCAATAACATTATAACTTATTTTAATCTTTTGAATATTGATTCTTGGCAAACAAATGAATAAAAAGCCAATATTTTCGAAGGATATGCTTGTCCGCACGCATGGCATTGAGACAACTGAGTTATGAGTTGAAAATGTAACTGTAGAAAGCATATCAGCATAGCTTAAAGTGCAAGATTTGCAATCTCTTAATACTTATTACCTAATATCGTTTTATCGTATATCGTAGTTGGGTAAAGTTTTAACATTAAGTCATTTCTCATAAAGGAAATCTTTAAAACGATTGCTACTCATTACATTTGCGGAGATTTTTCTATACACACGAAAATTGATCGTGGATGAGCGGAACTTATGCAAAATTGTGGGAAATGTTATCATCTAAAATATCGTCTAAAATAATAATGAAGAAAAAATCATATTGGAGACACTGCACTGTAATGCATATATACATATATATATATACATACATACATACATACATACATACATACATACATACATACATACATATTTATATGTATGCATACATATATATACGTATATATACGTATATATATATATATATATATATATATACATATATGTATATGTTCTTTTTATTTCTCTTTCTTTTTATAGTTTACAATAAATACAGAGTATTAAATATAATTATTTAGTATATTGCCTTAGGAGTATATCGTGTTCATATTTTATCTGCATTTATGTCTGCTTCTAAAAGGATTCAATAACACGCATACCATTGTATACGCATTATTTTTGTATGCGAATTTCATTAAATAATGGTGTACAAAATTGTATAAATAACTTAAAATATAAGTGCATGTAAATAAAATTTGACTAGATTAACAAATTGTGTGTAAATATTTGTAATGTGGGTGTATGTTTTTCATATATTTACGTGTGATTGGGTGCGCGTGCGCACTCGCACTCGCTCGTGTATATGTGTGTATTTGTGTGTGTGTGTGTGTGTGTGTGTGTGTGTGTGTGTGTGTGTATGTGTAGGTGGAAATTCGGTACATATGTATGTAAAGGCTAAATTTATTGAGTTTTCTAGTACATAAAAAAGAATTAAATAAATAAATAAGAAATGCACATGGACGGCACGATTGATAACAAAGAAAAAAGAAAGCAAAACAATAAAGGAAAAAGAAAAACAAAAACAAAAAAAAAAGAAAAAAAAAAGAAACTTAATTTATTGTAGAACAACGATGCGTACATTGTAAATACATGTACACCGATTGGGAAATAATAACATTGTTTTTTTTTTTGTTTTGTTTCTTTGTTTTTTGTTTTTTTTTTTTTTTTTTTTTAATGGAATGACATATTACAAATTACAAATATTTATATAAGTATTAATTTATAAGCAATAACATGACGGACATACGTATATTTGGTTTTTTCATACAATTGGTATTAAAATAAAGCTGCAAAGCACTAATCTACTCTAGATGTGTATATGGATGCGTATATTTAAATTGCTTAAATGCTTGCCTTAAACTGAGACACAATTAGGTTTATACTTTTTTTTCTTTAGCGCAATTTAATAACATTTTTTTTTTTTTTTGTCGATTTTTATAACAATTTCGCGTTTATATATTATTTTTATATGGCTCCTCTTATTATAATCCTATGACTTTGAAATATATGTACTTCATTGCTATAATTTTGCAGCGATTTACCTTCTACGGTAGGTATTTTATATAAAAGCTCATTATGGTGCGAATAATCGCCGAAATGGGCGATACGTTTAGAAATTTGGACTAGCATCGGTATTTATCATTTTATATTGCTGGTGAATTGTAGATAGTATTTCGCGAATTTTAGCAATGATCTCCTGAACTCAAGCATTCGATTCCTATACAATGAAATACGATCATCAATAAAATAAATATCACAAATTCGCAAAAAAACAAAGTACATATATATATATATATATATATATATATATCTTATATATATATCTTTTTATTATTTATAAATGAATATATATACATATATATCTTTTTATTAAATTTACCTTTAAATTATCAAAATAGTGCATAATTTGTTCATAGTCCATATCGAGATCATCCAAACTTAAACTTTCTTCTTGATTAATACCACCGTCCAAAGTCGATGAGAACATTGGATTACCCACTATGGTGGCTCGTTTTGCTCTACAACGTTTAGGGTACGATTGTCGACTATCCCGTTTCACAAAGCAATTAGAATCTTGTTTTGTTATAATCACATCTTCGTCAAGCGACGTTAACTTGTCTTTGTCCGTATCTCTACTTTTCTCTGAAATAAAATAAAATTGAAATCAATTCGCATAAACCATTATATGTGTATTCGTTCATTTTAATGCGAGAATCTTCTAACGATGTACTTTTAAAATGTCGAGAAAATAAATTCGATTAAACAAAAGAATTCATTAAATTAAATAAATTTAAGCTTTTTAACACTCAGTCCGTCATAGTCCATCTCATGCTTTTATTTAAGGCCTTGAAATATAGATAGCTGGACTGAGAAATTAAGAACTCTATGTCTTCAAAAATAACGACTTTATCCAACATATTAAGATAAAGGAGAACTTTTCTATCACGACTACAATCAAAGGTATACTCTCTTTATGGCAGGATTTAAAGTATTTACGACATTATTTCATCATTTATAACATTATTCGTTGTTAGCTATTATTTTTATAAATTCCGTTCCATGACTTATCATCGCGTATAATGTGTGTGATAGGTAAGAAGAGCATTATAAGACTAATGAATGCAGTGAATCGGATAGCAATTACTCACCTAATATTTCTAACATTCCCATATAGGATCTTGCAAAAGAAGATCGAGAAGTGTCCCAGGCAAACTGTTTCTGGAAGGATATCCTTGCCAAGCCGTTTTCGGCGCACGCTAACAAATTCAATTGTTTTTAATTGAATAAACACATTTTTATGTTTATAAAATATACATCGCGTGTATCGTTATCGGCGCACTTTCAATATATATCACTAAATCGTATAAAATAGTTTTCAGATTCTAATATTTTAATTTTTTTTTTCAAAATTGATTTTGACGTACGAATACTATCTACTGAAAACAGCATAAGTGCATAGGACACATCTTAGAAATAAAAAGTTATTAATAAATATTTCACTTAACGAACTTATTTTTCATCATCCACAGTAATCAATGATTTTTAGCACTAACACTACTTTTTCTTAGCAGGAAAGTGCTAACGCGATCACTATATTGTTTGCCCCTCGAGGAGATGTCATAAATTGAAATGTAAAACTTAACAAGTAAGAAAGAAAGAATCTTGCACAGCCGCCACCATTAAAGTCTTGGACGCCCCACGGTTTTTTATATGTAATTATAAAACAGTAAAATTCATCTCATTCCCTGTATTTTGCTAATATTTATTGTTAAGAAAATTTAGTTTACCGCGTCGTGGTGTCTACCATATTTATTGTAGAATTAACGCGTTTTTGGGCGGGCAGTAAATCATCATTTGAGGAATGTACAAAATGGTCTCGTTTATCTTATCATTTCATTAAAAAACGCGAAATCTTGAAAAAGTGCAAAAAAAAGAAAATTCAATTATTTGTAACTTTGTATGGGTATGGCCGATTTTTGCACGTAAAGGGTGCAGCGTTTCGTAAACTTGGAAAATATCAGCCTTGCAACTTTAATGCAATCCAAGTAACGAGCAAAAATCCAAAAATCCATTTCTGTTTAAAAAAACCGAATTGCGCTAAGTTTACGCTCCACTGGGCGCCTCTACTCTGACCAAGTTGGCCCATTTTCAATGCAAAAAGTTCCAATGTTTCTACTAACTTTGAAGTTGCTGTCTTCATTTTTGCAACAAATATCGCATAGACGTACACAATTTCACGCTAGTCAAGAATATATATATATATATATATATACTTGATAGGGTCTCTGAAGCATCTCTTTAAGCATTTCAAACGTTATGACAAAATGAGTAAATCCCCCATCCTGCAGTGGTGGGTATTAAAATAATATACATGTTGGTGAAAAGTGTTACTCATATCGTTCTGTCGTCTTTTAAAACCCTTTCAAATGAATGCACATTTTCAATATTAGATCGACTGACTAACTTGCTGATAGGCATATCATTGATTCTGTTGAAAAATAGGTGAAAAACACCACAACTAACTATTAACAGTAAATATTGGTCTCAATATTGGTACATTTATGTACGTCATTTTCCAATAAAAACATGGCTAAAACTATCCTAATAGACAAGTAACTAGTTCTTACGAACAGCTAGAAAGTCAGGTGACATCGGCCAAGTTATGTTTAGGGTAATATTTAAATATTAAAATTAAATATTAAAAATCTCAAGTACGGGTTCGAGGTGACGGCTACCACTAATTCGCCATACGGCGAGCATAACTTTTCTCCTTGTTATCTTTGTAAGATTGTAAACATAGTCTTATCCGCCACTAGTGTTCTTGGACGAGCAAAATCTTTAGAATATTCTGTTTTTTTATTTGTTACTTAAAGTGAGGCTATTACACCACGTAAACAATGATTCAAAATATGTCTATTCCGCCACCCAATCCTGGAGACCTTATATATGTTATGTGTTATTATTGTATCCTAGTCATAGTAGATTTCTAACATGAATCCTTCTATTTAAACAACTTGTTATGGATTTTTCTATCGATCTGCCGTCACTTAATTTATAAATAATATTCGTTAACCTATGACCTCCGCATATATATGAAACTATTGTTTATCTCTTGAAAGCTTTAAGGCGAACTTTCAACAGAAAGTTTTCGATTTTTCACATTTAACTGAGAAGAATCTGTTACTATATCGTGGCGGATACAATGTTCTATATATGCTTGGGATGTAGTGTGCCATGAGCTACTTCAAAAGGAGAAGACTATTTGCAGTGGCGCAAAATTTTTAAGGCTAAAATATGCGAGAAGGCTTTTGCAGCATGATGACGATCGTATGATGGTCTCATATAGCAAAACTCTTAACTAGGAAACGCGCACATCACCGAAATGGAACGTACTGTCACCACAGCTGTATTCACATTCGTATAACATTCCTTCCCTTCCTTATTTAACACCTCCTCACAAATCAAAGGCTCATTTTCTGGCTGTTCCAAAGTCTTTTTGATACAATGCCGAGTGAATTATTAGCCAAATTAAAAAAATTAGTTAAAATAGGAATTTGGTTATGCGACCTTTCGAGTGGTTAGCAATTTGGCTTAAGATCGGTGTATTGAACATGAAGCATAACAATTATAGAGGAGAAATGAGAGGAGTTTTTCCATCTTACCAATATTTGCGCACTGGTTTGTTACATCTGGATTATTATTTTGCTTGGGAGTTAATGTATCAAATTGGAAAACATTTTTCTTGTGATGTGGACATTCTACCAATTTTTCGGCATTGTGCTTCTCCGTATTGTTGGTCATTATTTTGCCACTTGGATTGACAGGAATGCAAATTTCTTGAGGCGAGAATATTTGCTCGGGGGATGATTGCTGCACTTGTCCTTTATTTTTGGTGAGAATCTCTTTCGTTACCGAGCCGGATGGCAGCATAAGATCTCCTTTACTTCTATAAGGCTTATTAATTTGCTGGGAAACAAAAAAAATGTATAAAATGATTATGTTTTTGTAAATTTATGATACCTAAGGAGAGAAGAAGAAGTTTTATTCAAGTTATATAAGTTTACTCCCACCACTTCGGTTCATCATATTCAATTAATGGATCAAATCGTGAAACTGCTTTCAATTAATAGAATGAAATTTCTATGAATGTTTGAACAACTAGATCATCATCTATGTGTTTGTTTATGTGCGGCGCTGCGATCAAAAAATGCTAATGACAAATCTTTCATTTCATATTTGATATAGGGCTAGACTTATTAACGAGACTGCTTTTAATTTTAGGCTTTTCGAAAGTCCTAGTTGTTCTTTGAATATCGTTGTGGACATATATCTGTACCCGTATATAGGCTAGGTTTTTGCGATCATTTTTACCTATTTCAATGTTAAGAAAACAAGTGTTTAAAAATTCAGAGTCTCATGCTGATGCATATCTTAGCCAGATATGCTTAAATTGATTTAGAAAATGATTCCGAATCGATTAAAATCGTCTATAAAAGTTAAGTCTATCACTTAGATATTGGTAATATAACACAAGTTAGAATAATAAATTCCAGATGCATTCTCAGTTCGAGACAAAATTTTTATTTTCAAATTATTAACTGAAAAAATATCTAAACTCGATTACAGGAATTACAAAATGCTTTTGCGAGAAGTGGATAAGCGTAAAATTTATTATAATACAGTATATTCTTCTGAAGCAGCATGATATTTAAATTCATTTTGAGTTATACTTACGTTGCAAATGTAGCTTGAACCGCATAGACGTGTGTCTATATTACGATGTGGTGGTATAGGTGGCCGGTATTCATTCGAATTATTTTCCATATTTTGGCAATGATTTGGAAATCTGCAATTGAAAAGAAAACAGTAATTTGAGAAGAGCATATTGATTATATAAAAAAAAAAAAATAAATAAATAAATAAAAAAAAAAAATAAAAAAAATAAATAAAAAAAAAATAAAAAAAATAAATAAATAAATAAATAAGAAATGAAAAAGAAAATTATTTTTCATAAGTTATATTCACGTTGGCGCGAATTTCCAATTATTATAAAAAAAAGTTGTTGTTAATTGTTTTTTTCTTCGTTCAGAGTAATCTGCTCTGAGAAGATTAATAAGCAACGTGGATATAGCATAAAAGTCAAGGACCATTGAAAATGGCCCATAAGGGACTAAGCGCACCGACCGCAGCACTACTCTCTCTTACACAATTAATCGAACTAATTGACCGCATCTCTGGCAGGATTTTTGTTCTGAACTCCTCACAAAACTTATTAAAAGAAAAAAAAAAGTAATAATAAATGAAAAACTTGAATACTTACATTTTTGCTGTTTTTTGTGCATCGTGATTATATAAATTGGCATTGAATTCACAACTGTTGACGTGGAACGAAGTGGTCGCTTCGTTATTTGAATTTACGTCGCTCGAGTAATTGATAATGGGATTACTAGTTATCCTTATCTTTGAATCTGTGTGTGTAGTTTTTATAAATTTAACTTTTGCTTGCAGAAAGTTACAATTTTGCACACTTACCCCTAGGATTAATAAAACTCTGCCCCGACGATGATTCATTTATGATAGATGTCCTATCCATTGTTGAACGACCCAGCCAAACCCAGTCATGAGCATTAGTAGTAGTTTCTTTTATAAAACGTGGTTCTTGAAGAAAATCATTACCATTCAAAGATCCTTTAACGATTTTACCCCGATCTAGTCCGCTATCGACATTGGCAGGCTTAAATTTTGATGCGTAAACCACGCAAGAGATAATGAATACTACTATTGCGAAACAAAAAGCCGTCAAAAGAACGTACATCCCTACTTCCATTGAAGTCATATTTCCTTGATGTGTCGCTTTTCCGTAACGCACTTTTCCAGCGGAATGAATAACTCCGCGATGCTGTCTAGCTTGTACCGTAGGCTCATGATGATGCGTGGAATCTCTCAACGGTATTCCTACTTCAAATATAGATTAGTTTATGAATATATGAAATATTAATTCTGCTATTGTGCATCCTAACGGTTTCAAACAAGTGAGTGAAGCTGCAGCAATATATTTTTAACTTCAAATGAATTTCAATTAAGTCAGTATTTGTACGGGTATGAGTGACAGATATATTCAAAATTGCTCTTCTTTAAGCAAGAGAGATGATCGAATCATGCAAATAACTTATGCAATATTTTATAGTCAGAGGCAGTGTATTAAAAACTTATTCAATACGTTCTTCATTCTAATTTTTGTTATTAGTGCTTGTTAGTAAAGGAATTGCTGCAACTTTGAATCAAAATCAAATATTTCACGATTAGCATGACATTTTTAGACAGCATTGTAGAGAAAAAAACGAATATGAATATGAAATATATATATATATATATATATATATATATATATATTGAAATCGCTGTAACGAAGATGTAAATTTCATAATGCATTCACGGTCGATCTGTACCAATATCTTTATACGTATAGCATGTATATCGAACTGAGGACGTTAAGAATACACATTCAATATTTCGAAGGCTTTGCACAACTAACCTATTATATCAGCTAGATCTCCAGTATTCCGAAATTTTAGTTTGTCTTTTCCCACAATTCCATCATTTTGGACAATTTCATGCTTATTTACAATATCATTGCCATTATTAAAGTCCACTTCGACGGATGCTAAAGCACTCGCTAACGGGGATGCAATTGCTTTACTCTGTTTGGTAGCGTTTGTATTTCGACGTGTTCGACAATTTTCTGCTAACAAAAGGGTGACTCGCAAAAGGTTACCATTGCCTTCCCCAACTGCGATTACTCGCGGATGATGTGATGCCAACATAGGTGCGAATGCAACTACTTCTGTATCTAAACTTTCAACTAAAAGAAAGTAATCTTCTACAGATATGTCTCTGTACAGAGAAGATATTTTTGCTTAGTTTTTAATTTTTATCATAAATATATTTAAAAAATTACCGTAGAGGTGTTCTAGAGCCATCCGAAAATTCTAAATCTATATCAAGAAGGCCTTCCTGGTATTGCGCTGTTAATTTGTGAGTAACCGCCGTCTCGGCAATATAACCATTTTCAATTGTATTGTCGGCTGTAATTGTCAGTTGCAATCCAGAGACAACTCGGACTATCAGCTTCACTAAACTAACTTTGTCACTTCCAACACGTATTTCCTTGGCACCAATGACTCGCCCAGTAATAGGAGATAAAACCTAAATAATGCCCAAATATTTTCGCACATTTTCCATAAATGAGAGACAAATGCTTATTACCTGAACATCTGTACGTCCCATTGATTTTCCTTGTAATATTCTTCCCTTTAAGCTCGCAATTTTAGGATCCGCTACTCGTAGCAACGGTTGAACTAGATCAGTTACTCGTAGTCCAGTTCGTCGCGATATGAAATAGCTAATGCGACCGGAATTCTATAAAAAATTTCAAAAATAAAGTACATAAAATTTATGTAAATATAAACGAGCAACGAGACATCCAAGTAGTAGTTCTTGCACTCACGAGTAGATCAAAAGACACGTCTACAGTACAACATTTGTGTTTGAAAGCGAAGAAATTGATTTTTTGCAATCAGAATTTGTAGTAAACGACTTTAAGTTAAACGAGGCAGACACAAAGGAGTTTCGGCAACAGACGAATATAGTTATCGTCCTTGCTTGTCGTAATTGTGAATGCATTACTTGGTTGGATACGACTTTTTTGAACAAAAATTTTATATGCTGACCTTTCTCAAGATAAATCGGTCGAATTTTAGATCAAAGGGACTTGACGTATACGATTCAGAATTTGGAATTCATTAATAACATATTCTCTAAAGGATTTCTCCTTGTTATAATCGCCGTTCCGTTTACGACTATGTCATTCGTTCGATACACGCAGATGTGTAATACGCTACGTACTACCTTTATTAAATTAAGTTATTATTATATCTAAACGGTTGGTTAGTTTACAAGCTTTACTTTGCCACTATTTACATAATATTATCGCAATGAAGAGAATTTTGGGAACAGTAGTCTTTTAATTTTAATTAATTAACAACAAGAGATTATATTTTTTACCTGATCAATAGCAACAAATCTTGCGTATATTTCTACAGGACTTTGTTGATATCTTGCGCGACATGCCATTTTATCCATACCGACGTTATTGTGATAACCGGAATTATATGGTCCAATTACAAATGAACGTTTTTTTCGGCGTCGTAACTTTTTATGACTAAAATTATTGCAAAGAGTTACGAAATTAAACAAATTATTTTCTCTATGTACATTTGCTTACATGTACTGGTTTTCTTCGCCAACCTTCCAACCCTTTATTTGTGAGAGTCGAAAATCGCTAATATAAACTTCTAGTGGGAATTCTGGCATCCAAACGACAAACTTAGCTAAACCAATGTACGTACCATATTTAACTATAATTGATGCATTCGATGACCCACGTATTTCAGAACCATCAACATATACGGAGCTACATGATGAGGATACCTAAAAACGATTTTAAAGATAAATCTTTGTATCGAATATATATCATTCAATTAAAATTCAACCTTTATAACGCTTTCATCTTCAGCATGACATGAACTTTGAAGAGTGACGTCAGCAACCTTTCCTCCTTGCGAAACAATAAATACTTTCATTGCTTGGGCAACCTGACGGCCAGTTAATACAGCTGTATTCATTAATTCCCAATTCTATAAATAAGAAAAACGCACTTTCAACTACTAATCGTCAAAATATGGGTTAACAGCAGAACAGAGCTTCTCATATTGAACACTCTGTCACTCTGTCAGTCTCAACCAATGCTCAAAATTATTATCAATGGCTTTCAACTGCGTTACTGGATTATGGATCTAATTTTAACTTAACTGGTCCAATCCATTTTCAAAAAAAAGGAAAAAAAAAAAACTTCAAAATATGTGAGAAATCCAAATAATGTTCAAGATTTTACTTCAATCAATCATTATTTGTATACTTCTAATTTAATCATTTGAACAGCGAATAGTTTTTTAACGAATTAGTTCAGTAGTGTACAGCGACAGATCATTTATATAATTTAGTATTTTGTGCATACCTTCGCCATGGGCAAGACGGCTTGTATATCATCCTTATTGATTTCCAGCTTTGCAATAACTCTCTTTTTACTATCATCTAATCCAACATTTTCCAAAGGGATGTCCTTCGCTTTTGATGCATCGTACATATATGTAACAGACCATACAATTTTTCCACCTTCAAGTAATTCCTTTGCGTCATCAGCTATTTCAAATAACCATGAAAATACTTCTTCCACTCTGAAAAAAAAAATTATATTCATGGCCATGAATTTTTTTTATTTCATCCACCCACACACACATACACACACACACACAAACGCACATATATAGAAATAAAAAAAAAATAAATAAATAAAGTTAGGCAAGTTTTTATGTTCATTTTAAATTCAATCTAATTATGTATTTTGAAACATTTTTGAATTGATTATAACCATAGGGTAGATGGTGTTCCTTGTCTTAGATTATCGAAGCTTATAAACTCAAAAAACTTATTATTACAATTTTATTATGTATATACGCCACACGACTCATGGTACAAGATATAAGCTTGCGCGTTTGTATGTAACATCCATAAGAAACTAAGATAGTCTGTTTATCCGTTCGATATATGCCTACGTTTATCCTAAAAATGGCAGTTTTTGAGATATTGTGATGAATCATGTCTTCAGTCCCAAGGACAAATTCTATTGAGATGGATTCATTCGGACTATACAATGCCTGATTATGAAAAATTGTTATATGAAATTCGCAAAATTCCTTAGAAAAAATCGCTGAGCAGTAGCGTCTTGGCATTGCAAATTGCCGGCTCCGGCTCGGATACGATATTTTTTTGAACTCCCCTCCATATAACCGTTGCCGCGTAGGCTGAATCTTCATATGGTAAAAAGGTAATTTTCGTAATCTTAGTTAGAAATTGACTTTAGCGAATTTCGACTATGCAGGCCTATTTTATGGATCCCTCACCCTATACATTTCGCAGGCATCTCGCAAAAACTAAGTTACCATTACCTAAACTTATCGCGACATTTTTAAATCGTTAATCAATTTTCTTGGCAAAATTCTTTTCACCAGTCCCTAGTTGCATGACGCAGTTAACACATTGGGTGTACTTGATTTTCATTTCTTTAGAATTTGGCTTCAAATTATTAAATATTGGTATTCTCGCAACAATATTTTAAATTAGAAGTTGAGTCATGTTTCAAAAATCCTATTTTCATATCGTATACCCCTGGCCGTTACAGTATACATATACATATATATATGTATATTTGCGTGCTATATATTCATGGGTTTTGTGGAACCAAACTTAAGGTACGCTGGCTTGTTTTGGCCATGGTTTAATATATGTCAACAAAATTGGACTAAAAAAAAAATAATAGTATTTTGACATATCAAATGAATGAGGAAAGTTTGGACACAATGAGATTGAATGATCCTACCTTCTAACGACTTGAAATAAACCTTTGATCTATTTTTTGGGAGCCCATTTCTATATAAGAATTCTCTTGGAAAATAATGATCTAAAAATATATGCTGTTCAGTCGGAACGAACTGCAACAACATTTTACCTTGCTTCAATTTCATTTACAAAATTAAAAGTTGTTTTTTTTTTTTTTTTTTTTTATCATTACAAAATTGTTTAAATATACATACTTTTTATCGTTCGTTTTAATGTGTGATGAATTTTGATTTTCCGCGATCCGCTCTTGTTCTTTTCTCAAAGCTGTTACCCGTACGATTGTATGTTTTGTATTTTCTTTTTCAATTGATATGTTCCACAAATCGGTTAATGCCATCGCGCTGAGCACTCTGATACCGGATTTAACGCGGGCTTTTATTGAAAATGATGCTATTGATCTTTCAGAAGATTGTTGTATATAAACTGGCACATGAAATTTTGACATTGGATACAATGGTTGTTGTGGTAAAAGTATCGTCAAAGAATCATCGGGCCGTAGCTCTTTGAATGCTACCTTAGGTGCGACAAGTGGTATTTGGGCAAAATTTGTTAAAGGTTGAATTTGAACCTTGGGCTCACACTGCTCTGGATTACGCAAAGGGGGCTCGAAAACACTATACGACACTTGAACATGACGTTGGGGAACTTTAATTGGTATGGAGCCCGGTATATCCTTTATATATGGCAGCGGGACAGAATGAAACCATGAGAATGGTATAACTACCTAAATGATGAGAAATGCATTTTTTTATTTTTTATTTTTACAGTTATTCCGTACTACGTTACGTACTTCAGCAACACACACACCGTCTTCACCTTCAGGCATGCAACGACCTTTTAAAGGAGTGTGATTTCCATAAGATACATGTAACAGAACGCAGATCTTCTGACGTTGTAAGTGGCCACTCGTATCTGCACCAGCATGAAACAGGACCCGTAAAACCGGAAAATCCGGTGATACTTTAGTACTAACTAAATGTGCAGATATATCTAAATGAATATTGGACTGCTGCAACTCCAGAAGTGCAGCTGTTGTATTCTGAAAATGTATTAAAATATATTGTTATTTGCTGGATATGATCGCCGCCTTTCGCTTTCCTCAACTAATATAATCGTAACCAGAGCTCTTCGAATCAACATTTATACGTAGGTGAACATATATATATATATATATTGTATCTAACTTCCTGTCATAAGGGTAGTACAAGTATCATAAAGTATATATATATATACCATGTGTGACATGCCCACCACATAGCACCATCAAGTGTCCAAAGCGTATTATTGCATTAAGTCCAAGCGAATTAAACGATATCTGCAAAACACTGCCAACAAGAACGAACCAGAACGGACTTGAATTGAAATATAATCGTAATATGGGACAAACTATGGATAAATAATTTTTCAAAATAAAACCATTGGAGCCCACATTGCAAAAGTCGTTCCTTATAAGCGGCAGTCAACACGAACTTTGGCCAAAGTCTGGCTATATGTACTGGCTACAAGTACTTTTTGGCATTTCCAAAAGCATGATTCTGATGGAAGATTCATTGCTTTACAACAATGGTAAACAATAATCTTTATGTGCAGAGGCAAACTGTGGTGTCACTATTAGTGCAATAGTTGGATGTGTGTGTTTTTATTAAAATCCAATTTTAATCCATTTATCCAAACTATGAATTCGTACGAACGATGATGGAATATAATTCTAAATTATGTTAAAAAAAAAAAAGAAGAAGAATATTTCTTCTTCCCCTTAAAAAGGGAAATATTAACGATCCAGTAACGCGGCAATCAATATATGTTAACATATTTTGTCTTTCATTCAGTAAACTTTTGTTTATCTATCATTTTGCTATGAAAATTCCTCACCTCACCTATTTACATTTTAACCAATGAATGCACTAAACACATACCTACGGGTCAGCGCTTTGATTAAATATGTGCAACCTGTGTGTTAGGCTTCTCAGTGATGCGGATGGGGACAAGCAAGTTAGCTTTAATGCGACATAATGTAAGCAAAAGATTTGTTAGGAGCAAATGTGAATAAAATTTGGAATACATTGCGAGTGCATGTAGGCAGAGTTTTAATTCTTTAAAGTCATACATAGTCAGTTATGACATTTTGCATCAATTTTGCAAAATTTGAAATCTATTATCAAACCCATAGGATTATACTATGGATCTATATTAAGATTATTCTCACACAATCGACTTTATGCGCCGTATGATAGGCACAATCAAAGCGCCATTCTTATAACGAATAACGAAAGCCGCTTTGGGTTGTACTTGTGGAGTAACTGAGTTTCGATAAACGAGATAAAAATTTTAAAATTGTAAAATTTTAGATTAATATAAATTAGAACATTTCTTTGAAAAGAGTGCGCTTGAAATAAATTGACTTTAAAGATTTCTTTAAATTCTATGCCGTCAACAACATTTGTTTATGTTTATGTGTGTCGAATTTCCTTTACCTCTCAATATCAAAAAGACCAGAGATGAGCATTAACTATTGATTTTTGCACATCCTCTTTAATAGTCATCCGTAACATGGTATCAGTGTTTGATATTTTAATTCACATATATATATATATATATATATATATATAAAGACTTTTGAAATATTCATAAATATTTTTCGTTTCGCTCTTTTGCTATGTTTTCATTATTAATTATTATTATTATTATTTTTCTTCTATTATATACTTACATTCATATAATCAGTTTGATTTTCTATGGCATCGGGCACGATATATCTAGCTGGTACGGTCTGTTTAGTAGAGAATGGACCATAACTGGCTCTGATTGACACTGGTTGTGTTGTTTGAACCACAGTGAAGCGATCGATTGATAAAATAGAGTCATAAGCTGTACGCGAACGTAATGTAGGAACCGGAGAAGAATGAATATTCGATATCTCGGGCGTGACTGGTGGTTGACGCGTATGTTTCAAAAAGAATCCACTATCCGTTGATTCGAAATGGACTTCGACGCAATTACAAAAATCTATGTATATAAATTAACGGATAAAGAATTAATTTTTAATTAAATATCAATTAATACCAAATAATAATTCAGTGATACGATATTAAATTTTCCTTTTACCGTCAGTATGTCAAAAATTTCGATTGTTTATGAATGATATATATATATATATATATATATACATAATTAATTAAATATGGCCAACGAGCACTGCTGTAATCTGTTAAGTCTACAAAAGACTAATGCCAAATATATTCGAGCGAACGATTAATCTTGCGACAAGAAAAATCATACATATACGCCTTCGAGGGAATTTTTATTATCCATCGACGAAAACGAAACACATTAGATTTTTAGTTAAAATTCCTTCTATTTTACGTATTATGTCTAAGATTGTTTAAGTTACGTTCATATTATTAGATTTGTAAAATTGAAAGCACTTATTTAGAATAATTAGACTTGGGACTTAGGAGTAGGATTGGCATCAACACACTTGATCGTTATCTTTACTTCAAAGTCACTCTCTCTTGGCTTGGCTTGGCTTGAGCAATTTACTTTGCTTATAAATGCTTCAAAAATTAATATTCACTTTATTCTGCCCGATATTTGAGGACGCGTGCAGGACACTGAGCACTGGCTTTTTCTTAATTTTTCTCATAATCAATGTCTCATAATCTGTTTCAGTACGAATCCATTCGTGGGTAGCCACAAAAGAATCAATTGTCATTTCGATGCACAATGTGTCTTATGTCAGAAAGTTAGAAAAAGTGGTAAGTAACGATGGACAATACTTTTGTTTTACTTTTCCTGTTCCCCTATACCCATCACCGAGACGTACATTCATCCCTTTCAAAACGTTTGCAACGCCCAGAAGTAAGCTTCAAAGACCACGCAAACTACATACACGTGTGGATAGAAAAATAGGCACAAAATTTATTTTTCAGTTCAATGCTCTAGAAATTGTAGGAGGTAGCGTATGTTTTTACATGTGTTCAAACTATTCAAAATTAATTCCTGGAATCCCATCTTAGCTAATTGTTCCATAAATAGATTGAGGACTTTTATGTTGCTTTAGTATGTCTTTCAGGTAAGAGTGAAAAGAGAGAGAAAGAAATGCAATATGAAATAATGTTTATAATAATTATGTATAGGTCGAGCATATCATTGTAGCCAAGCAGGGGGCTGCAGAGATCATCAGCTTCAAGATAGTGGAAAAACGTACAATCATTTATTACCGCATCTTACAAAGATAACAGTTAGTGTGTTGTATATTCGCTTTTGTCAGAGGTGTGCGCTACCATAGAGTGGGATTATGGTTATGTATTGGTGAATAGCAATTTTACTTGGCTAAGTTGAGTTTGAAGACACATTTTGTTGCTGCAATTCGGATCAGTAGAACCGGGGACGCAGCCAACCGCTTTAGCTGATGGTCCATGAACCGCCCAAAAGGCGTTCACAGTTATCCCTTACAGCGTTTATTATTTTTGTTTATACATTACATACATATTATGCGAATTTTATCGTATAAAGATAACCAGCTAGAGTGCTGTAGATTCGCTTTTGTTAGAAGTGACTCTCTATCACTAGGTCGGTCACATTACTTTGTCACGAATGCTTTAAGTAACAATAAAAAAAGTACTGTAGCGAAATATTTGGAAAGTATAATACAATGTTCCAGTAACGTGCTGCGATAATTAATCCTGCATCCACGCCTACTCGAGTCGATTTAAGCATGCCCGTCTGATTATCTGTTCGGCTGTGTAAGGCCGCCGCAAAATTGAAATAAATTTGGCAGAAACATTGCAAGTTCTTGCACGCAGATTGGTATTAAAAATGGGCTAAAACGATCAAAGGACACGTTTACAATACCACGTAAACTGGGAACATTTCCGTTCTCCGTGACAAAAATTGACCACAGTGAACACTTTCGCTTTCCGCGCTCTCTTGGTCGTTGCTTGTAAACTACAATAGATCGATAGCACGATATAAATTTCCATAAAATTGTTCTACAAAAGTAGAATAACGGCGATGAGTATAAAAAGTTCACACGGTCACAACCGAATGTAATTTTCTTACTTGCCTAACTTGTTAAGATTGCCGTCAACATCTGTCTATTGCATGGAAAAAAACGTCAAACCATAAAAATATTCAAAATAAACATCAGTCAAATTTATTTTAGCTTTTCAGTCTTTACCTTCGTATTGCTGGAAGCCACTGCGATTTTAAAGGCAGTCTTGTACTTTTGCAATTTAGCCTTCAAATTAGAAGAAATTCATTTTTTATATTCGCATATATCTGCGTTTGTACTTTTATATATATAAAACATTCAAAAAAAAAAAAAAAAATATATATATATATATATATATATATATATATACATATATATTTATATATATTTTCGCATAGGTCCGAAAGTGCTTATTGATTGATAGGGAGAATATGGGAGACAAAGACGTATTTTTCATATTAGCCATTGAATGCATATTTCTTTATTTTACTTTTTAGGTGATTCTTACAAACATGTTTGTAGCGCCCGGAGTTTTGTGTTCAATTTGTATGGAATGCTTCAATAAGGATGACTGTGTAGACAGTACAAGTTGCGGGCATATATACCATAGTATATGCATTCAGAATTGGCTCATTAGGTGAATATGGGCAAAGTTCGAATTGTATAATCAATCAGCTACTTGCTAATTCTTATATGCCAATTATAGATCGAAGCAATGCCCGAAATGCGGTGTGAAATGCCGAGGCACTTGCAAATTGTTCCTTGATTTCGATAATAGTGGAGATGAGGTGCGATGAGCGAATTGCAAACTAAAATAAAAGATAGCAAAATTAATTTTATGCGTTTGCAGGCACCGGAAGTCAATGAAATCAATAAACAGCTTAAGGAAGAACATCGGTACTTATCTCTGCAAGTCAACGCAAGGAATAAGGAAATTTCGTTGCTTCAAGAAAAAATAAAAAGGATGGAAGCCCAAACTCCAAAACAGAAATGGACACGGAAGCGAAACTCACGCACTTCCTTCTAAAAAGCCAGCGAAGTTAAAGAAACCAAACAAACAAGACATACTTGACCACTTGATGTAAATGCAATAATGATGAAAATTATAAACGGAAGCTAAGCTGAAGCTGAAGATATGTATAAAAATCAATTATTATAACTGAGAGCTGCTATGGGGTATTGGGATGTTGTGGTATGTTGGAAACTAGAGGATCTAATTTGTATTTGAAGTGCTTATTGAAGGGAAGGGAAGAATAATTATCGTTTTTAATAATGTTGCAAAAAAGTGAAATTCAATATTGAACTAAACATTAATGGTTGCTTTTTGATTAAGGAAATCAGTTCTTTGAATAGGGAGGGCCACAGCCTTTGTCAAAAATATGATCTTTGAAAGCGAGAAAGATGAAGGAGAGCTATGTAGCATGTTTGGGTATTTTTTTCGTGCATAGTGCATGCGAGACAAAAGTTATTAGACGCTGTCCGGAATTATGTGAAGGTGGGCCCCGTCACAAGTACATCCAGTTAGAAGGCGATTTTGGATTTTGATTTTCCAACAGCTAAATAATTTTTTCGAAACTCAGCGTTAAATAATAGGTAGGCAATAATGGTTCACGCAGCACGTTTGTAATAATTTGAAGTCACTGATAATCCACCCTTGACATTGGCCAGCACTTTGAATAAAATGCCTTGTACCACGTTTATACCAATCACCGTAGGATGAGGTCGACATTCATCTTGTCAAAAGTTTTGCAATATCCAGAAAGAAACTCGACGAAAATCCATAAAGTACATATATATACATTCTTGATCAGGATCAAATTATAAACCAATTTAAGCATATCCGTCTATCTGTCTGCTTGTAAGCATTCTCCTGGTTGCAAAATCGAAGCTATCGCCTGCAAATTTGGCAAAAACATTGAAAGTTCTTGCACCCAAGTTGGTATTGAAAATGAAACGAATTGATCAAAGCACATACCCCAAAGGAAAGCGTAAACTGGACACATCTGTTACTTCAAGTAAAAATTTGTCTTTTTAAACTTATTACTTGTAAATTGTGAAAGATAAAATGCTGAAATATTCTATATATATACTTATGGACGACTATTGATGTAAAGAAAAATCAGCCCCGCCCACACAATGCTATAAGTGATTACATTTTTATTTTCTTCATTTTTCTTACGTTTTATGCTTATTGTTACTTATCGTGTATACTACTACTTGTACTTATATCTATTATATAAGGTAAGCAAGATAGAATATGAATATTATTCTGTACATTCCTCACATGAAGATATTAAAAATGTGTTAAATCTAAAATGGGTATAATGGAGCCCTGCAGTATACCCAATGTCAACATGTCCGGCGGAATGATTTTGTCCCCGAAATCCTGTTGATATTAGCACCAAATAAAAGGACTTGAAGAGTAGATATAGGTGGGTTCACGGTGATAGATATAAAAGACGCGGTCGCAAACGAGTGTGAGAAGAAGGAAATTACTAAAAAATGAAAAAAGAGCAATAGCCGAATATTATATACCTATAACATATATATATATATATATATATATATGTAACATTAGTTGATGGACAAATTAAATGCAATCATTGGGGCCAATAAAAATTAACTTCCCCCTTTAAACTAAAGCCGAAGAAAATCCGAGTGGGCATTGTTATGATTAAGTGAGCGCTTAGAAATCGATTTAATTAATTTAGAATTCGTTTATAGGAACCTGAAACGTAACTTTATCGGATTTTTGGGTATACAAGTTAAGTTCCAACAATCTGGATTATACAATAAGTTACGTTAAGTTTTAAGGTCATATTCCCAAGCTCGACTTTGAGGAATAAAAAATTTAACCTGTAAATGAATATGGACTCTTACAAAAACAGCTCTGCGGTCCGCTTTATATCCCTGAACCTAACATGGAAATCAATATTGCTTCCAAATTAAAAATATTTCAAATTTTACATGTAATGTTACATGCATGCAAGTTAAAGTGTGTTAAAGACATAATTGTTTTATATCAATGACATATATTGAAGTGACCAAATGTTAGATTTTTTGCGACAACATTTTCGATGCACTATTAATGAATGATGGCAAATTTCATTGACCGCACACACAAATAACTATAGTGTCTTCATTAAATAATATATACATATATATATATATGTACATATATACATATATATATACATATGCATATATATACATATGCCCTTATGAGCATGTTAGTATACATATGTGTTCTCATACTTACATAGAAAATTCAATAATACAATTTGCAAGCAACATTTGACGCCGACTCTCATCCTGTTTGTAATTTTCATAATAGTTTTATGACACAAAATTATATCCAAACTTTTATATGTACATAATTCCTAATTGAAATTGAAATGCATGTACCTATATAGACATATATATACTATGGATTTTTGCTTTTACACTTTTTGAATTAAATTTTTGCACGAACTCATCCTTTATTGATTCCTTTAATGTAGTATAGACATCTCAAATTCCTACATACGAACGTAAAGATCTCACGCATATAAATCTGAATTCATTATATTTATTGGTACGACTACTTAATCCAACATCTTAATTCTTTGAGGACAAACCGTCTTGACTTAAAGAATTATCAATAAAATATTTATATTTTCTATTTCACACAAATACATTTTTTATGCACCAACACCCGACACGATATCGAACTTAAAAAAAAATTTAGCCAACTTTACTATACAATTGCTGAATCCAAGAAAACCGTAGTTGCCATCATTTCTCATTATATAAACCAATTACTTTAGATCCTAACCATTCTATATGCTCCCTTACCATATCTGTAAACAATGCCATTTCGTATTATGAATTTCAAAAACTTTCAATTTAAATTGCAAACATCACAATTGAGTATAGAAACAGTAATTTGTGAATTTGATAAAATAATCATTTTTGAAATTAAAAAATCGCAATTTTTTCCTCACAAATTTCAAGTTATGCCATATTTGTCATATTTAGAAATAGTATCAAAATTAAACTTTTGACAAATTAAAAAACACTTTAAAATACATTCAATTCAATCAGAAAATTAATTTAATAGTTAAGTTTTAGAAAAAGGTATTAATTTAATTATAATATTTCAACTATTAAAGTACGTTATGTTATTAATAAGGACAGGGATATAAATTAAACTTTATCCATACCGGAAAATGATTTATTTTGATAGAAAGGCAGTTCAACTTATTACTAAACCTCGCCGGCTTTGCAATAAATAAGGACGATTTGTTTCAGTTTTTATTTTATTTTTTAATCATTCTTATATATTTTGAATTTCTTTAAATATGTGTAAAATACCTTAAACGCTAAGCACAACGACTGCATTTGCCTTTTCCCACTGTCACGGTGATGCAATACAATAAACAAATTCAACACATGTGTAGCTTACATTGCATTATTGCAGCAAATTCATATGATTTGAAAAACTGGCCGTTTGATTAAATTTTAATTTTATAAACGTTATTATAACTATTGCTATTATAATAAAATTAACCATTGAAATAAATTCTAAGATTAAAATTTTAAAAGCACTAGCATCTAAGGCCATCTGTTTTATTGAACATTCTATCATAGTTGAGATTTGATCTTACGAACTCTGCGCTAGTTTAGATCCTTTACCTGTTCAACCCCTCAGGCGGATAGATATAAAGGTTAATGAAGCGCAAAATTACTTTGAAAAGTGTTGTTTTTCTAATGTCAATTTAATAAGATGTATAAAAATTATAAAAATTTTAGGTGCTTACAATATTTACCATACAATTTTTTGTTTTGTTTTCATGCAAATATATCTCTTTGTTCCTTTTTTGAACATTAATTCCCACTTTTAAAAACAGAGTCAAGTTTTATGCGCGTTAACGAATGCGCAAACCAAATTTAAATCGAAATATGTCAATTTGGCAACGTAAACTGTCAAGTGCTGCCAAATCAAATATTAATAAAGGACTATAAATAAGAAGTATACTAACGTTTTCTGGGCTGCTTACGCTTAAACCAGGATTTTAATGCCTTTAATCTTGAAATTTCATTTCATATAGCAAATGGGATTTTTTGTGTGTTTTGTCTGAAAATAGAAAAAACAACGTGAACGCCATAATATGAACCGAAGAAAGCCTTTGAAAGTGAACGAACACTTAGAAACGGTTTTACATAATACCATAAAAATAAGTAACATTCTTTTAAAAATCCTTTAAAATTCCTTGAAAACCACTACTCGACAGCGATTATCAGTAAACGCAGAAAGTGTATTGATGTTTTAGACTTTATAATTTTCTACTCCAATTGAGATCAGGGCATCAGGGTTATTACGATGCGGCTCCAATATTGCCGGCTTTTTGCGAGACTTTTTGGAAATTGACAAAGAAGAAATAAAGGTATTTTATTTTAATGTACTTATTCATATTTTGTTCAAATTTTAAACTTTTTTATATTTACGACATAAAAATTTGGTTTGTGGAGGCTGGCCCAATCAGGCGTTATTGCCATTTTCGTGCTGGGACTTCAACTTTGACGACTTTTTACAAAACTTTATGTTATTTGACATATCATATGGCCTTGGGCAGAACAAACCGCACCCAAAAAAACTGTTGATCGTTTTTTTTTAAATTTTGAAATTTAAATCTGCAAAAATCTTTGAAAATCTACATATATCGGATCAATCTTCTTTATCACTAACCTTGTTTACTTTTTGGGTTGTTAACTTTCTTATTGTAATTTTTTACGAATTTGATATTTATTATTATTTATATTTTGGTATTTACCACTTGGCAGTTTTTAACCAGAAAATGAAAATATCGCCTCGTTATGTCAGCCCCCTATATAACCTTATAAGGAATGAAAACAAGCCATAACGGCGATTTATCAAATCAAAATTTTTAAGCACTTTACTTTCTCTATATTACGGCGTTGGTTAAGTTCACTTCCATCCTCTTTCTTTTAAACTGATTTTTATCCTTTTTTTGTTCCATTAGTCAATCAAAAATTTAATTTGCTCTTACATTAATTTTCCTTATCGCTGCTTTTCATGTACATCTCATTGTGCTTGTTACTTGGTACTTATTAATTCGAAAAACGGAATAACGCATCCTTGTGATAGACCTTACGCTTCCATAATTTGCTTGTTATAAATTTTACTTAAATTAATCAATTTTATAATTGGTACCTAGGAATTGTATTGGAAGACATTGAAATTATAACGGTTGTTTTTCACAGAAAGTATTGTTCCAAGCTAAATCTTTAAAAATATTGAATATATCCTAATCATTTTAAAGAATTATTGTACCTTCTATTCAAACTAAACTAGCAAGTGATGTAAGTAAAGCAATTTTTTCATGGATAATTCTTTCTTTCTTTATTATTAATATATAAACATTTTTGTCAGTGTTACCAGCGTTCCCACGAAAATTGCAATTCTTATTTAGATTAATTATATCCCTGAAATGTATGTGAATTTTTGCTATTGGCAAAAGTGAACACAATAAACATAAATAAATCATGGCTGCTGGACCAATTGCTGAACGAAATCAAGGTATTTTCAATAATGATTAACGCAGAATGATTTAAATATACTTCAATTATATTTCAGATGCGACGATTTATGTTGGCGGACTTGATGACAAAGTCTCTGAGACATTGTTATGGGAACTTTTTGTGCAGGCGGGACCAGTTGGTATGATCTCATGTAAAATATATATGTACATATATAATCATATCTTAAGAGCATAAAGCACATCCTGCCTCCACTTCATTCGGGGCTATTTTCCAAACAAACTTAGTTGTCTAGCAATCTCAACAAAATTTGAATACGTACTCACTTCATTACTCCTTATCCGTTGAACATTTGTAGTTTATGGTTTATCAATGAGAGTGCGGCTATTTTGCTATTTGTCAAAAAGTAGAATTTGTAAAATTTTTTGTCGGGCATATAAGTTAAAATTATATAAAATTATATACATGCATATATATAATATAACTTACAAAAATGTCTGGCTATAACTTCTCCAAAACGCCAAGCGATTTTGATGTTATTTAGTCTTCAGCATAGCATATTATTTATTATTATTTAGTTGAACAAATGGATAATGAGGTTATATTACGGAAATAAAACTTACTGTAAGTAAAACTTGTTGTAAATAAGTTTTATTTTTTAAGAAGTTTTTAAAATAATATACTTAAATGTTGCTGGATGTTAGAAGTTTAATATTTTTCGAATTGTTTCAAGTGGAAGGGTCACGCCGTTGTTAATAATTACAACACGCCAACAACGCTTGCATGATATGATTCCGATTTAGATAAATTTTCAATGTTTTTTAAAACAAAATATTTAAGTATTTTTAATTTTTATTTTTTTTTTAAATCAAAGAAGCGGTATATAATTTTTTATTGTATTAAACTTTAGAACATTTTTTTAAATCTAAAAAATTTGTCTACGGTGACTTTTATATTAAACTGGTTTACCTATGCAAATTCGATTTAATTTTATAGATAATTTATTAAATTAATTTTTATTTTTATACAAATATAAAATCTGTAATTCTGTTTTAGTTAACGTACACATGCCAAAAGATCGTGTAACGCAAATGCACCAAGGTTATGGGTTTGTGGAATTCTTGAGTGAAGATGATGCTGACTATGCCATAAAAATTATGAATATGATAAAATTATACGGAAAACCCATAAGAGTTAATAAAGCGTCAGCTCATCAAAAGAACTTAGATGTGGGAGCAAATATTTTTATTGGCAATTTAGATCCAGAGGTCGATGAAAAGCTTTTATACGATACTTTTTCTGCCTTCGGTGTAATATTGCAAACGCCAAAAATAATGCGTGATCCAGAAACTGGCAATTCAAAAGGATTTGCTTTCATCAATTTTGCAAGTTTCGAAGCTTCAGATGCTGCAATGGATGCAATGAATGGCCAATATCTTTGCAATCGGCCTATCTCCGTATCGTATGCATTTAAGAAAGATTCGAAAGGTGAGAGACATGGTTCAGCAGCGGAGCGGTTGTTAGCGGCCCAAAATCCCTCGTCACATGCTGATCGTCCACATCAACTTTTTGCTGATGCTCCCGTGCCTAGTATGATGCCTGTAATTCCAGGACAAATAATACCGCCACCTTTAATGGCACCGCCTCCACCACCACCACCAAATGCTGCGGCGGCCGCGTCGAATATGCTGCCACCTCCACCACCCGTTCCGCCACCACAAACAGCTTTTGTTCCGCCGCCTCCGTTACCACCATTGGCCGGAAATCAAGCACTTCCACCGCCAGTAGGTATACCTCCACCTCCAAGAATGTTGCCACCAAATGCTTGGCCAGCTGGCGCGCCTGCACCACCGCCACCTAACTGGAGACCTCCAACGGGATTTCCTACTGCTCCTTTTCCACAACGATCATTCAATGGGGAAGCTACCGTGGCTTATCAATACTGATATAATGTGTGTAAACAAATATAAGTTGTGAGGTTTCAATAATATTTTTCTTCATTACATTAAGGTTTGAATGAAATTTCTATTTTCTTTGTCTATACGTTAGTGTCATTCTGTTTCAGATTTTTTTGGGTTAGATATCATGAACGACGCACTTTTTAAGTGACCGTAGGCTCATTGGCCGTTTCCGCAAATATAAAAATTAAACGAAGTTAGAGTTTTTTCAAAAAAACTTGGTTAATTTTTATATCTACTTGAAAATGATAAGCTCTTAGGAATATACAAAATGATTGCATCAAGTCCTTAAAAAAATTTTGCGTTTACTCAGATTATAGATTCCTATGGACAATTAAATTTTATATGGCCAATTTTCATAGTTACTTTCATTATTCAAGCTAATCGAATTGATTTTTCGACATAACTAAAAACGTTATAGTAGGCCATGGTCTATCTTTAAATACTTTATAGCACACGGGAGTTAGTCAAATAACGACTATTCAAAATAAGGCATTACATGAGAAGTGGCCGAAAAGGTGATCCTATCCGAACTATTTTCTGTAGGGTTCATAGTTAGTGCAAAACATGTCAGCGCACCAAATTTCATCAAAATATATTAAAAATTTCGGCCGGTAAGTTGAACATAAGAAAACAAGACAATTCGGTGGACAGACAAACTTAAGTCGGTTTAGAATGTGATTCCAAATCAATCAGTACAACAGAAGAAGAGTCTACCTCAAGTCCTTCCGTTTATTGCATACATTCGTACGAACTTAATATACCTTTATGCCACTAATGATGTAGGGTATAGTCGTTGTTTTCCGTATTGCTTTAGTTTGACCATTTTAAAATATTCTAGACAAGATAGACATGCTCAGAAGGTAGGTTAGAAGTGAATTATTAACGATGAAAGGTTACCGTAATGTTGGGGCTTCTCAAATCGCTTTTACGACGGCAACCTTAATTTGGGGCAATAATAGCGTTGAGTCTACTGGTAATCGCTACATTCGTGGCTTAAGCCGGGATTATAAAGTCAAAGCACTCGTTGAGATTTATACATCGCTCTGCCTACTGTAGTACATACAGGAGGGCGGTTTTTTGGCGCATTATTCTTTCGAGGAAAATATCATAGTATTATTTTTGAAGCCAAGGTTATAGGAGGGACGAAAAAATGTATGTTTTTAGATATGTGAAATGTATTTAGATGCTTTTCTACGATTTTTACTGAGTGCGGTCCTAGAATATTCATTACCAAATTTGAAATGATTAAGCCATCTATAAATTACTTTCGGAAAGTTATTAGAAAGTGTATTATTTCTGCTCATAGCTATAGAATGTATAGATAAACCAATACATATAGTTACCAGACGCATTCGCTTATATTTAGTTTAATTTATTAATTAATAAGAACGATTATTAATGATAATATATATAGATAATTATAGTGATAATAAATATGGTTAATAGATTTATAAAATACATTCCTTAAATAAATGAAAATTTTATTATTGCATACTTTTTTAATGTTCTCTAACGATATCGATATTATTATCGATTAATTAATTGATAAAAGATAATCGTTTATACATCAGTTGTTTTTCTCGAAAATAATAACAAGGAAATATATAAAATAAATGTAGAAATGCTTTTAAGTAGAAATGGAACGTTTCGTAGTAGAGTAAGTCCAATGAACTCAAAAAGATATATGTAAGCAATTACGACTATAAACGTTTACGAAAGAAAGCGCTTTGGATTCTTGTGATCGAGATTTTCTCCTTTTTTTGCATTGCATGTGTGATGTCATGAATAATGAGGAAGTAGCAAATAGTTCTTGAGTGTTTGGAAAAATATCATTGCTCCAAGCTATTACAACAGTGATGCTCCGGCTTAAAATTTTATCGGAAACTCTTTGGCGGAAACGCGTCAACTGTATTGCGCATTGGTGGAAGGTTGAGGATGCCGAAGTCGAATATCTGCATTAAAGCAAGTAAGTTATTTATTTATTTTTTTTAACACTTTCTTTGGGATTTTCATTGCAATTAAGATGATATAACTTTCAGTTTGGGCATCACCTTCGAGCTCTGCGCTGTTCCATGATTGTGTACTTAACAATGGGCAAATCTAGTTAAGGCGTTTCCGCCGAAGCAAAATAAATAAATAAAATTTCCTGCTGGAGTTTCATAGTTGCAGTGGCTTAGAGAAAGATTGTTGAAAGATGTTAACTGTGAAAATATTACAGTTAATTTCCAGTTTGAATAAAAATAAATCAATTTTCAGAACACGTTGAGACTATATTCTAATAAAGAAACCCAGAAAACTGAAAGCTATAATGAAAAACCAAACCCTGAATTAATTAAACAAGACTATATTGGGCCGCCTGATAAAGACTCGAATTTGCGGCCGTACGTCCGATACATACCTAACAGCGAGACGCCTCTGGCCAAAATGTTAAGGAATAAACGAGTTGAGGTGGAAATATGGAATCAGGATTTTTGGTCAAAGCACAACAAGCGCTTTTATGAAGTGAGTAGAAAGTTACATTTGGTGGTGTACAAATTCGCTCATACCATTTACTAATAGTAGTAGTAGAGAACATATTCCTTTTTTTTCTTTATACTAACAAGGGTGTTTAGTCTAAAATGCAAAAAAACCTTATTATTATGGAATCGGTAAAGAAGATTAAAAAAAAGGAAACACATTAAATTTCTATTATGTGTGTTCATAGTTTTTTCATTCAGTTCAGGTCCACTCCGAATTTGAAACTGACCAAGACCAGTTGCGGGGCATTGAAACTCTCTTCTGCACGTTATAAAAGTACTGAAAAAACATTTTTTTTTCTCACTATAATATTGAGAAAGCGTGGTCAATGTTTCTCACTTTTGTACCCACTTATCTCTTTAATGCATTATCAATCATAGACGGCATTCAGATAATTGAAAATTCCACCAACCAAACTTGGAATTTCCGAAAAATATATTTAGACAGATCCAAGCGATTACCTACTATTTTATTAAAGTATCATTCATACTTTCTCTTGCGTATACAAAAGGCTTCTAGTTTTTATTAGAAAAGTTTTCAATAACTTATTATTATTATTATTATTATTATAAATTTAGCCAGAGAATAAATTCTAAGACTAAAGTCTTAAAGCACTAGCATCTAGGGCTATCGGCTTTTTTAACTTATTTTTAAATTATCAATAACTTATTTACCATAAATGAATGAAACAAAGTTTTCAGAGTTATTTTTAAATTTTTTCTTTTTATTCATTCTTATTCGCAGGAAAAGGAAGACTTTATTAAAATACATCATGAAGCGGGTTCAACGGATATATCCGCGGACGAAATGAGCGTGTTTTATAAACATTTTTTGGATAAAAATAAAAAAATTCACGCCCTGTATAATCTATCGTGGTATATAAAAAATTTTGAACTCTTATTACTTGCTTTCAGGGTTGCATTGCAAAAATTATTAAAACGACGCAAATTGTAAAAGCAATTAAAAAATCAATATTTGTAATTCAAAGGCAGTTATTGCTAAATAAAATGAAAAACAATGATGTAGACAAATATATATATATATATATGCATATATATATTTCAATTTAATTTAATTTAACTTAGTTTAGAAAAATAAATTATTGCACCAATAAGGCTATGAAGTTTCTTATACTATAATATGTTATAATAAAAAATAAAAATATAAAACAAATTATATATATAATAATGAATAAAAAAAATTTTAAAAAATGTTAAAGAAATTATATAAATAAAAATGGATTGGCAATTAAAGAGTGCTGTAAAGAGTCAAAGTTTGTTTTTTTAATTTGAATTTTTTTTCCTAATTTTGATCCCGATATTAATAGATAGAGAATTTCATAATATACATTTTGAATATCTTCTATTGATCTATTCTAGTTAAGAATTATTTGATTGATTCAGTTCAAAAATTGAAGCAGACTTAAAAAGGCTTTTTTTTTTTTTTTTTAAATGTGAGAAACATTGATATAAAGTCGAAATTTGAAATATTCATTCAGTTCATAAAGACAATATCATTAATATATTGCTTGTAATTTTCGTAAAGTGTTGTTACGAACCCTCAGAAATATATAGGTATTATATGAAACTTTGGCTAGAACTTGGCATATTCCATCCAAGCCAATATCGAGAGTAGAGTTTAGGAAAAACTTTATTTCAAAACTTTGAATTGATGGTAAAGTATTCAACAACATTCTCTATGGCTGAGAAAGTTTGAAGAATTGCGAGGAATCTGGCAGGGAAGATTATATCAAACTCTTAAAGGGATAAATAGAATTTCACATGTTTACGAATGAGAGGTTTTCGTTCGCTTAAAATTTATGAAAGCAATTCGAAAACAAAGAAATTAACTATGATGATAAGAAAGAAACTAATTCAATCAATCAAAAGTATATATATATCTATATATATATATATATTGATATTTGTGCTCATAATCTAAGGTAAATAATTATTCAAATATTACGCTTACCTGCAATGTGCTAGCGTTGGATGATAGGTAATCTGAAAAGTAGTGAACTTCTTATCTAAAAATTAAACTTTACAGTTAGCATTTGAATTTGAATATTTAGATATTGATAATTTGTTGTATACTTTTATAAAGCTAAACATGTGATGAAATGCCGAACATTTTCACAAGATTAATATACCATGTCTTAAATAGTTTCGATCCAAATATGGCATACGCATAACTAAAACGCATAATGGCACAATTCAATATATGGGAAATTTTAATTTTTTTAATTTTCATTTTAAAGAAATTTTACAGTTTCTTCTATCTTTATTGTTGTTGATCAAATGAGAGCTTATTCCTTAAAGGTTTTCCTATTATTAACGTAAAGGAATCGTCCTTTAAATGCCTTTAGTTCAATATCAATGTTGGCGCCATAAGCTTTTTGTAATAAATAAATACAGTTATGCTATTATGCTTCTTTATCGTCGATATGCAATTGTAAAAAGTAAATTTTTTTTTTTTTTGTATATACATATATAAATATAAATATATAAATACGTGTTCCTACACATATTACCTATAATATTTTGTTTAATTGTAGAAAAATTTTGCTATAAAAGAGTTTTGATGATCGCGAGATGTTTAGTTGACACAAGTATTTCGCTCGGTTTAATCTGTTTTAGATAAATTAAGAAAAGAAAAGAAAAGCAAATAAAAGAAAAAAATAAATAAAATAAATTTTGAAAAAAAATGTCATATGTTGGGAACGCGTCAGATTTGGAATGCGATAAAACGGATTTTCAAAGAAACCGTCCTCCCAATCTTGTTACAAAAATGCAAGCACGTAAACTATCTGCTGAACCGAAATGGTCGACTAAAAGAGATGAGGATTCCGATTCTGAAATATCATCAAGTGAAAATTTTTTAACTAAAGGTTGGCTTTCAACGTTTCTTAACTGAGAATTGTAGAATACATTTTAGGGCATTTACAGGTGCGTTCCTTTTAACTCCTTCGTACGAGTTATCAATGGAGCGCGCAGCTTTAATATGCGAAAAAATGAGTTTCAAGGGCTGCTTTAGCTTAACGAAAACAGCAACTGGTATACTTTTCAAGTTCTCACATCCTGACGACTATCAAGCGGTTTACAAGAAAGGTTTTCATAAAGTCACAGGAGCAAGATTCTATCGTAAAGTAAGTCTTAAAATTATAATTAAAAATTTTTAATAAAATTATTATGCATTACTGTTAAACAAATAATTATCATTCCCTTATATCGAATTTCGATATGGGAATAGTTGAAATTGAATTTTGTTTTTAGATTATATTCCCCGATTCAACTGTGATGTTACTAAAATTGAATGAAACTGCTGCTTGGAAGCCATAACTAATTTTTTATACTTGGCATAGTTGAGGCGGGGGGGGGGGGAAAGACGAATCTAAAGATTTTGGCATATATTTTAAAAGAAATCTCACATTTGCATTTCATATGCATTGCATTGAAACAGCGGAACTTGCAAAAGTCTTCAAGATTTCGAATTCGAAAGAATCTTCTTTTGTTTTTCCTCTCTCTCTCTGTCTCTCTCACGACCTCTACCTAGACTGATCTAATCTTCGACTAATCCAATTACTACGTTTGCGTGAGCGTTTGTTTTTTTTTTTTTTTTTCTAGTCTGGGGCTTTGACATTAGAATATATATTTGAAATTTTTAATTTGTATATAAGTGATTCTTATTATTTTCGAGACAATTATCGAAGTGCATTGAAATTGTGCTCTGATTATTTAGTCAAGATCATTTAAAATATTATTTCTGACTTTTGATTAGTTGTTGTGTGATTGTGTGACTTGAAGAGATGTATAATTATTTATTCAAAAAACATGCTTCATATAGGGATTTAATGTTTCATTTCAAAACTTTTTATTCTATCTATTTTACGGGAGAGACATTCACTAAAGCCTAGCTATGTTGACTCAAGGCTCAATGCCTACGAAGGCTTATCTCTACAATTCCTTGAGTTTATACAAGTTTATATACAAGTAATCCTGCTGAGATAAAATCAAGGCTTGATTTGCATTTGTAGTAACTGCTAAAGGATGTTCATCTTTATGGCTTTTAATCAGACTTGGCCTTGATATTGCGGCAAATATATGTATATATATATATACATATATGTATATATATGAGATTGTTTGACTTATGTGGCTTTGAAATAGTATTCTTGGATCCCATAACCTTCTAACAGCTGAAAGCTTATCCAATTGTCAGATTAATAATACATTCTCTTAGAGAATAAATATAATATACTTTTTAAATTTCATTTAAGTGATTGTATGAGTTGAAAGGACTTATCTTACGTTAAAATTAAGGATAACAAAATTTTTTGATCCCTTGCACATGAATTTAAACGAAAAAATTTTATTACCTTCAATGTTTTGTATATTTTGAAATAATTACAACGTAGATTGCTATTCCCTGTCGACCACGGAAGACATTTACACTTTATGTACTGGATGTGCCGGAAGATTTACCCGTTGAGGATATACGTCATGCTTTGTATAAATTCGAATCGGTTGTCGAAGTCGTACGATTACATATATGTCCTCAAGTAACAACTTCCCATACATCAGAAAAAGTGGCAGAAGGTAGGTAGATTATTGAATACATAGTCTTTTTGGAATTTCTTTTTCATAATTGATTTAAATTTATATTTTTTTTGTTTTTTCTTTATTGATATTCAATGATAAGGTTCGCCCACAAAAACTACTACTGAGGCTACTGAAAAAACTGAACGCAGCGAACGGCGAGAACCATCTCCAGCATTTATACGCGTAACTCTAGCATCTTTGGATGAATACAACATACTTTTGCAAAATGGTCTCAATTTCTTTGAAGCAACTTTCTTTCCAACTGAAGCCAATATATCACTAAAAGGAGCTAAAATCGAGCACAAGCGAAGGTAGATAATAATACAATATTTCGTATAATTATTTGAATGAATTAATGATTTGTACTTAATATTGTATAGTGAGTCTGAATCCATCCATCAACAGGATATTGATATTTTATGGTTATATGTTATAGGTCTACATTACTTTAGATGCTTTAGAGTATTTAGAGTGTGTATTTTGCATCTATATTTCTAATACGTAACGATATTCATATTCAGTTTAATTGTGTCCGTCCTTCGTTCAGTTTGAAATTTGTTACAACAGTCACAAAACATTTTGAGCATTCAGAAGAAGGTTTCTCTACCTTAATTCTATAAATCTCAGGCACAGATTAAATTGAATATTGTATGGCAAACAAAGAAAGCTTATATCCATAGGACAAATGAGAAAAATATCGGGCGTTTCAATCAATGAAATAAGATTTCGAAAATCGTGAGATTTTATTTGGAAGCTTTTCGAATATAAATGAACAATTTACCATAAATTTCAGCACAACTCTTTCAATAATTCATTCTGAGGAATCAGAAATGAAAGATTTATTAATTAATTCGTGCAATTTTTATTCTAAATAAATCTGTTTTATGGCAAATAGTAGTGACGGAGTCTTCAAACAATAGCCTATTAATTTGAAAAGAATTTTATGCGAGTCCTACATTATTATTTCCTAGTATATCTATATTACTTTTCAAAACATTTTAAATATGTTTGTAGCATTTTTGTACCACAAAGGATTAAAAGCTTACACCTTCGTAAATTTAAAATGATGGACATGTAAGGTTTTACATAGTAAACCACTTGTGGTACAAGGTATTTAATGAAATTTAATATACTGACATGTTTTGGCCAAAGGACGAACACTGTTGAAAATGATTCGAATCGAACCACATATTCAACCGCTTTCCATACTATGCCTTCTTTTTTGAAAAGTCATTATATAGATGTTTGTACGTAAGATGGTGGATGGAATTTAATGGTGTGCCGCGGCCCTGAGTATAGTGTCTCTACTTGTTCCCTTTTCAATACGGCTTAACTTGACATGACACTCTTCTATTTGTATATTTGCAAAATCTGGTGGAAAAGATTGGTGAAAGAGACAGTAGACGTTAACTATCCATTTAATTAATATATTTGTCAATATTGTAGGTACCGTAGGTACCCCTATCTTATACATATTGCGGATAATTGCAATTGTATCTCTTTGTCGTTTAACAGAATGTTAGATGGCAGTATACCGGGGCGTGTACGTGAGCTGCTGCCTGTCTTCGATGCGGCTGGCTTTTGTAAGCTGCCTCCACCCACAAGCAAACTAATTAAGCCATCTAGAATGTGAGTTCATTGTCGCGTAACATTAAGTTCAAAAGCAACGGAAATAAATTTGTGAGACATCATGAAACCAATTTGTTGACACATACAAAAGCACACATAAATACATACATAAACAGACGCATATACACACACACACAAACACAAACACACACACATACACACACCTACATACACGTACAAGGCTTTTCATTATTAATATTGTATACATAATACAAAATATTGACGGCAAACGGAAACTAATTATTTAATTGATATTATTGTTCTTTTTAATTTTTAAAAATAAACAAAAAAAAATATATATATATATATTAATGTACACACGCACAAATAAATCATTTAATAAATTCTGAGTTGCGCGCTAAACGCTATATTTATTTATTTGTTTCATATATTTAATTGGTGACAAGAATGATGTTTCATTGAAATTCTGAATGATGGATGTTCGATCTTCGATGTTCCTATAATACTTCAAATTTAGGAAATTATGTACATAGCACTTCAATATGATAACATTTTTATGTGAAAAAAAAAAACATCTTTTCCTATAAGAAATTTTAGTAGATAGTTTTAAATACAATATCTCTCTCACTCTCTCTCTCTCTCTCTCCTATCGATCTTATCAGTCCTTGGTAAACGCTTAATTATGTATCGTGCATCTATGTCTATTCACATTTAAATAATTTTTAAAGCTCGATTCCGAAACTTTTTCTGAAAAACAAATAAATTTTAATAAGATCTTTCTATTGTTTATATAAAAAATTCAACGAATAAGCGATAATAGAAGGAAAAATGTAGCGATTTTCTGTGTTACACGCTTTCACAAAACAAAGAGTGCATTGATCCTGGCATTCCGCCCACATTTATATTCACACGAAAAACGATTCTGGTATCATGTATAGGACTCATTAGAGTATTTATTTATCTGTCAAATATTTGAGAGAGATTCCGAATGAAATGTTAGGAAGATGAGGTTTGGCTGGCTGTAAAAGATTCATCATATATTTGCTTTAAGATTCATTCCTTGGATTTAATTTGCTTAACCAATTTCACTTCAGGGATTAATTTCTCTTTCGTTAAGATCGATGTATTTAAATAATCCTTTAAAACGTCTGGAACCAATACATATTTGCCTTTCTGAAAAGAATGAAAGTAAATGAATAAAAGCATACAGAACGATAAATGCTGACATTTTGTCAATGGTTCCCAAACGCCCCAAAGATGTCTAATAATAAAAGGGTACCTGTTCGCTAAGTTAACCGATAGATGACTTCTAGAAGTCCGTATCATAAACACTTGTTTGTTTTTTTAAAATATCGTTGACAAAATTCAAAATCGAAAGCAGACAAATAAATGGTTGCGTTTTGTACCATGTGGTCTACTTATTTACTCCGTTTACATGTGCCGCTCATTTCGGTCTGTTTACCCTACTCAACGGACAATAAGTATTTTTTGATTTTTTTGTTTTTTTTTTTTACCCTCTTGAACATTCCGCAATACATCAAAAGATGACTAGACAGGGGATGCAAGTTGAAATGGTCCAAAGAGTCAATATCGCACTACGGATTCACGTGAACAACGACAACGCGAAGTTCAAGATTAATGTTTTTGTTCGGTCGATTTCTTTACTAACTGCTTAGTGAGAAAGCAAATATCTAGGCGCTATATACCTGATTGGATTCCAATAGGGCTATAAGTAGTCGTGGAATTGCAGTAGCTGTACCGTTAATTGTATTAACCCATTTATTTTGACCTTCGTTTGTAATGTATTTTATATTTAGCCGTTTTGCTTGATAATCGGTACAGTTACTGCAACTTGATATTTCACCCCACATTTGTCTGCCTGGCATCCAAGCTTCAAGGTCATATTTCTCATAAGCCGATGCACCCAATTCTGTTGGCGGCATATCCAATAAACGCAAATGCAAATTGAGATTTTTGAATATATCAATCTCGATATCCTTAAAATGTTCTAACATATCATGTGACTCAAGCTCGGAACAAATCGAGAACATTTCCACTTTGGTAAATTGATGAACTCTAATGAAAGAAGCAAAATATAAATATATTTATATATATATATATATATATATTGCATTAAAGCAACTTGTGTTGTACATACCTATATATGCCTTTTTCCTCTTGCAAGCCGGACGTTTCTGCTCGGTAACAGCGACTTACCGCGGCCACCTTAATCGGTAAATTATTTTCTTTTAATAATTTATTTGAATAATAACCAGCCAAAGACATTTCCGATGTGCCAGATAAACAATCTCCCGAATCCAATTTGTAAACCTAATCGTGGTTATTACATTATTAGTATTGTTTGTTTGTATTGATCAGAAAAATTTTATACTTGAACGACAAAGTGAATTATTAGGTGCTTGCAAAAATTGTGATCAATGACTTTTACAAGAAAAATGATACAGAAATTACAGTGTACACAACGGTTGAATTCGATGGTATTGATCCTCCTCTATACTCTCCAATTAATATTATTGATTTATCTGGCGTGCACTAGCACTAATCATGGAACGCTCAACATTCTTCTTCTTCCAAATTCATTATTTTTACTGTTTATTTGAAGAAATCTGCTGCCGCAGCCCACCAAACATATTCAGAGGATTGTGGTGGCGCTGCTTGTTCATGTCAACTGTATAAAAGTAGCGACACGAATTCAATGAAAACGTCCTTTTGTTGGTCACTTGTTGCAGGAGTTGTCGAGGATACATTATTGCAGCTCGAAAGCGAAGTTCTGCCACCTACACCGCACTCAATAGGCATGGCGCCTCCTGATTGCTACTTGTTCAGATCAGTAGCAGCATCGCTTGGTTGGTACGCGGATCCGTAAACTTGAATAAGTGCGAAGGGTGGTTGGTGCTGCCAAACCTATGCAAGTCTCTTCTCGATATAATATCGCCAAGTTGCCAAAAGTATTGCGAAATGTTGCAGAAAATGATAGAAACTATTTTGATTAATATTATATTGTACCGATTTTCCATAATAAATACCCTTTTCAAGTGAAAATGTGATCAAAATTTTTGCAAACACCCATTGGTAGTATCTTATAGAGGCAAAACAGCTACACATACATTCGGCGGGCATATAATCTTTCTCACTAAAATTCTGAAACATTCTTCAACAATATTTTGCGTAAGTGCTGGTAAGCTTCAAGACTTTAGTGATTAAAATAGCTAAGGGTTCGTTTAATTTTTGTCAAGTTCTTCAGGTCGTTATTAGGATAATTCGACCGGAACGATCTATCCATAATACACTTATGCATTAAGCCACGCGTTCATAAACAAGTCAGTTTCGAAAAGCACGTAACACACATAAGTTTATCCAATGAAGTTATTTGCACTATATTGGACCCTACTAGCTGATTAAGACCGAACTAAAGTCCCTGAGCAAAATCACAAATTTGTGTTCAGTAACTTCTAGAAAAAGTGAAAACTGCGACGACTTAAGCGAGTTAAGCGTATTGTTGAAAACAAAGACCCAAAGTTATTAAATAATTTTCTGTCAATGAAAAGAAAATACCTGATTCCTATCGCCATCGGTGGGCATGCCGCATCCTTCAATTATGTGTTTTGGTAATATATCGGGAACAGCTAATAAACGAAATTGTTTTTGCTTTAAAATAGATAATGCGTATCGAATCAATGCTTGTTCCAATTCAGCCAATTTTCCAAATAGATAATAACTCTTTTGTCCCGTATAGTTGCCCAGTTGATGCATACGTAGCATATTATTGAATTTGCAGACTTGTGAGAATTCGACAGATTTGGTGGCAATTTTACTTTGATCGCAAAGTAATGTCTCCTTTGGCCGATTTTCATAAGTCCACAATCTTGGATGCGTATCGTTGGGCAACTTGAGCAGTTCATTTTTAAGTTTATCTACATCCTCACTACTTGTTTTATTTAATTCCAATCGCTTCAATATATTACGAATAGTCGGTATATTATTCTCACGTCTCCGTAATAAAATGTTTTTCTCGGCCTGATCCAAATCGTGTTCGTCAATAGCGCTGCTATCGAATTCATTTAACGGGCGAATGTTGACAAAAATCTTCCGCACAGATGGACATGAAAAAACTTTAGACGGAAAACTTTTATTTTCCTTTGGTAATATAAGTTTAATAATAAAATTCCCTGACATTTACCCATTCAATCTCATTTCGCGGCAAATCATTTTATAATTTATTAGGATTCTATTGCTATTATTTACAATAATTCACAATCAATATGACATAACGTAATACTTGTACGGAATTGTGTTTTCACATAACATACACACAGGGCGCTTTAGCTTCATTAAAATAATTGCTTGAAGCTTTCATAACCGAATATGTTAACAGTAAAGAAATTATTTAATTTTTAATATTTACAAGACGATTTAAAAAAAAAAAAAAATGAACCTATCCGGCCGATTGATCCAAGGAAGAAACAATAAAAGCGAATATAAACGTAGGATTTTCTAACAATGCCAGGCTGTGCAAAAAAAAATCACAAATTATTCGAAAATGTAAATGAGGCAACCATGGAATAGCGCCAAGCTCGAATGCTTTGCCTTATACAAAGTTTTCGACAGATATCTGCTTAGGTTGATTAGGCTCGCTTTCAGCTATAATATATAAAATGGTCCTGATACTTATTCATATAGATACCCGCCATAATTTGTACATTGTCACCTTTGCCTATTATTCCCGTCGTGTGAGTGAATCATCGTATTCCATGTCACTTTTGGTATAGGTATTTAAGTTGGTACGGATCTGTGTAACACGCAGAAGGACTTAAGATAGATCCACCTCTTATTATACGAATCTAAACCTATCGGTCTTGCCTATCGGTCTGCCTGTCCTATCCCTATCCATGTAAATTTTTGTTCAACGACCCTATTCAATCTAACTAATCAAATGGATATATCAAAAGTGGGCAATCAAACCTATTTTTAATTCTATTTCAACATAATATTTTTGTTTTCTACTTAGACTAAAAATTTATTTCGTCAAAATGACGTCGATTTTCGCATAAAATAATGGACTCAAGTCTTGGGTGCATTCTATGGTCCGAACGTATATATATAATAAAATATTTTTTCAATAAATTCTCGCTAAATTTGAGGGGAGTCACAACAACAATAGCTCCAGATGTAAGTAATACGAACGGTGACATTAACGAGACGGGCGATAGTACCGAGAGTGAAGGTGAACTGAATATCACTAGTACGAGTTATGTTAGCAATAAATAAAAAATTGTGATCCAAAAATATTATTAAAATATATTTTTGTTAAAATCGTCTTATAAATTTCAAGTGTTTTTTTATAGTCCGAAAAATACTATATATATATATATATATATATATATATATATGTATATAGCTCTCATAAATAATATTCTTATCTTCGATTATGGCCGATTATTTTATATCTAATATAGTTTTCTTAAGAAACAAAAAAAAAAAAAAAAACAACAACAACAAATAAAATTAAAATTCGACACCCCATTCCATTGAATGGGCGTGGGCGATTTTTCATTTTTTTACCGATCATCCATAAAATGTGTATGCAAATTGTGATCGTTATATCTGTTCTGGGATATGAGTAATGAGCAAAAAACTCAATCTTTTGGTTTTTGACAACAACGGTATTCTTCAATTTTTCAGTTTTACTCTAAGCGGGCTCTTCCACGGATCTTGCTGATTTTCCATATCAATCTTCTCGAAACAACTTTTAATCTTAATGCTAAATTTCGAGACGATAATCGTTAATCGTTATTCAAATCTATATATGTAGTTTGTTTTTAAAAATATACGACATAATGAGAAGGGAATATACGATATGATGCATATATAATGGCATTACAATCACCCATATTTTTATTAACTGGCGAGTATGTCTGTGCGTCCGCGAATGTTTATGT